TGTCGCTCTTCTCTGACATGCCTGCCATGGGTGCTTGATCAGATGTATATTTATTAGTATCCTTTTACAATCACGAAAACACTTTCGCATACAGACGCACATTTTCGATGTGAACATTCACTGGGCCGGTGGAGGGACGATATCCTTGATCTGACTCTTTGCCCTAGCAGCGGCGTAGGGTTTTCGTTGGGATCGGACGTGTGTTGCCTGTTCGTAGGCATGTGCGATTCGGAGGAGGAGTGGTTCGGACCATTTTTGGCTGGTGAACGTGATGCCCGTGGGCGCCCTCGGGTAGGGGTAGTAGGGGAAAGTATCGCCGACCTGGGTGTCGTTTGCGTAGAAACCCATGGGGACTCCGATGACCGGATACTGCGCTCGGTCCGAGATCGGGTACAGCGGCCAATCTCCGCCGCTGGGGGAAACGATGGCGGAGACGCCGTAGCGTGCCAGGGCTCCGTCGATTCCGCGTTGACGCGCGAGCATCAACCCTTGCTCGCGGTACGCCTCGAAGGTCGAATTCGGACGAGTGTGCAGCGCTGCGATGAGGTACCCCTGATCGGTCTGGTTGCCGGCAAGCTCGAGAGTGGGGTTGGCGATGCCGAAGTAGACGATCCCGCCGAGATCAAAGACGGCGGAGGGGACAGAGGTGAGTTTGGAGATGTACGCTTCCAGACCGTAGCGCATCTCGGTCTGGAAGAGCACGTCTCCACCGGGGTTGCTCGTGTTGTAGAAGGCGGTGCGCGTGGGATCCGTCTCGTCACCGATGCAGTCGAGCGTCACTTCGACCATCTCTGCTCCCAGTCCGCGGAGGGTATCGATGGAGTTGCGGTAGGCCGAGAGAACCGATTCGTCAAAGTTCTGGATGGATCGGTTGGCGAAGAACGTTTCTCCCGAGTAACCCAAGCGCAGTCCTCGAAGTGGATTGTCGAGTTGGTTGTGGAAGTGCGGAGCTGCGGAATAGTCGATGCCCTTCTGCACTTCGGCGGGTTGGGTCCAGGTGGCATTGTCGCCCTCGTCCCTACCGTGATGCGCCATGGCGGTCAGCAGCACAGCGACGTCCTGGACGGTGCGACCGAACGGACCTGCCGAATCCTGCGTCGAACTGATGGGGATCACACCGTTGCGGCTGATCAACCCGACGGTCGGTTTGATACCGACAATGTTGTTGTAGCTCGCAGGGCAGATGATCGAACCGGACGTCTGCGATCCCACCGACGCCGCCGCCAGCCCGGCAGCCACAGCAACCGCCGAACCGGAGGAACTCGAACAAGGGTTCCCCGCCGGCCAGTACGCCGACGTACCAAACCCACCTCGAGGACTGTACCCCTGCGTCTGGTTCTGCAGTCCTCGAGCTTGAGCCCAAACCGACATGTTCGCCTTGCCCAAAATCACCGCCCCCGCCTTCCTCAACGTACTGATCGAAGGAGAATCACCCGGCACGATCGAGTTCAACAGCGTGTAGCTTCCCGCCGTAGTGTTCATCCCCAAACTGACATCCGTCGCAACGTTGTCCTTGATGACGATGGGAATCCCGTGCAGAGGACCACGCGTCTTGCCAGCGGCTCGTTCCGCATCGAAGAAGGCAGCCTTGTCCAGCGCAACAGGGCTCGTCTCGATGATCGCTCGTAGTCCCGGACCGTGGATGTTGACCTCCTCGATGCGTGCAAGGTAGGCTTTGACCAGGTCGACACTGGTGAAATCGCCACGGGTCAGACCGGCTTGCAGCTGAGAGATGGTAGCTTCGAGCAGGTCGGGATAGCTGTCGGCTGCGCTGGCGTTGTTGTTGTTGCGGGCGTAGATGTCTTCAGCGTAGAAGGCCGATGCAGGATCGCGTTTGACACCGAATGCCACCGAGGCGTCGTCGTTGCTTGCCTTGAGGGGGGTGACGCTGCTGGATGCACCCTGTAGGTAGGTCAGCAGAACTGCTAGCAGCACCACAAAGCCGCTCGTGGATGCGACCATCTTGATCCTCGCCATCGTTATCGTCTTGGTGTCGTCCTTGTTCCTTCCAGATCCTTGTGGTACCGACGACGTGGGTGGCCTTTCGGACATTGTCGAACCCAACCTTCTTATATCAACCCAAGCCTCGACATCGGATCAGCGGTGGCCGTGTCTTCCGAATGCTTGGCGTGCAGAGAATACCAACGAGGCTTGAGATGATAAGGACACCGTTTGTTATTCGGCAATGCAAATCCGCTCTGGACTTTTATCTAACCGTCAATGCTGCTGCTATGCGAACCTCTCGCTCCGAGAATGCAAAATGCAACCTCGTCTAGGAGAAAGCAAAGAGCCGCATCGTTCGGTATGGTGTTGGACTTCGCTAGCGGAGCACATTGTTCCGAAGAACTCGTTTGGCAGTCGTCACCGTGGCCGTGAAATTTGCCGAGCTGCCACGAGTGTCTCAGAAGGAACTTGAAACTGGATTGCCGGTTGGAAAGGTTGATAAGGGTCAACGGTGCTGTCGCAAAGAAGAGGAGATCGGTATCGGGTCACATCGACGTGCCGATCTGTTCCACCAGCAAACATGATGTTTAGCACCAGCGAAGATTGCTGCCTTGGCACAAACCCTCAATCATCCCAAACATGCTCACCTACCGAGCGCAAAAGTCCCATCAACAGCCAAATCACGCCTTAGGACAATGCAACAGACAAGGGGAACGTGAAATCAGCCGCGCATCCCTTTGATTCGGGGTTGCGTCGACCTTTATATTTTGAGCATAGATGGTGCTATCTACGCAATGTGCGCCAATGATGCGTATGTCTGTGTGTGTGAGAGTGTGCGAATGAGAGGACAACTTGTGTACAATGCAACGTGGATGGGTAGACGAGTCACGAAGCGGAAGGATGGATGAGACCGAGAATACGAGAGCTGGAACAACAAAGACGAACTAAGCGAGTGAAAACGCTTAGGCCTCGGTGAGCTCACGCAGACGACGGATGGTGCTGTGAGGGGTGGGAGAAGAGCGCGAGAACGGTGAAAGTTGTCAGCAAAGGTTGCTCGTGTGAAATGTGCGACGCTCGGAAAGCAGCGAAAAGAGCTTTTGACCAAGCGCGAGAAAGAATAGAGCCGTTTCCAGATTTGATGGTGTCCTTTCACGGTGCGCTTTCCTCCTGCTGACATTGCAACGAATCCTGCCTCCTGTCCGTGAACCACTACCGTTTTGCACCACAAATTGTTTGTGGGTGCGGCGTGTGCGAACAGCGCCTCTACTACCTTCGTTTGCTCCCTCGCGCCGAGCACCTGATTTACTCCCGGGTTGTGTTCCGACCTTGCTCTGCTTCTTTGCTCTGTCCGACATGCTCTCTGGTGATGCTGATGCTGAAGATGCAGAAAAAGAAACTTACGATCGGACGGTGGCAGCAGCCGAGGTGCTGAGGGTCCAAGCACCACCAGCCATGACCTTCTTGCAGGCACGGCACTCCCAGATGCCGACGGCCTTGCGCTTGACCGAGTCCTTGCCGCAGAAGGTGCAAGTGTACTTGGAGTGCTGCGAGATCTCGATCTTCTTGATCTGACGACGGAGCGAGGCACCGTAACGGGTACCGTACTTTCCGGTGATTCCAACCTTGACAGTGCGCTTCGACTGTTGTGATGTTTAACGATGGTACGAGGGAGAGGGTTGATGGTTGTTAGTTGATCTGGTGTTGGGTGTATGTGCATTTGGTGATGTAGAGCAACGGAAAGGCAACGGCTTGAATGGTGGTGATAGGCGACAATCAATCCGAGCATGTCGGACGAGTGATCCTGATGTCGAGATACAACGAGGCGTGCATCATTTGCGAGCAAGAGAATTTGCGTCGTAAAGCGTTGATACGTTATCGAAGCTTGGTGGATGATCTATCATTGAGGCCACGACGCCCCGTGGCCCGTATCCGAAATGGTCGTAGCCGCAGCTGTGTCGATCAAAGCGCAACCACATCCATATGCGAGGGACACGCGATGATGTATATCTGTTCTGATTGGGCTGGTCCTTTACGCTTTCTGCTCTCCCGTCCGAGCCTGCTTCATACTTCTGTGTTTCCTGTGAACACGATCGCAATGACGAAACGTTATGCCAAACATCTGATGTCGAGCACGGCAGGGATGTCTGCTGCTGATGACGCTATTGTTTCGGTATCGAGGTTGCTATCTGGCTGTTGCTAATGCTGCTTCGTCTGGATTATGGTGGTTGGCGCTATACTGGGCTGGTGTCGATTGATCGCGATGCCAGGTGTGTCGATGTAGCCGTTGCCGTTGCGATTGCCGTAGATCATGCTGGCAACACTTACCATCTTGACTATGTGTGTATGTGCGGTTGGTCTGGAGGGAAAGGTTGTCGATGGCGATGAGCGTCAACTACACTCAGCTGCGCTGCCGTTGACCTCGAACCTCTCTGCGTTGCCTTGGCTTGGGCTCAAGCTGCCGATTCAACACTCAGTCTGCTGTCCCCTTTGGCTGCAAGACTGACGGGAATTCCTGCCTGGCTCGACGCACCCTGCTGCTTGAGCCTTGTCAAGGATCCCTCTCGCCTCATCTTCGTTTACTGGTTCTGCAACCCCCCCATTTCGAGGTAGTGCCGCTCCCGGGCGCCAACATTCTGAATTTGCAGTACAAACTGAATTCCAAATCATCGAAGGCAGCTTGATTTCAAAATTAACTGGCCTTCTTGTCTCGAATGTATATGGCAGCAGAACGCGTACCCGCTGTTGCGCACCGCAAGAAGCGTGAGAATTTTCAGATCGCGTACGGCTCCGAGCTTTTTGGACGTAAAAATGACCATGGGAATCGGGCATCGGGTGTAGATCTGCTGTGATTTGTATGGTTCGCTGCATTCCAATCGAGAGCTCACGATTTGTGCGAGCAGCCGTCATCACACATGCTCTCCGCCGGTGAGCAGCTGCGACATCGCCCATTCGGGGCTACACGTTCAGACTACAAACTAGCATGGCTGTGGTTTCGGCATCATGCAGGCACAACAATGATGGTCGATGATGACCATTTGGAATCGCACTGTTGTCTTTGACGTTGGCGGCCTGTGTAAGGTCACTGAGAAAGGGGGCGGAGAGAGAGAAGACTTCCCCACATCCAGGCAGGCAGAGAGACGCGTCCGACAGTGCCAGAGAGTCGTCGGTCTATCCGCGTTGTGCGTGCGTGCGTGCGTGCCTGCCTGGTGGCTGCATGAAGCGTGACGGCGTGACGGCTGTTGATAGCCGAATTGGGCCGAGCCTGTCGATCCGATTTCAATTTGGATTTTGAGTTGTTCGACCTGCGCTTGAGCCATGCAATTGGTGCACAATCAACACCACAGCATCGCCTCTTCCATCCCACCTCGTCATCATCGCGTTTCCAAGGTGCAACTCGGCCCGACATCTAGCGCTCAGCTGAACCAACACTCGGCACCCATGCACGCCGCTCTGCATTCCTAACCAAAACGGCCCAGGCCACGAAAGGACACTCCACCTCTGTTCGGCTCGGAGTGGAACAGGATTGCCGTCATCTCTTCGTCATGTCCGAGGCCTTCTCTCTGTGGCAAGAGCGACCGGAGAAGCTCTTCCCTTCCCGCGAACGGAAGAGTAAGGAAACGGTCACCCAAGACGACACCTCCGACGCCCATCCCACCACGAGATGGATCCAGGAGCAGAATCGCATCACCAGCAGCTCTTCGCGCACAGACGAACTCGACGAGTACGGCATTCCCATACATCCCTCCCAGTACCATATAAAGTCTGCCAAACGCAACTCAGCGCTGCCTCACTCTCCCAGCTTGGCCTCCTCTTCAGCCTTCAGGCCGTCTCCATCTTCTCGTGGTCTGCTCGGTCCCTCGTCTGCTCGTGAAAACCCATCAACAGACGTTCGCACATCGCCATCACTCTCGACGAATCCATTGCCCCTTGAACCGTCGGTATCGCTCTCCCACATCAAGCCACAGCCCGACGATGCAGACGAAGACGAGTCGATCGGTTTGCTTCTGGGTCAATCCAAAAGGCGACGCGGTCGCAAGGACTCCTATTCATCCTTTGGCAGTTCTGTGCTTCCCGTCCCTCTCTTCGCCTCGAACGCGCGCTACAACACACACGCAGGCAGCAACAGCGGGCTCGCACAGTCCAGGCAAGCCTTCCCGCCCAAGCAAGGCCGGTCCGCATATCCTCCTAGCAACCATTCCGGCGCAGCCCCAACATCTCGACATCTGGCACCTCCTCCCATCGAGTCCTCAGCTCAACAGCTCTCACAAACGGATGCATCGCACACGCGTCAGCGCCATCAATCCAATGCGGTCGCCTCGCGGCCGTCTGGCTTCGATCTCGACAGTTGGCTCAGGACGTCGCAAGCGCCTGCTCCCCTCAGAACATCTCCTAGTCTCGGAACCCTCGCGACGTTCGATTCCCCAGAACAGCCTCACCGGGCGGGAGCCTTCAGCGAGGCTGGCAACCGTCGTCGACGTCGACAGGCTGGTTCAGCGTCCGGTCTCAGTGCGGGTGTGCTGAGTGCCGGTCCCGAGTCTCCACGCAGCCGCAGAAAGGCAAGCGCAACCTCCAGTCGACGCGACGCGAGCGGCTACTCTTCCCTCGCGCCTGACCATCCGGCTCTCACGGCTACTCTCGAGCTCAACAGGGAAGCTGGGTCTCGTACCATCGACACCATCGAAGAGTGGCGCGCCAAGTCTGGTTCCTCGTCCACACTGAATGCTGCGGGCCCTTCGTCCACCCAGGTTCCAGATCGCGCCGACGACGGCGGCGAGCCGTCGGATCTGGTACCCCGCCGTCGACGCAAGAGCTCGGTGAAATCCAGCTCGCGTCCTGTGTCCATGGACGGTCCACCGCCTCCGCTCCCATCCATCCCTCCCACATTCACCGCAGCATCCATCACCTCCAGAACCGGCCGTCGACGAAGAAAGGACACCGAAACGTCCCTGGCCGATCTCCTCTCGCCAGACAGGGCACACTCCGCGCACCGCAAGCCAACATCGGCCTCGCCAAAAGCGCCTGCTCTACCGCCCGCCTTGCGCGATCTCTACGCGCTGTCTGGTGTGGGCTCGCAGGCAGAAACGCCCGTACGTCGTCTCATCCGCTGGCTGGCCAAGGAGCAGCTCAAGGCGAGCATCGTACCGCTCGTACTGCTGGCATCTTTTCTCGTTCGCTGGATCGTAGCGAGGGGTGATTGGAGTGGTCGCGGTGTCGGACCTATGCACGGCGATTTTGAGGCGCAACGTCACTGGATCGAGCTCACTCTGCATCTGCCCACGTCAAGGTGGTACTTCTACGACTTGCAGTATTGGGGGCTCGACTACCCGCCTCTCACAGCGTGGGTTAGTTTGGCCTGTGGCTATGCTTCCAGGCTATTTCAATCGACGCAGGCCGGGTTTGCGTTCGAGACATCACGGGGGAACGAAGATTCGGCGACGGTCACCTTCATGCGCGCCACGGTCGTGGTTGGCGATCTGCTAGTCTACCTCCCTGCCATCGCGCTGTATCTCGGTCGCAAATTCGAAGGACGCGGAAGACGAACGCAAGCCATCGCGCTGCTTTCCATCTTGCTCCAGCCTGCGCTCATCCTCGTCGACCACGGGCACTTTCAGTACAACAGCATCATGCTGGGGTTCAGTGCGGCGTGTTTTGCGCTCCTGCACACGACTCTGCCGCATCCGGATGCTGTCGCTGCTTCGTCGTCGACGACGACGGTGCGGGCGCGTAGGCAGGCGGTGGCGGACCTCTCGCGTCGCCTCAGCTACGAGTACATTACGGCGGCGGTATTCTTCTGCCTCAGCCTGTCGTTCAAGCAGATGGCGCTGTACTACGCGCCTGCCGTGTTCGCCGTCATGCTCGGCCGGTGCATCGGCCTAGCCCGGATCGACTCGGAACGTGGGCTCACGCTCTTCATCGGCCTCGGTCTCGCGGTGATCCTGACGTTCGGAGTCGTGTTCGCTCCGTGGTTGACCAGTCTGGAGCAGGTGGGGCAGGTGGTGCATCGCATCTTCCCGCTGGCGCGCGGGCTGTTCGAGGACAAGGTGGCCAACGTCTGGTGCTTCGTCTCGGTGTTGCCGCTGCCGGCACGGTTCAAGTTGAAGAACGTCGTGGCGGCCAAGGCGTTGGCGAGGCTGAGTTTGGTGGTGACGTTGGTGGCGATCTTGCCGGGATGCTGTTTGCTGTTTTGGGCGGCTAGTCAGACGGCCAAGATGGAGATGATGGTGGCGCAGGAGATGGTGCAGACGGGGACAAGCGGGGGTGGGAAGCTGTTGGAGAGCGTCGCGGGAAGTGCGAGGGATGCTAAGGGAGGTGCGTCGCATCGATCGGGTGGCGTTCGCAGTCGAAGGTCTCCTTCTGTGGTTGGATCGGTTGCTGGTGCACCGGCGCGGTCCGAGATCGAATCGCTGCTCGCAGGGTCGGTTTCCAAGTCGCTCAGCGGTCGCATCAGCCACGCCGGACCGATCCACGAACACCTCGCCGTCTCGCACGACTCTGACTATCCGCACAACGCTGCCGGCGCAGACGCCCGTCCCGTGGCGTCGACGTTGCCGTCACCAGCTGCGCAGATGCTGGCGTACGGTCTGATCAGCGTTTCGTCCGCCTTCTTCCTGTTCGGCTTCCAGACGCACGAAAAGTCGATCCTCTTACCACTGCTACCGATGACACTCCTCCTGGGTGCCAAGGGCGATACGTGGGGGGGTCAAATCACCGCTGCGCGCGATTGGCAGTGGAGCGTATGGCTCAACAACATGGCCACCTTCTCCCTCTTCCCCTTACTCAAACGGGACGGTCAGGCTCTGCAGTACGTCGTCCTCACTTTGACCTGGAATTGGCTCATCGGCAACCTCGAAGTTCCCTTCAACCCTTTGGTCAGCATCCGACTTGCGGCGAGCAGAAAGGCGTCGTTCTTCCGACGCCTCAGCATCGTCACGTATGCAGCGGCGGTGGGGTTGCATCTGGTGGAGGTGGTGGCGCCGAGGATGCTGCCAGGGTTGCAGGGGAGGGTGTGGGCGAGGTATCCGGACATCTATCCTGTGCTGAACGTGCTGCTGACGACGCCGTGCTTTGCGGTGGTGTACGTTTGGGCGTTGGTGAGACAGGTTCAGGTGGCATTCGCGAATGGCTGGGAGGTGTCCCTCTTCGCCACCAGCAGCAGGAAATCACAGAAGGGCGCGAAGAGTTTGTAATTTCACTTGATCATACCGCTGTACACCACATTCGATGAGACCTGCAATACCAAACCTTACCGTTGGAGTACATCGTCCAATCTACCCTTCAGACCATCCCTCTGCCTCTGCACCACTTCTGCGAAGAACCCGCTGTAGTCCAACCTCAACAGCAGCTGTTCCAGGTGCTTCCTCGCTGACCCTGCCCCGGCCCAATCGACCTTACCCACGTCGCCCCTGGCCATCTGCAGCTGAGCCACCGAGATGGACAGCGAGCCCAACCCGCTCTCGTCCGCACCCGCTGCTGCCGCCGTCACACTCGTATTCGCCACATTACCTCCGAACGAAGTGGACGAAGAGAGAAGGCTGAAGAACCTGACCAGCTCACGGTCGATCTCCCTCGTCGTCTGGTCGACGAGCGATTGACGTTCGCCGATCGCCGAACTTGCATCCACCGCACCAGACGTCGTTGTGAGGAGCGGCGGCAGAACGTCGCCTCCCCAGCGCTCGACGGTGGCGGCGAAGCGATCGCAGATGTCCAGAAAGCACCGCACGATGCTCGACGCAACGGGGGAGGAGAGCAGCAGTCCGTCTTGGACAAACGCGAGGAAGGCGGTGTGCGAGGTGCGCAGCGAGGCAAAGTCGAGCACTGCATCGGCGGTCGCGTCACCTTCTTCGGCGTGAGGCTCGGTGCCGTCGTGACGGATGGTGTCGGCGCCATCGATGAGCGACTCGGGTCGTGTCGAGGATGACACGAACCTGCGACCCGCCCGACCAGCTACGGAAGCGGGCGGTGGTGCGTATGCGGACGAAGCAGGTCCCGAAACCGGGAACGCTAGCCTCCGATTCGTCCTGCCACCTCCGCCTCCTATGATCGTCGGGGGACGTGACAGAGAGCCGCTGGTGACCCTGGGTCTCTCCTCGTCTCCATACGCCTCGCTGTGTGCGATCACCGAACCCACTGGGGAACTCGATCTGTGTTGCTGTTGCAGTTCCGAATCTTTCCTACTCCGCAATCCCGCACCTCCTGCACCGCTCCTTGCCGGCTCGACCCCAACAGTACTTCCTCCCAACCTCTCCGTCAAACTGCTGTACTGCGCATCGATGATGTCGGTCTGGAAATGACCCAACAGCGTATCCAAAAACCACTTCATGCTCCTCACCAAGGCACAACTGCATCGCAAGAGCCGCGCGCGTTGCCTCTCCTCCTGCGCGTCCACACCTCCCTCGCCCGTCCCAGTGAACCTCCTTCGGCCGCGCTGGTTCTTGCTGATTGCGATCCAGCAATCCAACACCCTGGCGTGCACCTTTTTGATGGCGATCAAGTAGGAGAATATGCGCGAGTACGCTGCGAGGTCAGAGGCGGAGAGGAAAAGATCGAGCGGAAAGACGGCGGTGTAGTGGAGCTGTGCGGGGACACCGATCAGATAGTCGTCGAATCGAGTGGTCTGCAGGCTCGTTGCACCAGCTGTCATTATATCGGCGTTCGCCACGGCAGATGCGGGACCTCTTACTTTGGCAGCGCGCGCGCCGGCAAGACTGGGTCGATATCCTCCTTTCGGCAGAACGAATCGCAACCTCTGCAAGGACGGGTCGTCCTCTGCCCAGGTGCCTATCGTTGCTCTTCGTAGCGAGAGCTCGAGATCGCTCGATCTGATCACGCTGGCAGCTGCGGATCTGGCACGGTAGAGCTTGTTCTTCCTCATGGTTTCCACCTCGGTGAGCAGCGAAAGCATGTAGGGGCCGTTGCGATGCAGAAAGTAGTCGCCCAAGCACTGCAGCGAGGAATGGACGACGGAGGTGGTGAGGATGTTGCGGAAGATCCACTCGGAAACGTCGTTGCGGAGAGACTGGATTGCGCGATCGAGGTCGGACGGCCGGCTCGGTCGAATCTCGGGACGAGCAAGTGCTGCTTCGTGGAGCTGAATGACCGTATCCGGTGGACCCGAGGGTCGGGCATGGCGAGTCGACGAGGCTTGTAGGGACGAAGTTGTGCTTGCATATCGGATGGTATACAGCGCACGACCGACGTAGAGGATCGAATCAGCGGTGGACTCAGAGATGGAGGCCGGGAGCGCATCAGGTCGGAAGGCCCATGTGTTGCTGGAGGACGCAGCCCATCCAGCTAGGCCATCGCCGCTTGCTGCTGCTCCGGCATCAACGTGGTCGTTGTGTGCGTCTGCATCGGTGGCATCCATCCAGTGAACGATCTGATCCCTAGAGATCAGGTTGCGCTTCGAGGTGTGTGGATCAGCGATACCGCCGGGACGGTGGATCTCGCCTCTGCAGACCCAAGCTGCGAGATGTTGCATCCAGCTGTCCTCTACAGCGTTTCGGAGACGAGCCATGTGCGAGGCGACACGCTCGACACCAGTGGAAGCCTTCAAGGTGAGAAGATCGATCAGCAGTCCTCCCGTCCAGGCTGCTGGGAAAGAAGAAGCGGCATCCGCGTCTTGTCCACCCGGCTGCGAAGCGTTTGTGGATGCTTCCTTTGCGAAAGCGACATCTCGTCCCTTGCTTGGCCCTCGTAGGAGCAGCGTGACGACATCGTCCAAAGCTGTGAGCGGCGCATCCCATGGCTCGAAACGAGCTCTGAGATTCGCCAGACTGACGAAACCAGTCTTGGCCACGAGCTCAACATCGTTATCTAGCACCAGCCGCTCTGTTTGTAGCACCAGAGAGTGGTAGTCGGCAAGAATGGAGAGCAAGGTCGAGCAAAGCGGTACGAGGTGAAGAGTGGGCTGCTGCTCGAGCTGTGCCTGTGCATCTTTGGCACTGCTGACGCTGCGGGTGGCGAGAGAGTTGGCACGCAGCGCAGCGCGAATGGCGGTCTGTCGAGCTGCTTCGATTTGAGCTTCTGCGAATGTCTTGACACGGTTGTAGCGGGTGTAGAAGGTGGCTAGGTGGTTGAGGATCTCGATCTCGGAAGGGTGGAGGAAGTCGAGGTCGTCCCTGACTCTGAGCGCAGCCGATGAAGCTGCAGCTGATGAGGAGGCAAATATGTTCGAGGGATGTCCTGCCAGCATCGCCAGCAGTTCGGCGATCATGTTGGCAGCAAGACCCCCTTTGGTGATGATGATGACGACGACGACGAGAAGGAAGCGAGCCAAAGTCGCACCGAGGTGTTGGTCTCTCGCTCAGCTTTGCACCGATATCCGCGACGCGTCAAGGTTTTTTCAATCATTGTTACATCGAGACCTGGCCACACCGCTCAAAGTGGAGGTGGGATTCATGCACGCTGCACGAACGGATCATCGGTGCATCCGAGCAGGGTCCTTGTGGACACGGCATTGCCTTCTTGCACAGTCAGCATGCCCGTCCCACCAAAGGTACAGCCAACAGCATCCACAAACACAGCATCGACCACCATCATTGTCAACAAGCAGTCGCACCATACCGCCATAGATGACAATGTCTTCGCTCTACCAAAAGGTGCGGTCGGTGTCGTTCGACGTGCTCTGGCGAACCGCCCTCGTCCGCTTGCCACGCGCCGTCCCAATCTCTACCCTCAAATGGACATCCCCCGAAGGCCCGCATCCTTTCGTCTTCCATCTGCCTTCGAGATCCGACGAATACACCATCCCGCTACACATCTTTGTTCCGCAGAGCTTGTACGACAGTGCGCCGGCAGACGGTGCACCCGTCTTGGTGGATTTCCACGGAGGCGGCTTCTACCTCGGATCGTGCCTCGAACAGGCTCCCTTCTGCGCTTACATGGCGAGGAAGCTCGACTCGATCGTCATCAGCGTCGACTACCGCATGGGGCCATTCCATAGCTTCCCAGCGGCGATCGAGGACGGTGAAGATGTGCTCAGTGCCATCCTCGACAAGGATTTCCCGGGATACAAGCCACTACGTGAAGCGGTAGCTGCACGAATCCAGTCAGAGAAGGCAAAGATAGCAAAGCGGGGTGCCGCCGCCATAGACGAGCAGCACAAACAAGAGCTGCAGAAGGGCAACATCGAGCAGATCACGGTTCCAACCCAGTCCAAATCCTCCACGACTCCGGCCTCGTCTTCCACTGCCGGCTCCTCGCGTCCAGCCTTCGACTTTGACTCGACCAAGGTGGCTGTATCCGGCTTCAGCTCAGGCGGCAATCTGGCTCTCAACCTCGCCCTCGACATCAGACCGCCCGAGCTCGAAAGCCCGTGGCCGAGCAGATTTACCCCCAACTATTCCACACCCATCCCGTTACTCCTCTTCTACCCCTCGTTCGACCTGCGTCAACTACCATCCCAACGATCGCGTCCCGAACACATGGGGCTCCCATCGGCGTTCTGGACCCAAGTGGCGGACTCGCTCGCACCCACCTACGCCGAACGCGATCAGACCTCCCATCCACGCGTTTCGCCCGGCCTCGCCTCGCTCGACTCGCTGCATCCAGCCGCCCGCATGTTTCTCGTCCTGTGCGAACTCGACACGCTCTCCGAACAGTCCAAGCAGTGGGTTGCCAAGGTTCAGGCGCACAAGAGGACCGAGCATCTCGTCGTCGAGGACGTCGCCAACATGAAGCACGGCTGGACCCAGATGCCCGACGGCTGGCTCTCGCCCGAGGAAAAGCAGGCCAAGCAGGCCGTCTTTACAAAGGCCACCGCTTTCGTCGATTGGGCTTGGAACGGAGCGCAAGGCCAAGACAAGCCGAAGTCGCAGCTGGTTGTGCCGCAGAAGGATACAGGGAAAGCACAGACGGCGGATATTTCGCCAAAGGAGGTGGTGTGATGCGGAGTGTAATGAAAATGTGACGGTGACTGATGTGATAGTTGCAGTAAGGGTATATGAACGAGCGCGTGGTCAGAATGCAGGATGGCCAGAAGTAAGGCGGCAGTGGAATGAGACGTTCAAGCAGCCTTGAGAACGGAACGAGTGCCGAACAGACCGTCCATAGCCTGAAGCAGCTCTTGCGGTGTACACTTGGGTCGGGGACCCTGCTTGCGATCGTTGATATCGATGCCGACCTTGGCCCACGCCTGTACGAGCTCAGCCTCTCGGTAGCTGGGCAGCTCCTTGGCAGAGCGCGGTGACTTTTTGTGGTTGCGAGAAAACACGCGGCTGAAAAAATTGGTTTTGACGCGAGCAGCTGTGTTGATGGTCACCACCGAGCGTGGTCTGGCTTCGTAAGCGGGAGGTCCGACGAGCGTCTCCATCGGGGACTGGGTAGGAAAAAATACGGTAGAGAAGGTCAGTGGTGAGTGGCGGAGCGAGCAGACGTGTGAAATTGCAGGGAGGGAGGATGCTTACCTTTTCACTAGAAGCGTCGACGTTGATGTACTCTTCCTTTTCGCAGATGCGCACCTCGTACTCGATCACTACGGGTTTGACAGCGGTCTGCATACTGGAGAGGTCATCGAAGATGCACATGACTGAGAAGTCAAGACGAAGGGGCTAGAGTGCAATGTCGAGAGATAGAGTGATTGATTGGGACGAGAGGCTCGAGCGGGGAAGGATTGGAGTGCTTGTCTGCTTGTTGGACGGAGAAGATGGTCTGCATCCCGCACCCGCTTATATGTCTTTCCATCCTCACGTTGCGTCACAGTGTGGAATGGATAAGCTTGGTCTACAGGGGTCAGTCTTCTGATGATGAGCATCCTGACACGCGTGCAACGGATGAGCAAAATGACAGGTGTCACAAATCCAATCATCGATCCAAGGTCGATTCAGCAGCACGACACACCCTCCAGAAACCCTCCGCTGCGGTGTGCACGAGTCAAAGTCGAGCGGTGTGGGGGCACAATGCAAAGGGGGGCTTCATGCACGCCATCGCCGAAAATTGATGCCGTGTCAGAACGCTGATCATCCCTGCAGGCCGAAAATCGGATTGAGGAGGTCACCACCAACTTTGCATTGCTACGCTTGAGACTCAACGATCACAATTCATCTGTGCAAGAGGCGTCATTGATCACCGAACAATTCATATGTCGCACCACTGATCATTTGTACTGTAAGCTCACAATGCCAGAGTGACCACTCACTCGACGGTCGGCCTGACGCAGTCGACGTCAACGAAAAGCAATGCCCGTGCGAGAGAAAGTCAAGGTCACCATTCTTGGCCAACATCACAAATGACTCCTCAAATCCATTCAAAGAAAGGCAGGTTGAAACGAATTGGGCAGTGACTGCATCACAGAGATCGGATGATAACATTGAGAGGGAGGACGTGGTAGATGGTTGTGCGGAAGTGATCAAACAGATGCGAGTGCAATCAAGCATCGCGAGTCTCCGGGTCACTTCTGCGGTCGGGACGAAGGGCTCGCCTGGAGTACGACTTGGGAATGCCGCAGACGGACGAGTTGGGCACGTATCCGTTGGGAGCAGGACCGTTGTGCGAGGTGTCCCACTTGCCCTGGTACGAGTTGGCGGGTTCGTCCTTCCTCTGGCAACCAGTGCGGTCGATGTGAGCCTTTGAGCACCTGACACGCTGTGCCGTGCCCGAGAAAGTGACCGAGTTACCCCACTCGTCCATTCGCCACAGGCAGCCACGCTGGAGGTCCTTAGGCAGGTTGAAGCAGCCCTGACGGTTCTGATCGAGTCCACCGTACTGCTTGCCCCAACCAGACGTGTTGCCCCACTGGGCAGGGCAGCCTTGCGTCATGTAGCCGACACCCATTCCCGGGACCAGAATGTCAAGACCATCGCTGGTAACATCACCTCCGTCGTTGATGACCTGGTAGAAGAGCGTGCTGACCTTGCCGGGCTTCGAGTTGGAGGTCTGTGCAAAATTCTGCACGAAGCAAGCACATTCGTCGTCGGCCTCGTTACTGCTCGTCTTGGCGGTGAAAGCATAGCCGAGAGTGGGGTTGACAGCATCGGTCCAGGGCTGCTGACAGCTGCACTGGAACTCGTTACCTCCACCGCAGCCAGAGGAGCCACCGTCGTTGAGGTGAGCGCCGGTGACGACGGTCTTGCCGTCCTTGTAGCACGTGGCGACGGTGTTGTACACGGGTGCCTTGCCGGGCCATGAACCGCTAGGCTGTGGTCATACAAAGAATGAGAGGCAATGTGGTCAGCAACCTCTTTTCTGGTGTCATGCGAAAAGGAGCTTGGCCGAGGCAAAGCTGGATGTCCCCGAAAGAGATGTTGCCGCGACGATGCCGGTATGTTCGAGGCCATCGTGTTTCGCACTCACCTTGCAGCAATCCCAGTACATGGTAGCGTCGGTGGACTCTACCGAGGGTGCGAAGAAAGCGGCGCTCGCTGCGATCACAGCGATGAGGACGCTCGCCTTTCGAATGGAGCGGATCATATCGACAGAGGGGAACATGCTTAGGAAGGAGTGAAGAAAGAAGAAGGAGTGCAGAGGCGAATCGAGAACTGTGGGGTCGTCCGTTGCCTATCAAAGGAACGAGCGAAGGAGGGTGTATTAAAAAGGCGAGCAAGCTTCGAGCTAGCCACGCCAGGGTTCAAGAGATTGTGACAGAACGGAAGGGTTTTCGAAGCGACCGGGGTCTGGTGCTCGGCTCGCACAGCGAGGTCAGTCAGAAGCACAGCAAAGAAGAGAAAGGTGTAAGGAGTATGGAAAGTGTCCAAGGGCAAGGAGGCATTGTGGCGAACAATACGCTTTATACCGCGGTCGTCGAGGTCGCCGGGCCAGCCAAAAGTGTGCCAATTAGCGGTCGTGCAAGTGCAACGGTGATGTACGACTTCATCAAGAGGCGATGCGGGCGGCAACGTGGAAAGACCGGCGGTGCGGTCAGCTGGCTGCCCGTCACCTTTTGTACGCTTGCAAGCAATTCGGAAGCAACGTGGGACAGAATTCCGACGCTAAGTTAGCTTTGCAGCCAGGATCTAAGTTATGGAAACGCTAGCCAGCAAGCGAGGTCTAGTCGAACTGTCAAACGAGGGCGGAGTGCAAATTCAATCAGCATGGAACACCATTTTCGCAGGCCAGAAACAAGTGCTTTTTCGGCTGAAGAAAATAATTGCTGTTTTTGCGCAGTCCATTCCTCGGTCGCTGTGCTCTTGAGGTGAGCAATGCCGACTGAGACTACCATCGGAAGACGAGCCGACGTATGAGGCGTGGTGAGCGATGCTTTGTAGCGTAAATAGCTTCGCTTCATTGTCAGTCAGTCGGTGTGTGGTGGGTCGAGCGCCCACTGTGGGCGAACGAGTTGCAGTGCGATTGTCAAAGTCTGACAACGCAGGGGCCGGTTGCGCAGTTCGTTCAAGTAGAGTCGATCTCGAGCCTGACAAGGAGACAGTCTTTGTGCCATGCATCAAGTATTGTTCAGGGTGCAACCTCGGTTGAGGCTTGATGAATGTGGAATTTGAGGCGTACTGTACGAAAAGCTCTTTGCCGGCGAATCATGTCGTGTACACATTGAAGACCGACTCGAAGGTCGATCGACAGTTCCCTCCAAGAAGCTGGGATGGAGCTGTCGTTCGTTCTTTCTGTTTGTGAAATAAAATGAACAATGTTGAGGGGAAAAAAGGGTCGAAAAAGACCAGGAAAATCACTGATGAAATCGGGGACAGCAAGGACAGCCGATCCGAACTCCAGATCGATCACGATTCAAGACAGAAGACAGACCGAGTCGTGTTGCTGTTTGGTTTTGCTGAGCTGCAGTCCTGTGAATTTGGCGCTTTCTTCCTCGCGTCTGGAAGGGAGAGAAGAGAGAAAACGCTGGGATCACCTTTCAATTTTGTGCACTCTTCGATGCATCTTCTCGCTCTTTGTGTCACTCTTGCCGCATCGTCGAACCTCGTCTCTTCCCTCTCCACCATCTCGCGACTGGGTCAGCCGTCAGCACTGCGACCGCATCCATCAATCATCAGCATATTGTACCTGCGCCGCATACCGTGCCCGTCTCCCTCGCACATCCCGCAGCAAAGCCATCCGCGGCGCCCTCCTCTGGCATGCTCTTTTGAGCTTCTTCTTCTTCGCACCGCATAGCCGCCGGGCGTCCTCAGTGGAGCAGCTCTACAAGCCGGGCACGCACTCGTTGCTCGACCAAGGGCCCCCTAGACCGACCTCGCAATGCCTGCCCTTCCTTCTGCCTCCACCTCGAGTGGAGCAGGCGGCATCGCCGTCTTCGAGCCCGCCCGCTTCGAGCGCCTACATCGACTCATCAACGAGGCTGCATCCAACCCAGTACGACTCTCGCGCTCCAATGACTGGTTCGTCACCATCGATCGCAATCGTGCCGACCTCGCCGACCTCGGCAAGGTCCGTCCACCATCCGACCTCGAACGCAAAGAGATCGAATCCGGCAAAATCACCATCAGCGGCAACACACAGAGTCTCAATCCAGATTTTGCCCAGCAGTCGCTCTTGCTCGCCCGCCAACTGGCCGTCTCGGAGCACTACGCCGCTTCCTTGCTCCAGCAAGGTCTCGCTGGTCGCGCGAAATGGGGACGACCCGCTGTCGAGGTCGCCTGCATCCTCTATCACCGCGAACGGCTTGCGCTCCTCGCATGCCTCAAGGAGCTGCTTCGTAACGCACTCACCATGCCCTTTGACGATGATCCCGAGGCTCAACGCATGGGTCTCAAGATGGAGCAACTCGTCGAGTCTCTCGTCAGCGTAGACACCTCCACTGCCTCTGCCTCAGCCTCGACACGCAAGCTCACCCTTCCAGAGAGAATCCTCGCAGAGATCGACAGTGCCAAACAGTCGGCTGCACGCGTCAAAGCATCGCTCGAATCGCCCAGCTCGGCTGTTGCCAACCAGGGCATCCAGACACAGACCTCCAACTTCTTTGGCCTCGGCAGCAGCAGCCAGACCGCCGCACAGCAGACATCCACATCAACATCCAATACTGGCAGGCTCAGCGATGACATCCAACTCGACCGCCTCGGATGGCTGCGCGAAGAACGACGCGAGCTCGGCCACCTGCTCTACCTCCTCTCCATCTCGTCCCTCTTCACGCCCTCCAACATTTCGGCCGTCCTGCGCTGGCTCGCCGCCGTCTCGGCAGAGACGTACGACGAGATGACCATTTACGTCCTCACTGCGCTTCTGGGCGCCATCGATGCTACTCCAGAGGCGCGAGCTGCCATGGCGGACCGCGCAAGTCGAGGCATTCTCCGCAACACAGTCGAAGACGTCCTCGACGACGAGTCCTTCATCACATCCACCCACGCTGAAATCACGCGCAAGAAGTGGGCTCTCGGTGAGCTCAACAGCGTCGTTGCGCTCCAATGGTCCATCTTCTTGGTCGAGGCTTTCTCACGCAATCCTACCTATCGCAACCAGCTGTCCATCTCCGAAGAACACATCCAGGACCTCGTACTCCAGTCCATCACCGGCTCGTCGCTCTCGAAAGATCTCAGGGCGGCAACCGGTTCCGATGGTCCCGCTGGCGGCGCCTTCATCTTCCTCGTCGTTCGCGTCCTTGCTTTCCGTCAAAGGACCATCGACGCTCTCTTTGGCGAGGAAGAGGATGCAGTCGCCGCCGAAGCTGATGCTGCCGCAGGCGACGTCGTCGACAACAACCCTTGGGAAGACGAGGTGGACGCCGAGTTCCGCGAGTACGTCGTACAGCAGATTCACAACCTCGCCGTCGGCACCACCTCGGTCATGCTGCCCATGCTGCGACGCATTCAGCGTTCCGAAGAGGATGCTGCCTTTGCCCTCTCCCGCGGCGTCAGTGCACGAGGCAGCTCATCCGTACCTCCAGAGCGCAGATACGACATCGAGGCGCTCTTCGACCTCATCGCGTTGCTTTGCCGAGGCAGGCCAGAAGCCGGCCTGCCCTTCTGGGTAGGTCCTGACAGCCGTACAACGCGCTTCCTCGCCTGGGCCATCGATGTCCGCGAACCTGGACACCAACGAGCTCTGCTCAACATGCTAGCTGCCATGTCGTCGGGCCCTCAAAGCGCCAGCCAAGCATATGCGCTGCTCGACCAGGAGAGCACTCAAGCCGGAGCTGCCGGTGAAGCCCGTCTCGTCTCGTGGAGCCGCCTCTTCGAGTGGATCAGCTACTACATCGACACTTTTCATCAGGCCGTCAACTCGTCATCTTTCCACGCATCCAGCTACCAGGCGTTGGCTATGCCAAAGAACGAAGAGACGCTCCTGGTCGGTTTTATTCGACTCTTCCGCAACGTTGTCTACTTTTCGCATCCCGCTCGCGACGCATTGCTCCAAAACTCGTCGTACAATGCGCTCGACAAGCTCTTCACACTCCTCACCTGCCCCATCCCGGTCGAGCTCAAGGCGAGCATTCTTGACGCCCTTTCGGCCTTCCTGCACCACTCAACCAGCAATCCTGCCGCCCAATCCCGCTTCTCAGCGATTGCATCGCAGCTGTGGGACCGATTCGATGAGTGCGGCTTGATCCCTTCGGATGATGCTGCCGCAAAGTCGCGCCTCAACGGTGGCAACTCTGCATCCGCTTCCTTTGGCCCTGCGTTCCAGCCGCTAGCTTCCAAAGGCGTCCTCTACGAGCTCGAAAACTTCGAAGTGCCCCTGCGCACCTTCCCCGGATCGACCAGCTTCGTCAACTTCCTCAAGGCGCTCGTCCAGCTTCCTACGTCGACGCTTGCAGCTGGCTCCAATGCGCTGGCAGACGCCGCCTCCACCTCGGCTGTCAACGCCAACCCCTTCAGCGCCATTGTTCCGTACGATCAGCACGCGCAGCAGCAGATCCAGGGCCAAACACAGCCAGCGTATCAACAGCAGCAGCGCAGACAGCCTCGATCGGTCGAACCTTACGTCGACTTTGTCATCGACCATGTTCTGCTCAAAGCACGTACGCGTGACTATGTCGAGCCTGCCGAGCAGTGGCGTGTCGTGGCTTCGTGCCTCGACTTTGTCGACCGCTCCTTGCGCTCCTACGACCTGGCAGCTCTTCTCCGCAACAACGATCAAGCCGACGCGGTCTCCGACCCGGCGTTGCTCACCCAGCTTGCGTCGCATCCCGGTTTCTTCCTGATGCGTCGCATCCTCACCGGATCCAAATTGGTCGGTGAGATGCTCGGTATACTCGTCCCAGGCTCTGGCCTCGCTGCTTTCGAGGCCATCAACCAGAACCGTGCAAGTACCTTCTTCTACGGTTCATCCGTCCGACACGTCCTTAGCATACTCGACCGCGTGCTGCGCTACCAAGACCTCTTTGTGCAGGTGCTCATCCCCACGCTGGTCGACACCACGCTCAACGGTGTACAGCTTCCCTTCGACGTCTCGACACGCGTCGGTAACTCCGGATCGTACAGCACTTTCGACGTTCAGCTGCTGCACGCCCACGAATCCGTGGTTCAGATCGCACTGCTGATCAACTGCGTTCGCGACGACGTAGCGTTGTTGTCGGTCCGCCTGCTGGGACTTATCGCTCGCACCGCCGCCTTCAGCGCTGTCGACCGTTTCGGCGAGATGGGCTACCGTCGTAAAATGAACCGCCTCGTCGGCTTGCTCGAAATGAGTGACGAAGCCGGTCGCGTCAAGGCAGGATACGTTGCTCGATTGGAAGCCGAGTCTTCCGGCGACGCTGGCAGCGTCAAGACGATCGAGACTTTGAACGCTCTCGCTGGAGGACCTCAGCTCGATGAGGACGAGGACGCAGATCTGCAGGCTTCCAGCGGCAGACTTGAAGGCCTCGCCGCACTTGCATCTGGCGACGCTGTGGAGGCCATCCAGATCGCTATCATAAACCTTCTCCTGGCCGGCACCGATCTCAATCAGCCCGCACCCAACGTCGCTCATCTTCTGCTCGGCTACGACTTGCGCGCGGCTCGCCCCGAAGAGCAGGTTATCATCGATCCCGACGCGCAGACGGCAGCTCCAAGCGCCATCCATGCCATCCTTGCTCTCCTGCGTCCAGAGTCGGACAGCGATGGCGCCTCCTTCCTCAGCCTCGCCGAGCGTTCGCCTGGCTTTGCAGACAAATGCTTCTCGCTCATTCTGCGTCTTTGCACCCATCCTTTCACGAGCGCAGCAACGCTTCGCTACCTGCGTACCAAGGAGGACTACGTCGTTCAGCAGCTGCGCAGCCTTTCCCTGGTGCCGGCTGAGCGTGGAACACTGACCGCAAGCTCGGCCGCACTAGGCTTGGTTCAGTTCGCCGATGGTCAGGCTATCGAGACAACGGTCGACCGTGTCACCGCTTCCTTGCGCATGCGTGCGTCTCTGCTCGAGCTCACTGCGCTCGAACTGCATTCGCTCCTCAATGCCGGCATGCAGTCGCGAGCAGCACGCGTCGTAGCCGCCCTGTTCGGATCCAACGCCACCATCGGCGGAGGCAACGGCCTCGATGCGGAGGACAGCATCGACGAGGACGACCTGCTGCTCGGCACAGAACGCGATTTCCGCCTCGGCGCCGGTGGAGCCGAAGTCCGCACCTTCGGTGGGGTCCCTTTCCTGGAGATTCTACAGAGCCTCGACTTTGAGTGGTACGACGATCGCGAGGCCCTCGGCCAGAATATCACCGTGATCTCTCCCGAGCAGCTCGATCTTGCCAGAAGGCCTGACGCTGCCGTCGGTCCCCGACTTTTCGATCTGGGCGCAGTGCTTGCCATCCTTGTCCGAGAAAAGACGCTACTCCAGCAAAAGGGCAATCTGCGCGACGCAGGTCAGGCAAATCCCTTCCTGGAGCAGGCCGCCTTCGTGCTGCAGTGGGCGTCGGCTCAGAATGCCAAAAAGGCGGTCGCGTTCTCGAGACGGCGTGTGCTGCGGGCATGGCGACACACTCTCGACATGGTGTTGGCGCGGGCTGCAGGCCTGCTGCGCACCGAGGTCCGATCCAGCCTCATGTTCGACTGTCTCTCGGAGCTTCTGCCGCGCATCTCGACACCCTCGACAGACGCTGGTGCTCTTGACGTGCCGTCTGCCGACCTCGTCGCTGGCGCGGTGCTCTCGCTGCTGACTTCGCTGCGACAACATCGCGTCGAGTTGACTTCGGGAGCGCTCGACGTTGAAAGTGTCGACGCCCTGCCGACGGATCGACTGCTAACGACGCTGCGCGCCCTCATCGACTCGGTACTCAGACTCGAGACGACAACGCTGGCTCGCGGCAATCTCTACTCGGCCCTGATCAACTTCCTGCAGCTGGTCAAGTCTGGGAACGGTGATTCTGGCGTCGAAGCAGGGCTCAACGATGGCGCTTCCATCGTGGCCACCGGGCTCGACGAAAGCATGTCGGTGGGCGGTGTTTCCACGACGACGACCAACATCTTTGGCGGTCGTGCACAGACGAGCAGCCTCGAGGCGCGGACTCGCACCTTGCTGCTTTCTCATGGCGAACGCCTGATGGATGTTCTCGGGCGCGATGCGCTTGATGCAAGCGATCTGTCTAAGACCATCGCCTTTACGCTGCTCGACAAGCTGTGTGCGCTCGATGCTCCGTCTTCTTCCGCAGCCTCGTACCGTCGCGGCGGCTCGCGGTGTTTGGACTTGCTGGACCGCAAAGGCTACATCAAGAGCTTTGTCACGGCCCTGCGCGATTCGGACTTGGCCTTGCAGGAGACGCTTCGTCCCGACCCTGCCAGCTTGAACGCGCTGTACGTGTACGAGGCGCGCCTTGCGTTCTTCAACCGCATGGCTCAGACACGCGACGGCGCCGAGCGACTGCTCAACGCCAAGGTATTTGACGTGCTCGCGCAGTCCGACTACCTGGCAGCGCGACCGGACCAGGATCAGGAGTTTGTCGACCTGGACAGCTTCCTCCCTGCAGCGACGGAACGATACAATGCGTTGCTGACACCCGTGCTCCAGCTGACGACCAGCATCCTCGCCAGTACGTCGGCAGGAGCAGCCGGTTCAGGTGCCATTGGCATCTCGAAGGGAGCCGCCTCCACCTCGGCATCTGCCGCCCCTCGACACGCGTTGGCCCTTCTGACCGCTCACCGCGATGCACTGCTGACGGTGCTCCGCGCACCGCTGCAAGAGTTCTGCTCATTCGCGCAGCTCGGTCAAGCTCATCTCGTGGTCGCCATCTTTGTGCTGATCATGCCGACGCTCGACGACGACGCACAGCAGGCGCCGAGCCCTCTGGCGCCTTTCCACAACGCCATCATCGCCTTCGCAGCCGCCTACCTCAACACGACTTCCTGGCGATCGCGCATCGTACCCTACAACGAGGCGGAGCGTGAGGAAAGCCGCGTGCCCACCACCTCTCTGCGTGCGCTGCGAGCTTCGAGCGAAGCGGCCCACGGCAACGGCAACGGCAGCACGGGTGTGGAGGAGGAGAACGCGTTCGATGCCAAGGTGGGTTCGATGGTGGTGCGGCTGCAGATGACGTTGCTGTCGTACCTTGAGGCAGCTAGCGACGCACGAGGCAGCAATACGGCGAGAGTGCGCCCGGTGTTGATCCCGTCGTTGGCGGCTGGTCGCGAGCGATCGCGCACGCCGTACGGAGCAGGCGACGACGGCGGCGATGGCGACTCTTCTCGCGCTGGGTTCTTGCGTTCGCAGCGTGCCTCTGCTGCGTCGTCGACGGTGCCGAGCATTGGCGGGCTGGTGGCGGCGCTGGACGAATACACGGACTCGGTGGCCAAGGAGCTTCAAGGGCTGGAGAACATCGAGGCGCTGCTCGAGAACGTCGATTCGGTGCGTCAGGACGAACTGGACGAGATCGCACGCGATGCGCTCGGCGAAACCACCGCCAACGAGCTCTCCGCTGCACAGCGACGCTCCGTCGCGCTCCGCCAGCTGTCGTCGCGCAAAGCGACGCTGCGTGCCTCATCGACGTCGAAACTCGATGCGGTGGAGCTGATCCTGGTGCTGCTCATCCGTCACATCGAGTTCTTCCGAATGCTGCATTCCGACCGAGCTTCGGCGCTGGGTACGATGGGCGCGAGATCCTCGCCCGCGGCGCTGGCTGGGGCTGGTGGAGGATCTCACTTTGACTGGAACAGTCTGATGCACGGTCTGGCAGAGTCGCTGCTGCCGGTGGTGGAGGACAAGATCGGATACCTGTCGCTTCCACCGAACCTGGTCGCGAACGCAAGGGAAAGGCAGAGCTTCCTGCAGATGGCAGGTAGACGTCTCGCCAGCTTCTTCACCGAGACTGAGCAGTAGGCAAGCACGCACATACACACCATGTATTACCACAACATCCGAGACAAGAACAAAAATGATATGACTGATACCGAACATCATTCCGTTGCATGCTCCAAACAAAATTGTGATCATTACTCGCCTTTGAAAGCATTGCTATTAGACAGAAAGCGTTGTGTGTATATGTCGGCAAAGCTTCGGGTAGCTGGCGTGAAAGTGTCCGAATTAGTTTAGTGGCTATGACGGCGCCTTGTCATTCAGTTGACGCTTCTCCGCGCAGAAATCGGCGCAGACCCGGGTTCAATTCCCGGATTCGGAGAATATCTCATAACTTTTTTATTTTTCTTTTTGAACCTCAACGTAAGGGACACTGTTTGGTAGTGAAACAAGCAACTCAGGAACTGGGGGCTGAAGTCAAGACATGTTTGGGCAGCTGAATGGCCGTGTTGAATGTGCTGGGAGACTGGGTATATATTGCGTGCAAGTTGGGCAGGACAAGTGGTGTGACGGGTGAAAGGTAGTGACGCGCGGTGCGAGAATCGATCGGCGTGCTAGTGGGAGATGGAGCTGATCTGTTTGCGCGACTGGTGCAGCAGAGCTTGGGTCTCTGGATCGAGGGTAGCCGCTTTGGAATTTGACTGACTCTGGCTCTGTGGACCCACTTGTGGTGTCGTAGTGATCGATGCTTCCGTCGCTTGTGTGTTGGGAACGGCAGGCTGGAGCGCTTCACCCAGGTCTTCGTCATCGTCGTCGTCGGCTGGGGCGATCTGAACTGCAAGGGGAGGCTTCTCTTGCGGCGCCTGTTTGGTCGACACCACACTTTCTGCCGAGGTGAGAGCTGTTGCGCGTCTGTGTTGCTTGGCTCTGAGACGCATGATGAGCCTCCTGTCCAACTCGATGGCTTTGTTCTGCACCTTTTTGATGGTTCCACCACAGTGAACGACTCTGATCCTCAAACTCGGCACCTTTGCGCTCGAACCGCTTCCACTGTCATCGGAGGACATCTCTACTGGACTCGAGATCATCGTGGCGCTTGCCCAGACCAGCCTGGCAGCGTCGCGCGAGCATCTCACGATGGCGGTCCCCGTATGGGTGCTGTAGTACTTGCAGGTCAACACACCGCCGAATGCACCCGAAGCAACATCTCCGAAGTTGTACACGAGCGATGCACGCAGTAGTCGCGTGATGAGCTGCGGTGTCAAGGTCGATGCAGCGCCGTTGGAAGTGGGAGATGACTTTTGAGCAGCAGAGAGGGTGGTTGCTGAGGTGGAGACGTGGACCGAGGCGTCGTCTGTGGCCAGTGGAAAGGGCGATGCCGTAGCTAGTGGTTTGTCGTCGATGGCGAGAAGCAGCCAGCGCGTCTTGAATCGGACCATCCCGACTGAATCTAGATCGAAGTCAACGTTGATGTGACGATGATAGAAGGAAAGCTTGAATAAGAACAAGAGATTGGACCCTTTTTTTCTTGCTTGCCGCACAAAGAAGAAGCGATGCGAGAATTCACCTCCACCTACCTTGCTGCCTGCTCGGCAACCAAAATTGGATGTGACCTTGCAGAAGTGAGCTCAGCCACGCTAACATGCATTTCTTCTCGAGTGGCGGGCGACCTTGTTGGTGGTCCAACACTGCTACTTACCACGCTTCTTCCAGTATCGACGAATCACTACGCGACACACTGATACAAATGCAGCTGCATATGGCGAGGCGCTCGAGCGCTCCTACACTCTCATAGCATCTCCCGCATCGCTGGACATGCAGTCGCAAGCGTTGCTCGAAGAATGCCGCCAGAGGCAGGACGACGAGATCGTAGCGCTCGAATCCATCTTTGCCGCTACCGAAGACGGCGACGCCGAGAACGCAGTCCATCGTCCTGCAGAGCCTAGAGTCAAGCTCATATCCAACACGCCGGATCCGATTCTGGAACTCTACCTCCCTGTCACGCTGCCAAGGCCAACGCACATCACAGTAGAGACTTTCGCACACGACACCGACGCATGCTCAGCAACAGCATCTAGCTCCAAGTTGCCGCTCGAAAGCTCGGTTGCGTCATATCATCCGTCAGTCGTGCAGAAAGAAAGGGCAGCACCCTCCGCCCACCCAAACAACGGGCGTCGCCGCAGCAGAAAGCAAAGCACAAAGTCTGGGCATCTCGATGCCACTGCCAACGCCTTCTCTCCGGGCAAATCCGTCAAGTTTGTACCGGTAGTACAGCTGCAGACAGGAGTAGCATCAGCAGAAGAGGTTGCACGAACGCTCGACGGCCTCTCCCTTCGTTCGGATAGCACACACGATAACGCGACACACGACGAGTCCGCCGCCGCCCGGCTTCGATCGACCCAGCATCTACCGCCTCTGAGACATCTACCACCGATATCATTGCGGGTCAAACTTCCTCCGACGTACCCAGCTGAGAAGCCACCTGTGGTCGAAAGTCTCCTAGCGCCATGGTTGCAAACAAGACCAGATTCGCACGACGCCTCTCTCGCATGGCTGCTGCAGAGACTCGACCAGCAGTATCAAGAGCTCGGCGGTATGGAAGTGCTATACACGTGGGCCACTTATCTTACCGAAAACCTCTGGATAGCGTTGCTGGAAGAGCAGCCCCTTGCAATTGATCCTCCACCATTCTTGCGACTCGCAGAATCAGCTTCCGACACGACGCAAGCGAGTCTGCGTTTCGAAGAGAGTCTCTCTTCCCCAGAAGCACAGCCGCTGCTGGCGGCTCAGCTTGTAGCGCACTCACGACTCTGCAGCCGTACTACGTTCGACGCCGCCTCGTTCGACTGCGCCATCTGTCTTGAAACACGCAAGGGAAAAGCTTGCACCAGGTTGACCGGCTGCGGACACGTCTTCTGCTCCGAATGCCTGGCGGGATATCTTACGAGCTTGGTAGACGACGGTTTCCATCGTCAAGCAAAGCGGTGTCCCGATCCGGATTGCGTCACCCTGTGGAGTCAACGCGAAAAGGACAATCTTGTCGATCAGGAAGGAAATATGATCGCCTCCGCCAAAACCAAGTCCAAGTCGAATGGCGCAGCTGTTTCCAATGGTCAGATCGACGTTGCAGATGGAGAGGACAAGGCGGTCGTCGGTCTCGTGACCCGGTCGGAACTGGAAGCAATCCTTGGCACCGCTCGCTTGAAACGGCTGGACGAGCTCACAGTCAAGGCCAAGATGGAGGCGGACCCGTCGGTGTCCTACTGTCCTCGGTCCGGCTGCCAAGCTCCCGTGGTGCGCCTGTCTTCCGACGAGAATTCGGGTCACTGGGAGCGGTTCCGAGAATGTCTCTCCTGCGGCTTTGCATTCTGTGCCTGGTGTTCTCGTTCCTGGCACGGTCCCACCTCGTGCCCCGTCTCGTTCCAATCCGAGTTGATCCGACGCTACCTCTCCCTGGCCGAATCATCGCACGATCGTGCGCTGATGGAGCAAAAGTTCGGACGCAAAACGCTCGAGACCATGGTTCGCAAGTACGAAGAAGAGCAGCAGACGCAGCAGTGGCTGTCGGATTACACGACGCCTTGTCCGACATGCGGGATCGCCATCGAAAAGTCGTACGGATGCAACCACATGACGTGCAAATCGTGCCAGACGCACTACTGCTACCTGTGCGGCAAGCCGATCTCGTCGCAGAACCCGTACCAGCACTTCAACACGCCCGGGTACGAGTGCTACCATCGACTGTTCGATGGTTTGCTAGGAGACCAGGCTCCGCAACATCAGCAGCAGCAGCAGGAGGGGGAACAGGGGCATGGAGGTGCAAGGAGGGGGCAAGGCGATGGCGCAGCGGGCGACGACGCGCGACCGGGCTTCGCCTTGCTGCTCGACGACAATGGCATTCCGTTGCATTTGGAACCGGAAGATCAGGAGATGGACCTCCTCGCTTGGCAACAGCTTGGCTGAAGCCGACATCAGCATTCTACTCGAGCTTCACCATCTCATTCACTCATAGACAATGGATCACAATAGCAAGCATTAGCTTTGTTCGACTTGGCAGCTTTTGAGACGAGCCTACTTGTAAGCTACCTGACTGTCCGCAGTAAGTGCAATGCCAGGCGGGGAGGCCACGAGGGAAAAAAAAAGGAAGAATCATCTCCGAATCCGGGAATTGAACCCGGGTCTGCGCCGATTTCTGCGCGGAGAAGCGTCAACTGAATGACAAGGCGCCGTCATAGCCACTAAACTAATTCGGACGCGATATATTCCGCTGTTCCAGTGTTGCGATATGTAGCGCATATAGACATGTTTAGATCAGCTTCTATCTGTCACTGTAACTTGTGCAAAGATCGCGACGGCACACCTTGTTCCGCAGAGGGACCAGATGCTTGGTATAAGTCAGACGAGCCTAGCTCTGAGGAGAGGCGATAAGGCGGACCGCGAGTCCGGCGGCCTCCATCGTCCGTGCGGCGGTACGTTGACCGGTGCAGACGTGGCAGCAAAGGGTGTAACGGTGTCATAATTGGAGGGGAGCGATGTCAGCAGTGCTCACCATTCTGTTTGATGACGATGAAAAGCGGAAGAAGCTGCTTACACATGGCAAGCGCATGACTACAGCCACGAGCCTAACTCAGAAACAGAGAGAGAGAGAGGCAACAGACCGTGCGTCGCCCAATCTCGAATTTCGGGGTGGCATCCGGATCAGCTTATCCGACACATCTCACCGAGACGATGACATCGCAGTCTCGAGCTGGCATTGTGTTTTCATTGTGTTTCGATGCAGCCCATCCGCGTAGTTCTGAAGCTACTGTATGACTGGGGCCACCTACTTACCCCTATCGTGTGTGCCAGAAGGCGCAGTCAAGTTGTCGTCATCAAAATTTGGAGGAGTGCTGCATTACCGTGGAGGAGGATCGTTACCTCTTGAATTCCGACCGACCGACCGACCAGACCAATTCGGCTACGCCGTTTTTTGCAGTGGAAATTCAACGCTTCCGGTTGGAAAAGGCCTTTTTTGCTGCTCGTCCCTCCACTCATCTCCGCGGCCCAAGTCAAGTCGGGTTGGAGGCACGAGACGAGGTGCATGCACGGATCCAATGCTCGGTTGGATCAAAGCGCATATTGGCTGCATGTGAACAAACTTAGCCTTTCACTTATCGAGTGTAGCACTCACTGCTTTGCTTTCCTCTTAACATCCCCCGTCCTACATTGCACAATCGCTTCTCTCCTTTTCATTGCCATCACGACTTGCCCTTCACAGCCGTCACTGCCTTGCTGGGTTGCGAGGTAGCATCACAACCTTGGTCGTCGCCGTCAGGGCTCACCTCAACCCCGCAAGATGGGCCTTCGCCCTCTCTTTGGCTCGCGCGCCAGCGTCAACGACATCCACGATAGCTTCGGCACCACGCTCGAGGCTGTCAAGACCAGCGAGAGCGAGCACGCCGATCCCCTAGAGCAGCAACATTCCAGCCATGCCGCTTCATCTGCACAGGAAGAACCACTGTCGCCCCAAAGTTCCCAACCTCAAGGCGGCAACGGCCTCGCCGGCTTTCTCAATGGTGCCGCCCTCATGTCGCACAAGGACTCTCAGTCCAGGTCCGAAGATCGCCACGACAACGACGTCGCTGTGCCCTTAGATTCTCAGGCTCAGAAATCTGACGTCGCTGCCGTCGATGCCAACTCCTCCGATGACGCTGCTGCCTGGAAGAAATCACGCAACGAGGCCGAGACATCCGACCGTTACGAGTCGTCACGCGCGCGTTCAAAGCTAGGCAGGACGCTCAAAAAGGTCGACGCCAAGATCCGATCCACCATCGGCGTCAATGCTCCTCCCACAGCTCAAGAGATGAGGAGCCCCTATTCCGTCGGAAACAACGATCATCTCACCAGTCAAAACAATCTTGGAGCTGCTGAGCTCCTCAACGACGCTCGCTTAGAGACCCTGCAGCATCTGTCCGACGATGAAGAAGATGACAGCGACGACCAAGACGAGGACGACGGCGACGACGAGGAGCACACCTTGCACGACAAGAGTGACCAGCATATCGAGAACGATGACGACGATGCAAAGACGCTTCGCGACTCAGACACTGGTCCCGATCCTGCCAAGATCCAGGAGCATGTAGCCAAGCTCGATAACGCCAATTCCAGTGCTGAGCACCGTCGCTCCGGCTCCATGGAAGGTGTGCGACCTGGCGACAGCATTCGCACGCGTGCACCCGTCGAGATCTCGGCAGAGGACAAGATGAAGGCCATCATCGAAGAGTTTGGCGAGTGTCCCTCTGTCTCGCAGCCCAACGAGCCCGAAAAGCTCATTGTAGATCACAACGGCGTCCTCATGAAGACGGTTCTCATCAAGGGCAGCCTCTTCCTGACAAATCGTCGTGTATGCTTCCTCGCTTACATTCCCGATGCCGCGTCCAACAACGACAACGCCGTCGAGCACCATCAAGCCGGACTTGCTACCGGCAAAGACTCTTCCGCCGTTCGCGCGCCTTCCGATCCCAATGTCGACAACCCCATCCTCAAGTCCGGCCCCGCTGTCATCCACAGACCAGGCAAGCTGAGACCAAAGCGCCGCGTGTGGATGGAGCTGCGCAAGGACTCGTTCAACGCATACTCTGCCAGCAATAAGCTCTACAAACCTCTTCTCTCTGCGCGTCTCTCCAATCTCTATGCTATTCTCCCCGTCGACTGGGCCCAACCCAACGTTATCCGCTTCGTCGAAGGTCTCAAGTACAGCTCTGTCGAGTTCAAGACCCAGGAGGCCGCGCTCGACTGGCGCAAGGAGCTCGAAGCCGCCGCCTTTCACGCCCGCAACACTGCCGAAAAGGTTCGCATCAGCATCCCTCTCGAACGCATCGTCGGCACAGACGCCGCCGACTTTATGCACGTCGCCAGAATCCTCCACGTCGACGTCCTCGTTGGCGCCGTCACCGACTCCGAGATAGCTCAAATAGAACAAGAGCATCGCGAACGTGCAGACGGTCATCACATCGGTCGTAGCTGGTCCAGCGGCAATTCTTTCCTCACTTGCCCCAAAAACCCAGGATTCAAGTGCCACGTCACTCAGGTCGCCTTTGGCGTCACTCACAATCGCGCCGCATTCATCGACCTTCTTCGAGAAGCTCTCAAAGCCTCCAGGTCCGTACAGCACAACCTGGGATACAAAGAGATGCTTCAAGCGTTGCCGTCCCCGCTCCTCGATCTTCAAGGCGAGGCGGACGTCGAAGAGGGAGCTGCCGACAGCAGCACCTCGCACGACGATCAGAAAAGCTCGCTCGCAGACAAATTTTGCCATGCCTTTGGCCTCCCAACTCGCGCCGACGAGCTCCATCTCGTCAAGGCGGAGCTGGTTCGAACCCTACACACGCACGGAACCATCGCCATCGGCCTCGACTATTTGCTCTTCTGGCGCAGGGCTGTCGGACGTGATCTCAAGATCAAAGTGCCTCTCAACGACCTGCAAGGTGTCGACACGTATCGCTCCATGCTCTGGCATCACTTTGGTCTCGTGGTACACATCAGGGCGCATGCAGACATGCACTTCGACTTCACCTCCAAAGAGAACCGAGACATGACGCTCCACAAGCTCCAGAGCTTCATCGATGCCAAGCAGAAGCAGAGCAAGGAGAGCAAGAACAATGCCGACGGTCAAGCTCTCGAGAGCGGTGCCAAGTCTGCCGACGGAGTTCAGACCACGCCCAGCAAGAAGGGCCCCGCGGAAACACTCTTGCACGATGCTGCCGCCGAAGTGCCCGTGTTCGAACCAGATGTGCTCGCCCTGTTGCCAAAGGTGGTCAACATGGATCGCGACGCCATGCGCGACGCGATTCGTATTTCGCCCATGCGCATCTACTGCCTCACAATTGGCTCGCGCGGTGACGTGCAGCCGTACATTGCGCTGTGCAAGGCGCTCAAGGAGCATGGTCATACACCGGTGATCGTCTCGCATCCTGAATACCGCGGATGGGTCGAAGGGCATGGCATCGAGTATCGCGGTGTAGGTGGCGACCCTGCGGCTCTAATGAAGCTCAGTGTGGAGCATCGGATCTTTTCGCCCGCCTTTTTCAAAGAGAGCATTGGCAAATTCCGTGTTTGGCTCGACGAGCTGCTGCGAGAATGCTGGGAGGAATGCCAGGGTGCAGACCTCCTCATCGAGAGCCCTTCCACCATGGCTGGCATCCACGTTGCCGAAGGCCTCGGCATCCCGTACTTCCGCGCTTTCACCATGCCGTGGACAAAAACGTCGGCGTACCCGCAGGCGTTCAGCGTTCCATCGATCGAGATGGGCCCGAGCTACAATTCTTCGTCGTACACGCTGTTTGACCAGGTCATGTGGGTCGCCACGAGTGGTCAGATCAATCGTTGGAGGAAGCACATGGTGGGCATCGGAGCGACGGATATGTCCAAGATGGATGCAGACTCGGTGCCATTCATCTACAACTTTTCGCCGGCGGTGGTTCCCATGCCAAACGATTGGGGTGACAGGGTCAAGATCTCCGGGTACTGGTTTTTGGACAACCCAGAGTCGAATTGGAAGCCGCCCAAGGAGATGCAAGATTTCTTGGAGAGGGCCAGGAAGGATGGCAAGAAGATCGCCTACATCGGATTCGGGTCGATCACAATTGAGAATGCGGAGGAGGTCTCGGCGAATATCATGAAGGCGGTACACGAGGCGGATGTGAGGGCGATCGTGGCGAAAGGTTGGAGTGGACGTGGTGGATCCAAGAGGAAAAAGAAGAAGCAGCAGCATAAGCAGCATGATGCAAAACCGCACTTGCAGCACAAAGATTCGACGAGCTCTCACACCGAGAGCGAGGACACGGCTACGGAGGAAGAGCACGAGCCGGAGATCACGATCCCAGACGACGTGTTTGTCGTCGACTCGGTGCCCCACGACTGGCTGTTCCCCCAGATCGACATTGCGATGCATCACGGAGGAGCGGGTACGACGGGTGCATCGCTTCGTGCCGGATTGGTGACGCTGATCAAACCCTTCTTTGGCGACCAGTTCTTCTGGGCCAACAGGGTGGCCAAGCTGGGAGCTGGAGCGAGGGTTAACGGTCTCAGTGTGAGCGATCTTTGTGATGCGTTGAAGAGTGCAGCGTCGGATCGAGTCATGGTGGAAAAGGCACAAGGTGTAGGGGAGAAGATCCGATCGGAGAACGGCGTGGCGACGGCGATCGAGTTTCTGTACAAAAACATCCCGCTCGCCAACAGAAGGACGCAGAGGAGGCTGGAGAGGGAAGCCACACACGACTCCACCGACTCGTCCTACAGGACCAATCCCTTGTCGAGATTCGGCACGCACAGTCGACAAAACAGCGCAAGCGGGTCCGAGGTCAAGGAAAAGCACGGTCAGACCAAGCGCTCGGCCACCCTACCACCCGTTTCCACCTCTTCCTCGGAGAAGAGTGGGGACATCCACCGATCCAGCACGATCTTCGAATCGCCCGCCGACGAACTCAACTCCCCCTCCAGCCCCACCAGCCCCAGCAGCCCCAGCAGCGGCAATCGCACCCTCCTCCCCTCCCTCCCCTCCCTCTCCACCCTCAACCCACTCCCCTCCTCCATGTCCTCCAGCTTAAAGGAGATGATCGCCTTCCACACCTCCACCGCCGACACCACCGCCGACGGCGAACCCGCCCACCCCGAGAGATCCAACACCACCCCTCCCGGCCGCCTCGCCCCAGAGGACGAAACCGACGAACAGAAAATGCACCGCCTCAAGGGCTACAAGAACGCCAAAGCCGAAGACATCCGCCGGAGAAAACTGCTGCTCGAACGGCTCGAGCGCGAAAAGCTGCAGAAGGAACAGCAGAGCCAAACAGGCCGCAAGGAAGAGCAGCACACCTAGAATTTCCCGGGGGAAGAGAATGCTTCGTTTCAAAATGTCTTGCACAGGAACTGCTGGAATCTATAATGCATACACGTTTTGCCCAATTACAGCCCAACGCTGCGACCCAACACCGCATGAGAACCACTGTTCGCCATCCCTCCCATCCGTATACTGACATTCAAAACTCAAACCCTTCACCGCGGAACGCCTCCAACGAGCTCCCCACATGCGCCTTCTGCGCCAGATCCATCCGATCCATCACCAAAAAGATCCTCCTCAACGTCGACCACAGGTTGTGACTCTCGCCGGCCTCTGCCAACGGTGTCGGTGCTGGCTGCTCGCCCTCGGGCACATCGGGTAGCGTATGCGTCTGCTGCAGACTCAGCGCTGCCAACAGATGCTCGGCTGCTTCGTGGTGCGCTCCCAGGTTGAGGCACGAGACGGAGAGGTTGTAGATGGCACGCGTAAAGGTCGGTCGCAGCTCCAAGGCTTTGTGGTAGGCAGCGATGGCTTCTTCGGGTTTGCCACCGTTGGCAAGCGTTGCACCCAGACGGTTCCAGAGCAAAAAGTCGTTGGGTCGTGCACTGAGAGCCGTGTTAAAGCAATCCTGAGCCTGTTCGTAGGCCGACTGGGTGTAGAAGAGCACTCCGAGACCCACCTGCACCTCAGGATCGATCTGACCAGCGCTGTTGCCCTGTCGAGCAGCTTGCAGGAACATATCGGTGACGCGATTGAGACTCGCCCACGGATTGCCCTCTGTGCCCTCGATCGGATCCTTGGAGCCGGAGATTGAGGCGGGAGGCGGGGCAGCCGTGATGTTGGGGTATGCGCGCGAGATGTAGCGCTCGAGCGTCTGGTGCGCTGCAGTGTCGTAGCCCTCATTGGTGTAGGAGATGGCGAGCGACATGTATGCCTCAAGGTTGTTCTCGTCGATCTTGATGGCTTCCTCGAGGGCGCGGATGGCCTGAGCTTCCTTTTCGTTCATCGCCTGACACTCGCCCAGCCTGCGCCATGCCTCGGAACGCTCGCGACGCGATCGATCCACCTCACCTCGCTCGACTTCGCCTCCAGTGCCACCCTGCGTTTCGCGCTGTGTTGCGGCTTCGAAGAGAAGGGCGGCGTCCGAAAGATTTCCGCCGCTCGAGAGGAGACGCAAGCCTTCCGAAAGAGGGTCCGGATGCGTCTGGAATGGATTCTGCTCGCTCCTTCGATACTGGCCAAGACGAGGATATCCGTCCGGGCCGACGACGCCGAAGCCATCCAAGAGAGCATCTTCGGTACCGTCGAGCGCGCCCATCTCGTCGAGACCGTGCCTGCCACCACCGAGTCCGCCGGAAGGATGGGCGTAGCCAAATTGCTCGTCGTCGTCGTCGACCCGGGACTTCATGAGCTCTTCCTCCCATTTGGCGAGTTCGGCGTCTGCAGAAGAGGGTGGAATGCCGTTGCGGGAGTTCATGGATCGCCAGAGGTCCTCAAAGCGCGAGTTGGCTTCCTGACCGTCGGCAGAGAGTTCTTGCTCAATGGCGTCGAGCTCGCGACGGATGGATTCGGCTTGCTCGGCCTCCGAGGGGAGAAGATCGGCTTCTGCGTCCTTTGCTTTCCCCTTGCCTTTGGATTCGGACTCTGCTTGCTCTGCATCGAGCTTCTTGAACTGCTCCTCCCACTTGGCATCGTCGAGCTCGGTGAAGCGAGACTGAGAAGACTGTGACTGCTGAGGTGGATACTGCTGCTGTTGCTGCATGGAGCCCATTGCTCCCATCATTCCCATGCCCATACCCATGCCGCCCATTCCCATTCCCATGCCGCCGTACGAGCCCATGGTTGGACGAGATGCATAAGCGGCCGAGTCGCCCGAGCCGGAAGCGTCTCCACCGGGCATCTGGCGCATGGATGCTGGCTGGTGGTGCTGCGATGAGCCAAACTGCTGAGCCCATGCGGACGAGCCTGCGGAGGGCTGCATGGACCTGGCAGGTGCGCCTCGTCTAGCGAAGGCGGCTTCCATGTCTGCGTTGGAGGGAGTGCCATTGCGAGGCATTTGAGATGCCCAAGCAGCGCCGGCGTTGTGAGGCTGGAAGGGTGGAACGGCGCTGCTGAGCTCGTTTCGCATAGCTTGCAGGTCGAATGCGGAAGAAGCCGCGCCTCGAGGCATGGAAGCTGCCTGCTGTTGGCGGAAGAAGGCGTCTGCATCCGAGTTGGGGCCGGCTTGATGCTGCTGACGCATGCCAGCGGGCGCTGCTTGAGGCTGGCCTGCAAAGGTGCGATCACCATGCTGGATTGAACGGTCCTGCTGTGTGTGCTTGAGCATCTGAGCAAGACCATTGTTCGAGGTGGAGCATTCGGCTCCATTGAGCATGGATTGGAACGCCATGTTGATGTCCTAGCGGCGATTCGCCCTTGAATATTCAGCTGTAAGTCGAAGTGCTGAAGCGGCGATCGATCCGATAGCGTTCAATGACGAGTTTGCTGCGAGTAAGTGTGAGTGGTGGTTGTGGATCAAGATCCAGCGTGGCGGTGGAGGGTTGGTCAAGGCACGGTGAGAGCGCGGTTGATTGGTTGCGTGAATGCGAAATGTGATTTGCGGGGAGAGAGAATCGAGAGCCTCGAGTGGAGAAAGCTGAGCTGGCTGGCCAACTGCTGCGCTTTCAGGGCGCCACCAAGCGAGAAAGCGAGAGAAAGAAGCCGGCTAAGATGGGACCGTGTGCTGCTGCTGCTGCTGCTGAACGCCAATTTCAGATCGCACTGTGCAGACCGTTGCCGGATTTTAGCCGTAGCAGCGCGTTGGGTCCCAAATTGCCGGCTTCTAATGGCGGCTGATCCGTCACCTCTTTTGCTATCTTTTAATTCGGCCGGGTGAAGAAACCTGTGCTGGAAGCTTGACGTGCTCGTCCATCTTGCCTGTTCGACCGTTACACACGCGTCCATCACCGTCCGACGTTCGGTCCGATCATGTATCCATGGCTAGCTTATCAGGGTCCGATAGCGAGCGCACACGCCCAACATTCTGATCGTCGCCGCTTGAAATCATGCCGCTTGAGCCGTTGGAGATCATGCCGGAGGACCATCGCTGCCACTCGTGCACATGACCACGAGCGAATCGCCCCCTTCGCCTCGGCTGAATGCTCACACTGATACCCACTGGAGAAGTTCAGCTTGCTGCGAGCGATCCAAGCTGCCTCTTGGGGAGACACAGGCCTCTTTGGTGCCAAGTCTATTGTGCCATCACTACCACGGTAGTTGAACAGTTGTGCGAGATTTGACATTGATTCGTCGCACGCTCGCTCCCCCCACGCCCACCATCTTTTTCCCCACTCCGATTTAGGCTGCTATTGACCGGTCACCGTTTCTTCCCCGCACTCTGACCTTGTCCGATGTGATTCACCTGATGAACCTGTTTGCGGTCTTCTTGAGCGGACTTTCTTCGGACGATCCTCTCCCGTCCAAGAGCGCAAAACCCTATCTCAGACAGCATGACAAAAACAGATAGCAAAGTACTCACACCGACCGCTCAGTTTCCGCGTCGGTCCGTTCGTGCAGCAAGATCACGTCGCTTGTGCAATCACTACCTCGCTTATCTCAATGTCGGTCAACTCGGCTCTCCCCTGCCACCTTTCCTTCTAAGTGCTTTCAAGCTTTGTCCTCGACCTGACACAAAGCCGACGTCGGTCCATGTTCGCCGACCCTCATGGAACAAGATTCTTCCTTGACTGCATGTGCACGCGATGCATACACCTATGCGACGGATACGTCGGCAAGATGCAGGTGAGCACAGAGGCCACCGCCAGCTCCGATGGCCCTTGCTACGAAGCGGCTCTTGAGGATACTTAAGGGCAAACGTGACAAGTGAGATGCTCGATCCCGACATTCCCTCATCATCCTGGCAACTCTTGTCAACAAAAAAAAAGATATCAACAGGAAACACGATGGTCAACTTGTTAGCTCTCACAGCCAAGCTCGTCGCTGCTGCTACACTGGGCGCCACAGCCGGGCTGCTGCCTACTGTTCGAGCATATCCCTCGGCCATCACTACCGACAATGCCCCTGGTGCGATCGATCAGTTGCTTTCTTCGCGGTCCAACGCCCTCAACAACGGCACCGACTTTCTCTCCAGCCTGTCGCCAGGTCAACGTCATGTCTTCTCGACGACGCTGTCCATGCTCGATTCCAACTTCCAGCCTCCTTTCATCTTTGGTTCTTCGCGCTACACGGCCTACTACGCTATCTCCCTCCTAGCCCGCAACGGTCCTGGCGACGCTGCTCTGGCCAAGCAGCTCTTCCACAATGCGATCGCTGCCCAATGGAAGAATGCATCCGACATTTGGTACGGTGCCTTCCTCGATCCGAACCAACCCGCGCCAGGAAAGCTCAACAAGCCCAAGATCTACGGTTCGTACGATGCCAACTCGAATCTCTTTGTTGCTACCGCCTTCATGCTTGCCATCGAGGACTTTGGCCACCTCATGGACCACGACACCAAGAACGCTGTCATCGAATCGGGATATCGAGCTGTCGGTGGCGACACCTACCGCGTGTTCGGGATCGACGATGACAACTTGACTCCAGCTTACTCGAATCCCTGGCTGATGCGCTGCATGGCCATGTCGTACTACGGACATCTCAAGAACGACGCCAACATGACCATGTACGCCGAACGTTACGCTGGCGAATTCTACTCGCTCTTCGATATGTATGACACACTCAGCGAGTTCAATTCGGCGACCTACACGGGTGTGGCTCTCTGGGCGCTCAGTCTGGGTGGCTACCTTCCATCCAACACCACCATGGCCAAGCGGGCTGGTGACACCATCTCCAAGGTCTGGGCCAAGACCGCCCAACTTTGGCAGCCGCAGCTCAACAGTCTGGGTGGCTCGTGGGATCGTACGTACGGGTTCGGCTTGTCGGACTACGTCAACTTGCTCGGCTTCTACACAGCGGGTTTGGACGATGGATCCGCAAAGAATTGGGCCGAGCCGTGGAAGCTCTCTGGCTCTCCTCACGTGTCGGATGCCGCGTTTGCGCCGCTGATGGCCATCACCAGCAAGTTTCACGACCAATACGTCTCGCAAAAGTCGCGCGAGTACTTGAAGCCCTGCAGCTCGGTCGGCAAGGTCGGTCGTTTGATCAAGTCAAACGCATGGTCACCGCCTTTCGATGCCGACGTCAAACAGTACGGACCCCGCAATTACACGGCATGGATCGGCGACAACGTCTCGGTGGGTGGCACAGAGATCGACGAAGCAGTCATCGGTGGTCCTGCCAAGAACCCTACGGCCTTTACGCCGGCTGTCATGCTGTGGAAGACGCCAGACACCCACTCGCTCAACTACGCTCAACCCAAGGCTTCTTGGCTCTCGCTCTATCCAACCACCCAAACCATTTCGGCAAGCGCTTCATCTTCCAACCTCACCATCCGCTTCCCGCCCTCTCGAGCCTTCGCAGCCAACTACACAGCGCCAACTCAGATGACGCTCATGTTCGGCACCAGCCCACTCAACAACCTGCCCAGCGACTTTTTGGTGTCGTCCAACAGTACTAATGGCACGCTTCCAGGTATGGAATTGTCATTCAGCGGAAATGTCGCCTCGGGCGCAGTGAACCGATCGCTGACGTACGACAGCTCGAAGAACATCAACGGCTTTTACTATTACAACCTCACCTTTGCACTCGGCGGCCTGCCCAAAGACGCCGTACCCGAGCTGGTTGTCTCGTACAAGGTGGTGTAGTCGATGCTTGCCATCTTGAATAGCTCTCTGTTACGGCATCGCATTTGTAGAAATGGAACAGAAGGAAACGAATCTTTGTGCGTCAGTCTGACTGAAGTTAAATCGTACAGAAGGCGAAAATGGACAGTTGCAAACCTTGGCAGCAGGACGCGACGCGTGTGAGTCTGAGCCCGCATGCCTGGAGCTTTTGAGCAGAGACAGCGCGTAAAGAGCACTCAAAACGCAGAAGCGCAGAAATTCCAGTTCGCCGCCAAACCGCCGCGAGACCAACACTTTTGCTGCTGCGCTTTGTTCACCTTCTTCTTTCCCCTCCACCAATCTCATTCGCATATATCATCAAAATGGCTCTGAACGAACAGCCATCCAACCCCCAGCCCGACGTCGAGGCATCTGCCGAAGCTGCGGATGGCGCTTCAGCTCGCCAGCTCATCGACGAAGCAAAGCGTCACTTTGCACTCAAGGAGTACGTCGCAGCTTCGGACAAATTGGCGCTCGCCCTCGATGCTCTGTCCACGGAGTACGCAGAAGATGCCGACGAACTAGCACCGCTGCTGCAGCTCTACGGCCAGAGCGTGCTCGAGAACTTCATCATCAACTCTGGCGCGCTTGGTGGTGGAGGCGGGTCAGCCCCACTTCCCGCCGCTGCCGCACCTGCCGCCCCCGCAGCTTCGGGATCGTCCTCCAAAGCGTCTGGGTCGTCATCATCCGCAAATGCGGTCAAGAGCGATCCCAGATTTAGCTTCACCGGAGACGCCGAAGACGACGGTGACGACGACGAAGAGGAAGGCGCTCCCGGCGCAGGTGCAGCAGAAGGCGACGACGAAGACGACCTTCAAACAGCTTTCTCCGTGCTCGACCTCGCCAGAGTTATCTACAGGCGCGCTCTCGATTCGGAATCCCAAAAGCTCACTACGCTGGAGGGTCAAGAGTGGGGCAAAACACGCATCCAGGCCGAACTCGCCGAAGTCATGAACCTGCTCGGCGACGTCGGTTTGGAATCCGAGAACTTTACACAGGCATCGGCAGACTACCAGTCCAGTCTCGACACCTTGCGCCCGCTCCTCAACCCGCATTCGCGTCGCTTGGCGGATGCGCATCTGCGGCTCGGTCTTGCACTCGAATTCCACCCCGAAGTTGAACAACGCAGAGGTGCCAAGGCGCACGTTCAAGCTGCATCCGATGTGTTGGCCGCCCGTATCGCAGCGATCCAAGCACGTATCGACAGCGCCACCACCTCGACGACGAGCTCCTCCGCAGACACAGGCACCGAGAAGGAGAAGGACGACCTCGCAGACCTGCACGACCAAGCTGCACTCGAAAAGGAGCTCGCTGACGTGCAGCAGCTCAAGAAGGAACTCGACACCAAACTCGAAGAGTACGAAACCGAGGACGGACAGGCACAGCTCAACGGCCAACCCGATCTGACCGGCGTGCTGGGCTTGCCCGCGGATGCGGCAGCTGCAGCAGCGGGAATGTCGACCAAGGATGCGCTGCAGCAGGCGATCAAGGACGCCTTCCTCGGTGCGCAAGCCGAGGGCGGCGGCGAAGTCAACCCTTTCACAGGTGGTGCCAAGGGTGCTGCGGCGGCGGATGCTCCAGTGAACAACCTCAGCTCTATGGTCAAGAGGAAGAAGAAGCCCGAGGCGGACGACGCGGGCGATGCATCCGCGGCGGGGCAGAATGGAGAGACAGAGGCCAAGAAGGCCAAGACCGAAGCTTGATGTTCTAGCAGTGTAACACTGGCTGCTGCGGCCGTAATCAACATTTGATCGAACAACAATGTGTATTGTGCAGAAGCGTGTGGATTCTACAAACCATCCCTGAGGTGCTGATCCCAAAACTCCCAGGTTCCGTTCGTCTGGGCTCTGGCGGTCTCTCTTACACCCAGAATGCGCGAGACGAGATTGTGCACCTGCACATTCGCAAACCCATCCATATTCCATCTTCTCCCCTTGACTTCCTGCCAATCTCGGAAGGATGGACCGCTAGCGACGAAGATCGCCTGCATATCGTCCTGCTGGTTGTCGTAACCGTGGTTGCCTCTCGGAGCGTAGGTTCCGTCTGCAAATGTTGCCATCTCGGCGTGGTCGGTGATGCTCCAACCTAGATCGGGGATGATCCAGATGGGAGCGAGACGGTCGTCTACACGGCCATCGTCGTTGAGGTGGTACCTTGGCGGCAGAGTGGAACGTTTGAACACCTTCCATCCTCTTCTCGATTTCGATGGGAGGGAGGAGAGGCGTTGGAAGGCGAGATGTTCCAGCTGTTCGCGGTGTGATGGTGTGCCGCGGAAACGTAGACCGGCACTGGGCCAACCGTCTCTACCCTGTAATTGAGCGTAGAGGTCGTTTCCGAGCAGCTCGTCGAGGTAGATCAGCTTGTCGTTGCTCGTACTCGTCATGCCGTGATCGCTGACCACTACGATATCGACTATCTCGCCTAGTGACCTTTTCTCCACCACCTCTTTCCGCAGTTTTCCGATGAACCCATCCACCCTCTTGACCGCATCGACCGCCTGCTCGCTCTCTGGTCCGAATCTGTGACTAGCCTGATCGATATCCGGCACATACACGCAAACGCAACTCGGTCTAACCCGCACATCGTCCTCATCCATCCACTCCAACACCTTGCCTAACCTATCGTCTAGCTTCCAGTCGCTTTCGTACTTCTGAAAGTATCGTGCTTTCGTCCCTGCTTGTGTTTCGGGTGGACCGGGCCACATGAGCACGGCAGAATTCAACCCGTTCCGCTGCGCCGTCGCCCAGATAGGTTCGCCCCTCCACCATTCGGACGACCACGAGTGGGCTGGGCTGGTGTAGTAGAACTGGTTCCCAGAGGAGTCGGTAAAGTCGTTGGCGACGATACCGTGGGAGGAGGCGTAGAGACCGGTGAGCAGGGTCCAGTGGTTGGGGAACGTGAGCGTGGGGAAGATCGGTTGCATGTGCGAGGCGAGTCGCGAGCGTGGAGAGGAGGTGCCGAGCGAGGTGAGGTGGGGTGCGAGCGTGGGTGTTAGGTAGGAGGGTTTGGCGCCGTCGAGGGAGATGAGGATGACGGTTCGACGGAATGTGTGTGTGCCGTTGGAGATGGTCGAGTTGGGTAGGAGTGATGTTGGGGGATCGGAGGGAGAGGGGGGTGATGTGGACCACGGCCAGGCGTGGCTGAAGACGCTGAGGAGTACAGCGATGAGGAGGAACGGGATGATGATTCGGCATGCTCGAAATGTTCGTCGGGTAGCTTGTTCTGAGGGAGGACCGACAACCGAACGGCGGAGAAGTGGTGTAGTTGCATCTGCTTCTGATGTGTCTTGATCGCTAGTGCTGCTGGCGGTAGGATTCTTTGTCGCCGCTCGAGATCCGCTCCCTCTCTGCCCAGAGGTGGATCCGCCGGGTTCCTCACCTACAGAGCTCATCTTGTTATGCTTTATTCGACTCTATGTTGGCATGTCGATGCAAGTCTAAGTATGCAAGTCTCGTTGATGGTGTCACAGTAGACACCAACGATGTTTCAGGGTCTCGGTTGTGGTGAAGGTTCGCGTCAAAATCGCGGGACTTGTTACGTCGGCAGAGCTACGCGCTTGGGGAAATTCGCTCCGAAAGTGGTCTGTGTGCATTGCCGGATTCACGCGGCTTCTGCGTAATACTTTGCATGCTAACATTGTGCAGGTCAAAAGTGTTCCTGTCGAACAAGGCCGGCGGCACCAGTGCTAAAGTGCCCTTGCCGGTGGTCACCCTTCCATTTCACGCAAGTGTCCACTCCCGCAGCGTTCCTCTACCCTCACTACTATCTTCACCACCATCATCGGCGCGAAACAAAATGACGTCCACCGCTGCCGACTCTTCCAGCGCTGCCACTGGCGGCGGGTTCTGCGTTCACTGTGTCTCCGGGTTCCGTATCCCCGGCGAGCCCAGAGGCAAGATGGAAACCATTCACGGCATCAACACGTACGTGGCCACCCCCTCCCAGCCTTCCTCCGACTCCGCTTCGAAGGCCATCATCTACTTTTACGACGCATTCGGACTCAAGCTCGCCAACAACAAGATCATCCCCGATCAGCTCGCCGATGCTACCGGTCTCACCGTCTACGTACCCGACGTGTTCAACGGCGGAGGAATCGACGAATCCTCGCTCGCTGTCGCACCCTCCACCGCGGCACACATGAAAACAGCCTCGCTGTTCACCAAGCTTCGTGTGGGAGCAGCATTTGCCCTCGCCACCCCTTTCTTCGTCAAGAACCTGCCTCAGTCCAAGATCCCGACGCTCAAGAAATGGATCGATGATCTCAAGCAGTCGAATGGATACACGAGGCTAGGCGGCACCGGCTACTGCTACGGCGGCAAGTTGGTCATCGCACTCAACGCGACCGGTCATATCGATGTCAGCGTTGCCAATCATCCAAGCATGATCACTAAGGGCGATATCGCAGCCATCAAGAATCCCATCCTCTTCAACTGCGCCGAGGAAGACCCTACGTTCTCGGAAAATTACGCAAAGGAAGTCGAACAGCAGTGGAAGCAAGACACTAGCAAGCCAGCACACCAGTTCGAGTACTACCCGAACACTGTGCATGGCTTCGCTGCCCGTCCCAATCTGGGAGACAAACAGGTCAAGGAGGCCTTTGAAAAGGCTTTCAACCAGACAGTCGCTTTCTGGAAGGCGAAACTTTGATCTCGTTACATTTCGAATGCAGCTTTGTTATACCAATCGGAATTCAATGCAGATGCTCCAGCCCTTCGTGCAGCCGTTTGTTCTGAGACGACGTCCACCAGGCCAGCAAGAAGTTCGCCGCCCATTTTTCGTGATCTCCGTGCAACGCGATCACATCCTGCGCCGCCATGTTGCTCATCTGCATCCTGGTTGCTAGACGGTATCGTGCTTCTACGATGTTTGAAGAGAGCACATTTTGGGTCCTGGCGCCAAATGTATACACTTCCGACATCAGCAGAGGGACCGCATGCTCTTGCAACCAGCTTCGCCATTCGCCCGATGTGTACAGCACCAGCTGATTTCGACCTTCGATCGACCTGCGGATCTGATCGGCCTCCGTGTTGTAATATCGCATGGCTTCGTCCGCCATCACTTTTCGTAGATGCGGTGGATGACTTCTGTCGAGAGCTATGAGCGAGACTCGACGACGGTTTTCCGTTTGGTCGAATATCCATCGCACGTCTTGCGGGAGCAGTGCTCTAGCGTTCGCATCATCCAAGTCCCCATTTTGAGACACAGGAGGAAGACGGGAAGTCACGACAGGAATGCGTCCGTAACGAAGTCCATGTAGATGGAAGGATGCGATTTGAGAGGAGGAAGCCGGGGAAGACCGAAATTGATGGAAGAGCCTTTCGAGCCAAGAGTCGGGTGCGACAGCAGCGGCGGCAGCTTCTCGAGTCTGTTCAGCACCACTTCGGACTGACGCATCTCGAAACGCCGACGATTGGACAGCCTCATTTCGTCGAGCTGGACTTCCCAGTTCGAAGCTCTGCACGGACGGTCCGGCTTTGATACGCCGCAATGTTGGCGGGCTGTCAAAACCAGGAGGCGGGCGCAGCAATCTTCTGCGTCCTTGACCCTCTTCCCGCGGAGGGAGAAAGCTCGAAGGCATCGAGCCATCTTGGTCACCTCGCAGCCTGCCTCTGTCCTTCATCATCTCCCTCGCTCGCTTCCTCGCCAGTCCGGGGTGAGACGGAGGGGCATTGGGCCCGGGAGAAACATTCTGCAAAGGTGCGGGCAGCCTCCTTCGGCTGGTGGGAACACCTGATTGGGGAGGCGCTAGTCTGGCTAGAACAGGATGCGGCATGGGTAGTTCCGATGGATCGGGCGAGGCGAAAAAGTCATCGACGAAGCGACCGCTCGTGGCAGAATCCGATCGCGTAGCCTCTACAGACCTAGGAGGCTCGTCATGCCCTTCTTTGCTGCTGTCGCTCCGATCCGTGAAGCCTTCGAGACTATCATCGCTAGCATCGCTTCCAGATGAGCCAGAGAGCAAAGCAATGAGAAGTAGGATCGTTGAGAAGAGCGAAACTGATCGCATGACTGCGCCCAGCAGGAATGGTGAGAGCAGTAAGTTGAGTCACCAGCAGTCTCAACACTGCGAAGGCTGATGCCGAAAGTATGATGAGATCTGACTGAACGAGTTGATGTCTGTAGAGCGCGAAAGGAAGGCAAGCGATCGACGCCATCTGTGTCAATCATAGAAAGAGGCGACAAGCCACAGCGTTGCCCTTTTATCTCCGTCATGCTGATGAAATTATGCGCTGCCAACCGCTGCAGGGGCCACAATGACTGCAGATACCGAGTTGGAAACAAGACTTCAAAGATCGAGGGAAATGAAACACACATCTCGAAGATCGAATCAACTTGTAATGAGGAAGCGACCAGGCAATCAAGCGGTGAAGGTCTCATCATCTCGGTCCATCACGGTCCGCTGTGCAGCTTTGAAGATAGGAGTCTGTTGCTTCGAGTTATGTTTGTGAGCGCGTGCTGGACTAATGTCCTCTCACGAGCATCATGCTCGACATTGAGTGCGTCCACTCGAGCTCGTTCATATTGGGCCGAATTTGATCGAGATGCAGGGCAATTTAGTCCCTTTCCAACTTCACACCGAGAGGAACGCACAATATCTTTGAATGCAGTGTAGGCAGGCGATGCTCGTTTTTTTAGACTGTCTGCATTCCGTTGCCGCCTCTGGACGATACGACACTCCAGCCTGTGATACCAACTCGGCCTTTTACGTAGGCTGCAATGTCCCAAACATCCAAACAAGGATCCTATAAGAGCCTCAGTCCAGAATGGTGTGCTTGACACGCCTCGACCAGCCATTCAACCATCATGTTCCTTTCACATCTCTTTCTAAGTCTTTCGTTCTGCCTCTTTCTTTTCTTTGATCTGGTCACTTTGGTGAGGGCCGTACTCTCTCACGGCGGCTTGCCTATTAGTGTCGCAGAGGGCGAGGAAGGAATTCGGACCATCTGGCGAGCTGCCCGCGAAGGAACAATCACAAACGTCCTGCCTGCAGAGTTTCAGCATCTACAAAGGCCTTGGGAAGATTTTCTGACGGGGAGAGGAACGAGCATCGTGAAGGACTTTTACAGGTGAGCCGGATGCGAGACAGTTGGACTCAGTGTGACGAAACATTCTTGTAAGACTGATTAATGTCACTTGATCTCTGTCTATCAATCAGCCAAGCTCAAGACCCAAGATGGTAAGTAAGGCTCCGGCTGGTTTACAGGCTTGATTACACTGACCGGAGAGTGCGTCTTGACAGGAAACGTGCTCGAAGTTTTGGATACTCTCGGTATGTAGCAGCAGTGGTTCGAACTTCGGGTAAATCATTGCCCGTTAGCTCACGTTCTTTGATCCTTGTTTGATGGCATTTGATGGTCAAAAGATTCTTGGCTCTGACAGAGCTCACAAAGCGCCAACCGTACAAATTCAATCCTTCGAGGTGGCCAATGAAGCAGTCTGTAGCAACACTGCTGGTCGAGTCCTTCGCAGAGCAGCAGGCTGCCGCTCAGAAGGCAAGAGATGAAGCGGCCCTAAAGGATGGGGTGGTGACAGAAGTCGGCGAGAAGAATCACGAGATAAGGACGCTGAACCTGCTATCGTTCGCCCAGAAGGATAGGGCTGCGGGAGGAAGTGATTTTGTCGGCGGCGTTGAAGCGGTCAAACCAGCTCGTCAACGACACGATTGGGGCAGCACGCTCAGCCTTGGTCGCGATAGAAGCATAGACGATGCCCCACAAGACTCTTCACATGCATCTTCTACTGTTGTGGACCAAGGTTGGGCACACATTTGATTTCGAATGACATCCTGTTACTCATCACCATGAGTGTTCGTACATTTGAAAGGCGACCTATTCTCGTAGCGGCTGGAAATTTTTTGAATGACCAGGAGGATCGCTGGATATGGAGCCATGTGACACCTTGAATAGAGATCACTGCGTTATTCAACGTTAAAAATCAAGAGATCTGCAAGCTTTTGATTGGCCGCTCTCTCGTACTCCTCGTAGTGGTCGTTACACGTTCCATCGGGCTGAACTACCCAGCGACGGCCCTTTTGGCACCTAGGAGCATCTACTTCAGCTGGGTAAAATCCGCAGTGGTCCCAGTTGAGGACTGCTTTGGCCCGCATAGTGTCGGGATCAACGATGACGTTGCCTTCGTGTAGGTCACCGTGACAAAGCGGGTAACCTTCTTGGTCATTCCGAGCCCACTGCTGGGTAACGGTCCGGGGCCTATTCTTCTTGATCGCAAGGGGAAAACAAGGGACGCGAGGGAATCCGCGAATGGTGGGAGAGCGGAGCTTGGCGAGCTCGCGGGTGAAAGAGTTGAGTTGCTCGATCGCAGTAGCTTTCGCCTGTTCGTCCTCAATCTTGTCCATGCGGATGCCCTGAACACGTTCCGATCCGAGATAGACACCGTCGCTTTCGTCAAGATAAAAGAGAACTTCGGGGACCGGGAAGGTTGTGTTTCTGCGGACAAAGTCGATATCCGCTTTCTCGTTTCGCATACGGTTGGCCAGATCCGTGTGTGCGAAGACTCTGTGAATCAACTCGTCCACCTGAAATTCTTCGCGAGCGAGAATGCGCTTCAGCACGCATGCCTTTCCTGCGACGGTAATATCGTGAAAGATTTTGCCGTCGGTTCGCCGGCTTGAAGTGGTCGGAAGGAAGTTTCGTGTTAGCATGCTAGTCGTTGGTAAGGAGGCGATGGTGAGAATCTTGAGGTTGGTTGCAGGCAAGCAAAGGCCGAGCGCATGCGAGCCCGCGTTCTTTTATGTCGAGAGTCAGATCAGAAAGATGCCTAGTTCAAAGGTCCGCACGCCAACTCATCGTGAGCGACCAAGCGCCAAGACGCACCGTCAACTGTGGCCCTGGAGCTTCGCGCCTGAGTAGTGGCCGCGTGGTCAGCATCGAAAGGTGATTGGCGCCGACCAAGCCTTTGCCTGGACTAGAACTGCGCAGCCATTGCTATCTGTGCACAAGCCACTTCTGTAGTTGCGCAGTGAGAGCCAAAACGGTGATGAAGCCGCGCAAGAGCGGAGTGTGACACAACCCACATGCAGCGTGATGCTGCAATTCAATCAAGTTCTCGTTGACATACAGTATTGGTGCTCTTGACGAAAGAGACCTAATCGCAGTTACCAGATGCTGATATGAAAGCCCGAACGCTTTCGGGCGTCGCTCTGCTCCGTGTGAACATTGGCTATCTCTGCATGCTTTGACGGAAAGTCACTCGTAGAACCGTCTCCTCTCTCACCTGCAAAGAGTGTGGGCATTCACGGGTCTGCGAACGTGTCGTACCGACCGATTCAGTCCTTCCCGAGAGTACTTAAAGCTCAAATTGCTGCGCCTGGAATCTCCTTTAAGCACATCACATTCAGCCACAAACCTTGTTTTCGTCTCTGCAAATGAGGCCTTCAAGGAACATGTCCCATCCACTGCTTCTTCCACTGTTCACATCGCTCATACTTTTCAAAAGTGCTTGTTCTATTCCTGACGTCCCCGAGAGCGTTCTTTTGGCGGGCGGCGCCGTCCAATGGCTTTGGTTCAAAGCTCAAGAAGGCATCTTTTACAAGTGGCTGCCCGGCCAGTTCGAGCAAGTAGAGCCAGCGTGGACTGACTTCATGCATAATGAAGCCCTCCCAATCATCGATTCATTCTACGCGTCAGTCGCTTACGCGTATCGCTGAAGACATCAACGATGAAGGCCTGTATATCTGACCTCGACTCTATCTAATGGATCTTTTGCGAGGATCAGCTCAAACTATGCAACAAGAGCGTGAGTAGCAACATGCAACGGTGCCGTACCACAGAGACTAACTTCAGCATACTTTTATGCCCACTGATATATGTCAAAAAAAGGGGATCAGCCTCCGGTGGACGCTTGAAGTGAGTGCCTACAGAGTGTTGATATCTTACACGTGACGACGTCCTGAAAGAATCGTCCTTTCACTTTACAGGTTCACCAGCCTAGCTACCACGCAAGATTCCGGATCCTACCGATTCAACATGCGCGGCAATGTTTTCATGAAGAAAGCCATGGCAGAAACGTTGATCGAGGCTTTTGCCGACCGTCAACTTGAGAGCGCAAGGCGGGCCAAGGAGCTGGATCAGGAAGTACAGTCCGCCATTCGACCTCATCAGCAGGCGTCTGTCCTCACTGCTGCCGAGCGAAAAGATTGGGGCAAATCCTTAAGCTTGAGAACACGCGTCGACTCTCGCTAGGAGTACCCGAAGACCTGTCGTAAAGGGACCACCGCCTTCTCCACCATGTATTCATTATCGTCTATTGCTCAATTTGAAGCTTTCGGCCAACCGCGCAATGTCGAGTCTCCCACGCAACAGTACCTGTGCTCAACGAATTGAGGCACTTTCCTTGGCTTACGCTTGTCGTGTGAGAAGACCGGACAATGCTACAGGGTACGTACACGACTACCGCGTTTGTTGAAAGGATAAGAATCTCAGAGGAAGATTTCTCGTCAAAATCGACAGCAGCGAGGTCACGCCCCACTAAGTCTGACCAACTTTTTCTTTCCGCTCTCAACCTTCGCAATAGCTTCGCAGACGGTCACAGAGGCTGAGAGAAAGATGAAACTCACCCATTTCATGCTGATGATATGCGCAAGCTGTCTGTTCTTGTGGGCGGCTGCTCAGCCAATGCAGCCCTTCGCACCCCTCGAGCGAAAAACGGAGGAAGCCATCCAATTCTTGTCAGACGAAATACGCCTTGGCAGATTACACAAAGTGCTACCCGCACGCTACGCAGATGTCCAGACCTCATGGTACGACTTTTTACAGTTCAAAGGTCTGGACACTATCCTCAGGTACTTCGGCAAACGCAATCGAACCAATCCGGATCCTGTGCTAAGCGGCCGCGACGAGTTCCTTCGACTGGCTCAACCTGGAGACCAGCTGCCAGCGCAATTTTCGACTACGCATGACGTACCGAAGAACATTGCCAAACGCCTGCTTTGCGAGTTCGCCGAGCAACAGGCGATGATTCGCAGCTGGGCTGTCTCTGACGAGCGACTTCGAGAACTGGGGAAAGAGTTGAAGCTAAGCGGGTCGAAGCGTCGCCGCCGCCAACGAGTTCCACTTGACTGACAGAAAGCACGAACGAAAGGTTCACGACGGATCTAGACCGTCAAGATCGCGCATCCATTTGTCTTAAGACCAGTGTTCATCTTCTGCGGTTGAAATTTGACTTGTGTAGCGATGTTTATCACGACTCATCGATACACATTTGATTCTAGTTGAAGCTTGCAGCGATAACACCTCGCGACGCCTAGTGTTGGAGCTCCGATAGACTCTGTGGTATCGGCAAGCCGAACTCGAGCAACGATCGCAGCCTCTATGAAGAAAAACCTCGTCGACTTGCACTCCAGCGCGATGAAGATGGTCGTGTGACGTGGTGGTTTCCCGACATGCTCTTACTTTGCTTGTGACACTTCTCACGATCCGGAGCATGATTGCTGACTTTCATCGGTACGATTCTCATGCGGTCACGCCACACTGAGGGCCACATAGCAAATTGCTCGAGAACGGAGAAGCGACAGCCGAACTTCCTCCACAACAGTGTGTGTACGTGGCTTTTCTCGACCAGCCGATCAAACTGATCACTTTTAGTCAGACTTCCAAGGCACTGGCCCAACGACAAGTGTATCTTTGTGCCTTTCAGCATCTCTCGACTGACAACACCAGAACTGCAGCTATCATAACGATGACGCTCTTTCCACTTGCCCTTTGCTTACTCTTGTTTGCTCTGTCGGCTTTCGGAATTCCCAGTACTCCAATGCCAAAGGTTGTCGCCGAAAGCGGCGAAGTCGCTCGATTCCTTTGGAGTCAAATTCAAGACGGCGGGCTTCACAGAGAGCTCCCATTAATGTATGCAGACAATCAGCATGCGTGGAATTCCGTACTGTCAACAGAAGGTTTCGATTTGGTCTACAGCTACTACGGTTCTCGGCGAAAATATCGTCGGAAGGATTCTGCGACTCAAGCCGCTTTACAGGCTCGAAACCATTTCATCAACTTCGTTGAAGGAAGGACATCGAATCCAATGCCTCTTGAGGGCGATTCAGATCCACACAAGTGGATAAGCGAGCAGATTGTGGAGAGGTTTGCCAGAAAACAGAAGGAACAGCAGAATTACATTGCTCTTGTCTCTGGCGCAAGACGTCGCATTTGGGGAAAGGAGCTGGGTTTGGGAGGATCCAGTGGCAAGCGTCGGCCAGGCCATGGCTGACTTTGACGGATACGCCTGCTGGTACGTGCTCCGTGGTGGGACTTACTGGAGAAGATGCTCGGTGCTTCTTTATCTGTGCCGAGGTGGGCCTGGTGCCGCGCTTCATTCCCCGTTGAGAAATGAAGAATAAAATGTTGACCCGTTGAAGGTCGTCATGGCCGCCGAGTCGACGTTTCGGCTGCATGGTGGAGACTACGTTGCCGCGGAAACATGCAGATGAATGCTGAGGTTCCGTGCAACAGCGCAACCTCAGCGCTGCTACGTTTTTCACACAGGACTGATACCAGTGTGAATGCTAAAGAGCGTTCAGAGCTTACCTCTACTTCACGACAGCTGCTCATCAAGAGCTAACAGTTCTGGACATGACTGTAATGCTGCTGGTTCTTATCTGGTCCCTGGCCTTCGCATGGCTCAACCCGGCTCGAGCAGTCAGCCCTCCGATCGCGCCATATCCCGAGCTCATTCAGGAGGGCGGTCCCCATGTCCGATTTCTTTGGCAAGAGGCGCAGAGAGGGTTGCTCCACCGTGCATTGCCCCCGCACCTACAACAGTATCAGCCTCTTTGGTCGAGGTACCTAAGCAACGATGCTGTCTACTTGACCGAGGCCTTCTTCTCGTAAGCCTTGAACTACCCTTAAAGGCACCATATGCCAGCAAGATTGCGGGCATGCTTTTGCAATCTCACTGAAGCTGCAGGTTTTCTTTTCGATTTGCAGCCATGAACATCAACGCGATCTGTAGGCACAATCCAAGATAGAAACTTCGGCTATTCTTCGACCTGATCTGATCGTTCCATTTCCTACGTTCCCTGCGATGTCATGTGTACCAGATTGAAGGCTTCACAAAACGGGATGTGGCGGTAGGTGTCTTTGTCCGAGACTAAACATCTGCTGATCTTGCTGACCCCTAGCTTCGGCCTCGCTACGAAGAATCCTTGCTTTTTTGGAAAAGTGGACTGCGAACTCACTGCCAATGCGTTCGTCGCAGCATAAAGCCTTGGCATCGTATCTGATTCACCACTACGCTAGCGTTGCAAAGAACGGCATTCGGTTTGAAACGGAGCACGTGGTACCGCGCCAGAGTCTCTTTGATAACCCATCCAATCGGATTTCGGACCACATCCCGATAGGGAATAGCGCTCCGATCGGCGGGCCGGATCGAGAACTCGGAATGGCAGAAAGTCAGACTCCGAGCTCGACAGTCGATGTCCGTGATCGGGAAAGAGAGTGGCAAGAATGGGGGCAATCGCTTACCCTCGGACTGGACTCAGGCACAAATGGTGCCCACGACTCAAAGGCGGCTTCGAATAGCCGAGCGCTCTCTTGAAAGGGCCCGTGTGACTCTTTCCTCAGACCGCATTCTGCAGCCGAGACTGCTCTCCTCTTGCGCGTGGTTTCGTACAAATCCAAAGCTCTAAATCGCAACTTTGTCTTGATATGCTGCTTTCAATAAGACCTTGAATGCCATTACAATCATCGACTTCATAGCTGAGATGAGGTTTGAGGCAGGCAGAACAGTGGCGATCGACTGGTATCGCCAGGAAACGCTATCCCTTCAACACGACAACAATTATAGACCTCTGTCGTCGACGCGTCCAAGAGGTTGACAACTCTGCCGCGAACGAGGTTGGCATCTCACAACGTGCCGGCCATGGAAGGACTATGCGACAACCCGTGCCGACTCGCAAGCCTTGGCGACAATCCGAGGTCCGCTTTGCCGGAAGCGTGGCTACTTTTGCAAATCTTGAGACAGCAGACGGCGTTCTTGTCATTGTCTGTCTCGCTACGCGTATCGATCTGACCCGAAAGGCCTTCCCATCACGATCGCTGTCCAAAGCAGACCAGCTGCTCCTAGGAGCGATTGCACGGTGTGAACACAACGTGCGCATCGCGTTTAGTATGACTGGTCAACAGCACTTGTTGATTTGGCAACACTCTCGTATCGTGGACAGAGGGTGATATCTTTCATTTGTTCTCCTCTGCGTGTGAAAAGAAGTCTTTCACTCAGCAACGTCCTTCCCGCGTCTGTATGTTGATGTGAGTGAGTTACCTGTCGCGACCCAACGCAGCGGTAAGGCTGACGGCAAGAATACCTTGCTTGGCGTTCTCTCTCGGCCAGATCATCTTGATGGCTCCGCCCTCAAAACACAGTTATGACGCTCTGGTGAACGGCAATCCGGCTGTCCTTCAGCACTGTCACTTACAGTTTTCCAACTTGTCTCGCATATAAAGGAGTGGACGTCTGGATGTGGTCGTCTCTATCTTTTCCATCGACTTCCAGTCAAAGCCATACAGCTCACAACTCTTATCACAACCGCTCAGACTGCAAAAAACAGTTTCTCGAACAAAATGGTCTTCTTTCATCCTGCCATCCTCCTTACCATCGTGACCTCTTTCGTCGGTCTTATCGTGGCTCCAATTTCCGTTCCCGTGATCATCCTGAACAGCGATCACGGCATCAAGTACCTTTGGAACGAAGCCGTCGAAGGCCGATTCCGATATGACTTGAGCCGTGACTATCCGCCTCTACACACGCCTTGGCAGGAATTCCTGAGTCGTCGTGGCGGCGGAATTGTCGGCAACCACTACACAAACACGCGAGGAGAAATGGGATGGAACGCTGCTGATAGAGAAGCGTAAGTCCTGGAAGACTGACTTGTACTCCTCATCAACCAAAGCTGACGTTGAGTTTGGTGTCTGTCTGAAACTCTTCTCTTGCATCGTCGCTCTGCAAAGTCTTCTGGCAAGGACATCCCGACAAGATACATCCGATTTTCAGGTTAGACCTGACAGATACATTGCCAAGGAGACAATGCGGACTTTAGTCGAGCAGTTTGCGGTTGAACAGGCCGAAGCTCAGAGGGCTGCTGCTGCTCGTGCTAGAGCTGGAGGCAGCCGGGGCTGATAGGACGCCGACATCCGCGGCAGCCGCCGCGAAGACCACGTCAGAGATGATCGTGGACCAGACGCCACCTTGGTCACCTCTCGAAGTCACAGCTAAGTGACGCTTTCCTTTCATCTTGATCTTCTGTCTGCATCTTGCCGATCTTCATGTCCTGCTCGAACGGGCTTTGCCGAAAGTTTGGCTCTCAAATTCCAGTCTTCCGTTCTTCTTCATATCGGGTGGCCCACAGTACGTCGCGTCGCGGCAGTGCTGGCTTGCGCCACTATACCAGAAAAAGCTCCCAAGCTACACCGAGCTGAATAAATGAGCCGATCATGTTGAAGTGTTAAGCCTTCTTCTCACGCCGCCTCACATCGAAAGACGCCACCATCGATCAAACGATGATGACTTTGAGGCGTCTCATTGACCCTCACGAAGAATAATAGGCCGAATCTTCTTTGTTCATAGTCGGTCTTGCCGCTGAGGCTAGTGACGAGGCCCAGAAGCTTAACCAGACTCTTTGCCTCAGAAAAGGTAGCTGGATTAGCACAACGGCGAGCGACCAAAGGAAGAAAAGTCAGGGAAGGACTGCATGCGGTAAGCAATGACCAGCCCTGCGACGAAGATGAGGTCATTGAAAAGGAAAGAAGCCCGGATTCATCTGGCGGTGGGATAAGAAGGTGAGAGGCGAACGCCGTCTTTTTCGCCATTTCACACAACAGAGATCTTCGTTCAGTGCTTGCATGTTTCAGCCAGGCGAGGGTGGGTGTTATTTGATTCCACCCACTGATATCTGGGATAACCTCCGAGGTCACCCACCTCAAACAGCGGCTGCAGGGCTCGACCATCGGAAAAGTCTCGGAGCAAATCATGCTAGTATATCATTCATAATACGCTTTATAGCTTCAGCCTCTGCAGCGTATCTGTCTCTTCGATCATACTCCAGCACCCTTGTCGCTTCTCCAAGCATCATGGGTACACACCGTTCAGCCAACATGAGGGTAATCTCTGTCCTACTCATCAGCTTCTGCAGCTTTGTGCTCAGGACTGGCAGCGTCGGGATTTCGATGGGCCGAACGGTGAAGAAGTTTCAGGAGAGTATGGACATCTGGAATCGGCTCAACAGCGAATGGGTCCTGCCCGGCTACCACAACTCCTTCACCAATACTCCGCCCACAAATGGCTGGATCAACTTTTTGATGAATCAAGGCGAGAATGCCGTACTCCGATCGTAAGTGAATGCTCCCTCCCCGACTTCGAGAAGGTCCGAGAAGGCAGCTCACAGTTTGCACTACTTTAATGCCTCTTCTCAGATATACACGCATTGGTCTGGGGTAAGCGTTGCCGAAAGCTTTTTTCACCGTCCTCTGTATGTTGGATAGCTTACCTGCCTGTTCACCATCTGTTGTGGACTCTCGAACCCAGTGAGAAAACCTTCTCGAGCGCTCAAGATATTCGAAGGTAAGCTGTCTCGCCTCCTTCACACCTCTTACAGCTCTCGTCACTTACACAACAATTTACTCACCCGATGCCAGACTGATCCGATTCACCAAAGATCCATTGGAGGAAAAATCATTCAAAGTCGTGCATCCTGTAGCGAGGAAAGTAGCGGCATTTTTGGTCGAGGACTACGCCAGGTATCTCGAAACCGATCCTCATAACGTATTGGTCTATGAGGCGTTGAAACGGATTCATCTGGAGAGAATAGCTGCAGCCGACGAAGCTGCTAAGGTGGGCGAAAGTGGAGGAGCACAGGCGTTGGAAGGCGGCGATAGTGAAACTAGCGAGGAGGAAAGTGATCCGGCGAGCCTGTATTCTCCCGACTCTTTGTCGCCAAGCAGCTCGTCGAAGTGATGCGTTGCGCTAGGCTTGTCCATGGTCCGTCTTGGCGTAGCATGATCGTCGAATAGGTAGTGAAGTGTACGCCCATAGCAAGCCCACCAACTGAAAATGACAAACGTCTGTGGGCTCGAAATTTCACGGGCATTGCTCGGCTGGACGTGTGGAGACGACGCACCCCAATGCTGTTGAATGTGACATCAGCCCTACCATGTTGGCGACTATTTGCTTTACAACTCCCGCTTTGTCCATGCTTGTCAAGGTTTGATCGGAAAGGCAGTGCGCAAAGCTCCGTTGTGCATAGAGCTCATTCCATTTCACAGCGGCACTTAAAACAGCGCCATCCACGTGAGAAGCTTCCTACACTCAACACATCCAACATCCGCGTTAGTCAACACCATGCGCAACACGTTTCGCAGCATCCTCTTTTTCATGTTTATGGCTGCAAGCCATGCCTCCGCTCAAAACATTCCAGAAGTCGTCGATAAGTTCCAGGACACACGAGCACTCTACTCAAGCGTGCAAAACATGCAGCTTCTTCTTAGCAAGTTCGAACTGAAGGATCTTCGTGGCTTCAGGGTTGACCCTTGGCATTCTTTCCTCAAGACTCGTGGCGAGGATGTCATCAATGAGGAGTGAGTCCCGTCTGAACATGACATCCACACATCCACACAGACGACGGAATGTTTGACTCTTTGTCACCATCTCGCTTTGCCAAATCGTAGATGGCCCAAAATTCGAATTCCGGGAAAAAGTTACGGCAAAGTGCGCATGTAGGTCGCCGTTTTTCGCCCTCGCCATATGAGTCGTGGTGCATTGGACTACTAACGGTGACTGTTATTTTTCATACAGGCTTAAGCAGTTCGTGAGCAACCCAGCATCGCAGGACAACTTCATGACCACCGATCCCGTTACGAAGAGGATTGCCGCCAGACTGGTCGAGGAGTATGCAAAACACCAGAACGCTAACGATCACATTGCGGCTGTCAACGAACACCTGCGGGGACCAGACGATGCCGCTCATCTTCTCATTGACTAGAAGGGTTGAGAAGTGAGCGCGACAATATCTCCTGATCTTCTAGACGGAAAGTCCAGGCGACACCTGTGTTCAGCACACGGGAGAAATCACAGTCTGTTACGTCCAGAATCGCTGCGATTCGCACACACTAAAATAGAAACAAATGGTCTTTCCCATCCAATGAGTGCGGCTATTACCTCGCCATGACCTGGGATGCATGACGACAACCGCACATGTGATACTGTCGAGGCATGTTTGAGGAGAGCAAAGTGGACAATGACGAGTGGTTTTGAAGCTCCTCCTCAGTTGCGTGGTCTCGTGACGGCAAGTGTTCGGTTCATCTCACTGTCGATCAGTGATCTGTCGGGAGACCCGAAGTCGCTGGAGCTGTCGGCACATCGCCAAGAGAATCGACCTCCGCTTCGCCGATCGGACAACCCCGAGCGTGCCAAGAGCAACAACACCGAGGTCAGAAGGTCAAACAGAAGAAAGCCGACAATGCCCGAAGAATGAAGCCGAGCCCGAGGACACCTCTTCGTCAAAGCCTTTGCCTTTCAGCTCAAACTCCGTCCTCATCACCATGGTGCGTTATGCAACGTGCCACCAGAAGATGTTTCCACACTGGCTTCCCTATCTCTGCCTCTTCATGGTCATCAGCTATGTCTTGTCTCAAGATATACCCGAGGTAGTCAGCAAATTTGACGACGCACGTACTCTCTGGAACACGCTACACACAGAGCAACTGCTGCTTGGTAGTCTCGACACGCATGCACTTGCTCGAAATCGCAATGATCCTTGGCAAACGTACCTCCGAACGCACGGTGATGACATCATTGCCACCGAGTAAGCACGTCCATCGTCAGGACCCGAAAGATTGACAAGGTTCTGTTGTCCGCACAAGCTGACGCTGATTCGCTGTTCAAAGATGGCACAACAGACCCAGAGGTGGAGGACCGAAAAGCCAAGGCACGTTTAACAAAATCTCGAGGTGAGTCCATGGCGTGCCAAGGAGAGACAGCAAGGTACCAACGACGCGATGCTGACTTGACCGTGGCACTGTGATCCATCGATAGTATGAAGCGATTTGTCAAGGCACCGGGCGCATTGGGCCCATTTACGACCCACGACCGACTCAGCGAGAGTATCGCTCGTAGACTCATCGAAGAGTACTCTCGACGCAAGGATGCCATCAGTCCTGCTGCTACACATGGTCCACCCTTGATCGACTTTCTCGGCTTGTCCGACCGAGTTAGCCGTTGAAGTATATTCCGCAGAAAGCCTGTTCTGTTGGCCGCAGATCGCAGATCGGGATGAGATGCCAATGCCGAATGCCAAGTGATGTCCTAGAGAAACTTTGAGCTCTGCTCTAGCATGACCGTTTGACCCCGAACTCGCTTGACTGACAAAGGCAGCATCGAAGTCCGACATCCGCTGCATTGCACAAGGGTAGTCTTCCTCTCCATCCGGACGCGGTGACACCCATTCGAATGCAATCTACTGTTCGAGTCTCGGTTCCTAGCGCAATGAAGCTGAACAGCACTTGCACCAATGCGTCCAGCAACGTCAAGTCCAGCCTGTGAATGGTTTCTTGTTGCTGCTTGCCCGTGAGATTTGTCTCTCCCCGATGCCGAGCGGGTAGAGAGCGAAGCGCGGCGTGGACCGAGGTCACTCCGAAACCTGGCCTGTGTCAGCCACAATGATTCAATAGACGATGAGTGGCGTGCGGCAAGGCGATCCCCTTCTTCCGGACTGCGCTAGCACAGGTGATCTCATGTGATTGTCTACGCGGTTAACGAGCGATCGACGTCGTCACAGCCACCTTTCATCGGCAACGGTTCATTGTGGCGGCGTTTGTTTCCCACAAGCAATTATTGGTGCTTTGCGCCACATCCTTGTGCTGGACATCAAGGGATACATTCTTGAGCTGATCAGTCCGGGCGAAGCTGTGTTCGCTCTTCTAGGCAATGGTTGTCATTCGAACGAGACAACATGCGAAAAGTCGGTTCCCGACCGGCCAAGCAGGATGAGAAGAGCGAAAGGGAAGCGCGAGCAAGGGTGGGGTCAATGCGGACTTTGCGCTTGCATATGCAGCTACGCTGCATCGCAGAGATGACGTTCCCAGCGGCGTGGTTGTCGGACAAAGGGCACAAGCTGTATTCCCGAGGAGCAGCCCTCGGAATTGATCAGCATGGGCAGTCGGGTCTCGCTGCATGAGCTTGAAATGTCATTGGGTGGCGTAACTTCGAGCTGCCGTCTATCTCGAAAGGTCATGTATGAATCGGTCGTCATCCGAGCACAGCTTACAGGCGCCAATGCGCATATAAGCTCGAAGAATTGCTTGGGTCTTGTCTCGTTGGCCAGTTTCAGAAGAAGACATCGCTTCTCAGCAAGCAACGACGACGACATCCGAACGCGGCAAGACCTCGTCTCCTTCCTGAAGAATCAGAACCAAAAGTCAGCGAAATGGGAAAGGCCTGGACTGTGATTGCAGCTCTGACTGCGGTCGCATGGCCGATGCGCGGAGTGTCAGGCGCTTTGCCCGTCGTTCCACGGCACGAGATGATGGGATACTATATCGACGCGAGGAACCTGTGGCATACGGTGACCAGCATGAAGATGCTTCCGGGTGTTCCGCACGCGCTCAACGACGACTTGGGCGTGACTGAGCGTTGGAAAGACTTTCTTCGAGATCAGGCAAGAGGGGTTCTGGAGAACATCCTGATGGATCTGCGGGTGCACACGCAGGAACTCCATCGGCCGAACTATTCAGTAGGCAAAAGGTGAGTGTCTGTGCCGAGGTTCCCGTCGTGGAGGAGGCATTGGCAAGAAGACTGACTCGAGTCCGAGCTTGCGCGCTCATCTCGAAATGGCACGACAGATTCCAAAGGTTTATCGCGGCCGGCAACCACATGTTTTCGGTGATGCCTGTGGCTGAACCGGCGGAGCAGTACGTGGCGCGAAGGATAGTCAACGCGTTCACCGAAACGTGGCATCAGCATTACTCGGCGGAGCGGCAGGCTGAGCTGAATGCAGAGTTGGAAGCGCTGGCACGCGAATTGGAAGAGGCAGAAAGCGAGGGAGAGAACGAAAGCGCCACGGGTCCAGGACAGGTGGTGCAAGCCGCAAGATCAACGAGCTTTGGTTCTGATGGCGAGAAGCACGCCGACCAGTCGTAATAGACGGATGACGCAAATGTAGACGATCAATCCGAGAGTGTTCGTACGCAAGTAAAGTCAAAATCAACTTGAGAATGTGTGATGGCATATGAACAACGGCCGGGTATAAAGGAGGATGCGGACGAGCGGCACGAGAATGAAACGCATCACCACTTGCGAGTGACGGTGAGATCGACGAGCAGGTTGATAAGCATGTAGATCATGAAAGCTTGCAGAAGTGCGAGGAAGAAGCGTGGACCTGCTCTTCGGATTGGCGTGGCCTCCATTACTACGGGTGCTGGCAAAAGCGGCTGATGGGGCTGCTGTGGGAACTGGTGCCAATGAGAAGCTGGAACGATGACAATACGCGTTGTTCCATGTGGTGTGTATGGCGAGCAGCCGTAGGATGGTTGAGCCTGAGATCCGCTTGGAACCGAGTGGTGAGATGGGCTCGGCGCTCCGCCTCCGGCGCCTTGGCGAAGCGCGGTTTCGTAGGTCGGAACGGGCTCGTCAGGGAGCACCCGCAATTCATCTTGAGGTGCATACGGCTCTGAGGCGGAGGACGACGATTTCTTACTTGCGGTCATGATTGGACAGATGAGTGGTGAGAGGGCAAGGTGGTGGTTGTATTGTTGGTGGTTATCAACACAGTACCATACTGTCGAAATGCAGGGTTCTTGATGGCCGTGCATGTTCAAGGCTCAGTTTCTCCCAAGGGCACAGCCCCGTGGCGCTTAGACTCTTGAATTTCACTCTAACATTGGAAACCTCAGAGAAAATAGCTTCAAAGTGACCGATCCTTCACACCGTGGCCAAGACTGCACTCGGGTCACGTCGAAGACGGAAGCTGATATTGCGGACAGGCATGCGGTGTGATGCGATACGATGAGACAATGCAGTGCGGAGAAAGCGGCGGAGGATAGAGTTGTGGGTCCGAGGGGATGTATGGGAAAAGCGAAGCTCGGTTGGCCACAGGTGACGACCATCAAGCATTATAATCCCGAGTTGATTCGTCTTGGCACCTCGTCATGGCAGCATGGCCGTCGCCACATCCAGGCACGCAAACGCCCGGATCGACAGGAGCCATGAGCCTTGGTAATAGAGGTGCCCAAAATAAGTTTCTTTAGTAGGTTGAGGAAAAGAAGGAACCCGCTTTGCACGTCCTCGCGTTGCTTTTCTGCTTCCTCGTCGATCTTCTGTTTCCGAGATCCAAAATTTGCGGCTGCCGCCCAAGCACGTGACGCTGCCAGCTCCAAAAGCCAACACCTCCTTGACGCTCGAGCCTCTGGAACCTGCAGAAAGCTGCAGGTCGCCATGTCTTCCTTTTGTTCCCTTTCACATCACATCCTTCATTTGCACATTTGCGTTTCCTGCGACGGCTGCCGGCTCGAACAAGTGAGCATGTTGCCAGTCACGTAGGTGCCTCGGTCGGGTCGTTCCGAACAAAGGAGCCCCCACCCTGCCAGTCATTCAATCGATCAATCGATCGCTTTGCCAACCGCCTGTCCTGGCTTGGTATGGCTACACGCTCTGATCGGAGCATCCGCCCATTCCACCGTGGAATCTCTTTCTGACCATGATACTGGCCGCATCACGCCGCCATCGCCTCCTCGACCCAAGCCTGCCTGCTCGTAACGTCGCCGACAATGCCCACCTACGCCGACCTCTGGAATGAGCAGCAGCGCGCGTCGGGACATTTGGGACCGTCTAACCCTGTTCGTCTCACCATATCCAAAGGCGAGTACGTCCTTGATCCTCAGACTGGTCGTTTCCGCTATGACGAACACTGGGAAGAGGAGCATCTCATGGAAGACGAGGACTTGATCGACGACCATCACTCGAATGCATCTCCGGATTATGGCAGCGCCATCGCTAGTCGCGCTTCGTCGCCTCGTACGATGACGGCTCTCCAGCCGACGCCTCTGCACGGTCACCTGTTGAACTTGCAACATAGCCCTTCGCTGTGGGTGCTCGACACAAACACACTCATGTCGTGCCTCGGGCTGCTCAAGGCGCTTTTTGCTGCGCTCTTGACTCGCAACGTAGCTTTTGCAGCAGCAGCAGAGCAGCAACAGCGTCTCGAATCATCGCATCTTCCGACAACGCCGTCATCCATCAAGCTCGTTTTGCCTCACGTCGTAGTGTCGGAACTCGACAACCTCAAGGTGACGCGCCGTAAGGACGATTCGGGTCGACCCGTCGCAGCACAAGCCCGGGAAGCCAACAATTGGCTATTGGCCGCACTGCAGAAGCAGAAACGCGTACCTATCGGTGACTCAGGTGCTGCTCTCTCGGACGACCTCTGGCCTCTCTTTGTTCAGCCTTCGAGACACTACCATCAGTCCAAACGCAACCACCCTGCCGGCGCAGGTCTGGACTTTCTGGAGCCGGACGACGAAATCATCCGGTACTGCGTCGATCTCAAAGAAGGAACAGGGTCACACGTCCGATTCTGCTCTGACGACACCAACGCACGCACCAAGGCAGAGACCGACGGAATCGATTCGTTGGGCATGCGCGAGCTCGCCAATGCACTCAAAGTCAGCTTCAAGGACGTGCAGAGCGGCGAGCAAAAGTGGATGCTCGTGGCGGAGGCCCTGATCGAACAGTGGGAATACCAGATTGGTCCCACGGGTCCTTCGACAGGTCAAGGTCGTCGTCATGACCACGCGCATCTCGCGCGTTCCGAACAGACAGGGCTGCCGTCGCAGTGGCATGTAGCGACATCGACACCCGGGCAACAGCCAAACCTCAGAGACGATGCACATGCTCGCGGCCCAGATGTGTTCCACCAACAGAACAGCTCGTTCGCCAACAACGAGATCATGGAGGTCGACATGGATTCGGAACCGCGACTTGGACCGAACCCTGATTCGTCTTCCTCTCACTTCGTGACGTCAGGCCACCGCATCTCCCACAATCAACTTTCGCCTACAGCGGCAGGACGTGGCACCAACGACAGCATCCATAGTCCGCATCATGCCCAGCAGACGGTCAGCTCTCGGTCCGATCGTACACGCCAGGTCCCGGTGCTCTCGCATTCGGCTACATTGCCAGCTGCATCGGCCGCGACGAATCAAGCAAGTGAGTCTGAATCGTTGAATCCGCAGATCGACTGGCAAGATCTGGTGCGACACCATCCGGGTACACCGCGACCACTCAGCAAACAAGGCGAACGACGATGGTGATAGTCATGACTCTCGCTACATTTCCCTGCCTTGTATTCCCCTTTCCTCCCTGTCCCTGAGCATGTACCTAGCATCCACATTTGATATTCATAGACAACATATTTCACATTGCATTTGCGTGCCACAGCTTGCAGTGCTCATCGTACGCTGGTGCACAATCGTTGTGTTGGTGTGACTGCTGCTTAACGCTACGAGCTTCATGGCTATGAGCGGTAGCCATGAGCGTTGTGCGAGCATTCAGAATGCCGTTGGTGGAAGACGAACAAATTCGGAAGTCGGAGCAATTCGCCGGCTAAATGCTATGAGTAACACACGGACCTCGGAATCCCAGATTCTGCCCCACATCAACACTCACGCTTTCCCAACTTCTCCGACCTTAGTTCCTTTTCATATCTACTTGCATTCGCCGCTTCGCTGGTACTGCCGCCTGCCAGAGTCTGTCTTCTCATAGACATTAACCCCGCGAACTTCGACCAGCCACACGGCCGGGGCCCTCTCCCTTCAGCGACCTTGACCGGCTAGCTTTTTCCACCCTTCACCAAAAGGTAGCCTCATCATGGCGCGACAGCCGGCCAAGCGTCGAAAAGTAGCGACACAAGAGCTCGACGTTGAAGGCGATGAAGACTGGCAGAGCGACGAGCTCTCCTCCCTTGGTGGCTCGGACGACTCCGAATCTGGATCTGGTTCCGGCTCAGACTCGGACGACGACGAAGATGACGTGATCGACATGCTGAAAGATCCTTCCACTTCGAAAAGCAAAAGCAAAGAGAAGACGATTGCGGCTAGCTCAGGCGTGGAAGTGGTCATCCCGATCACAGGTCCAAGCGGAGAGTCACCGCGCAAACGCGGTCGACCAAAGAAAGAACCCGAACCAACAGTGCCCAAGAAGAGAGGCCGTCCAAGAAAGTATGCGCCAGGAGAGAAACGTCCTCGTCGATCAAGACGCAAGTTCAATGAGGATGGCTCTGCGAAGAAACGCGGTCGACCCAAAAAAGTGGTCGATCCGGATGCTGTCATGATGAAGGTACCAAAGCGAAGAGGTAGACCGCCCAAGCCAGCCGGAGAGGGTGCAGAGGATAACAAGCCTGCCAAGCGCAAGAAGAAGCGAGAGTTCGATCTGCTTGCCGGACTCGATCTGGAATTTGATGATCACGATGGAGCAGGGATCGTTGCTGCAGGCGGAGAAGACGACGACGACGAGTGGCTGGATGAAACCGATTCGCCGAGAAAGCAGGATGACATTCTGGCAAGACTCAGAAGGAGAATCTTGTACCGTCAGCAAGACGCAGAGTTGGCCGACTTTGTCGACAACCTCGGCCCAGACGGAGAGGCGAGACGATCGACTCTCAAAACCGAGGATAACGACGAGGCCGCGGAGGCCATCGATCAAGGCCCTCGCCCCAGTCTCCCGTCGCACAGGCTTCCGCTCGTGTCCGATGTTCCCTCTTCCGAGAAACGCAAAGAGCGCCAGCCATTCGAATCGCACAACAACGATGGAATGTCGGCGTTGGCCGAAGCCGCCGCTTCTGCTGCTGCCGAGACAGAGGAGCAAGCGAAGCAGGCAAAGGGGAAAGGACGACCGGTCGGATCTAAGAATCGCAGGCCTGACTGGGAGAATAACCCTCTTCTGGCCGCGACACGGGCGCATACAACTGCAGGACGATATGGTCTCAACAGCGTCGACCACGGCTCCTCGCTATCGCTCTACGGCGCACCAGCTTCTTCCACCGCCAATGGCAGCTTCGGCGCTCCCAGTGGGTCAAACTTGGTCAAGCCAACATCTTCCGATGCATACTTTCTCTTCAACACCTCGAAACGAGCGCGTGGACTGGCAGGAATGGGCATCGGCACCTCGACCTCGCTCATCTCGTCCAAGCTTCCCGCCTTGGATGCGCGCAACCTGGAACGCGTCGTCGCAGAACACACGCGCAGCGGCGAGTCGATCTCGGATGTCGCGACGTGCATGTATAGACACCTGCTGCCCGTGTACCTGGCGCAACTTCTGGCAGGATACTCGATCATCTTTCACGGCGTGGGAAGCAAGACGGCGTTGCTGGTCGAGCTGGTGGGCAAGCGAATAGAGGCGGAGGGGGATGCGGTGGGCGTGGTGGCTCAAGGCGCGATGAAAGGGTTCAAAGTTGAGGACATGCTCGCGGAGATCGAAAGGGCGGTGGGGCTGGGTTCGTTGACATTGACTGCGAACGCAGCGGGTAGGGCGAGTGAGGAGGATGGCAAGGCGGGGACGACGGTGGTGTCTACGCTTACGGCAGCGAGGGCGGAGAGGATTGTGAGACGCTTTTCCAGGGACGACATTGTGGGACCGACGAAGCTGTTTTTGATTCTGGAGACGGTGGATGCGCCAGGGATGCAGTCTTTGCGCTTCAAGAGCATGCTCGAGACGCTAGCCAAGTCGAGCAATATCCACATCATGGCGACTACGGAACACGTCAACTCTGGATTCATCGCTTCGAGCACAGGGCAGCAGGCATCGACAGCGTCTCGATCTTTGGATGACTCGGCAATGCCAGACGTGCAAGAGGACAGTGATGTCGATGCAGCCGGCAGTTCGAGGAGGAGCGGTCGACTGCGTTGGATCTGGCAGAACATGTCGACGTTCACACCTAGTCTGGACGAGATGCTCATCATGCGGTCGAACCCGGCGTTCGCATCGTGGATGCCCGCTCTGCCGGCGTGTCTGGACCTGATCGGTTCGGCCGCCTCTCTCAATTCTCGTCACACGCAACCTGCTGGCGCCTCTTCCAGCTCTGCACTCAACGGCACCGACGCGCCATCCAACATCGCCTTCTTCAACGGCCTTCAAGTCTCGGACACCTTCCGCACCGTCTCTGAAACTTCGGCGATCTCGATCCTCAAATCCGTCACTACGAAGGCGAGAGCACTGTTCAACCTGTTGGCGAAACAGTCGCTTGCAGCAAGCGGCGAAGCAGCGACGGATGGTGGTGGTGTGGGAGGAGTGGCATATGCGGATCTGTTGAACCGAGCGAAGAGGTCGTTTTTGGTGTCGAACGAGTCGGACTTCAAGTCGCTGCTGATCGAGTTCAAGGATCATCATCTGTGCCATGTTAGCAGGCAGGGGGTGATCTCGATCGGGTTGGCGGATAGGAAGGTGCTGCAGGGGGTGTTGGAGAAGTTGAAGTCGATATGAAGGGGGAGTAGGTGAAATTGCACTACATGGTGTTGCTCGTGTTCATATGTGTGGTGTGCTGCTATTTGATTGCGGTTTGAAGTTGAAGCATACACGAGTCGAGCTGTTTGTAGAGAAGGGTATATTCGTCAATGTTGCGATTGAAAGGCAAAGGCTGTGGGTGGTGCGTTCTTGCTTTTTCTGGAAGGTGAGTTGCTCATCGATCCTTCTTGGCCTCCTTTTCCTGACCACTGCTGCTCGTGCCACCCCGAGTAGGCACAATGTCGGAATCGTCCTCCAGGAAAGCCGCGACCACATACGCAGCCAGCACGAGGTTCACCACCAACGCTGCCAGCCCACCCGCATATGTCGCATTGCCTGTTCCGCCAAAGTCCAGAGATCTGTCAGCTCTTGGCGTCTGTGAAGCTGTAATTAACCTGTTTGTAGACTGACCGGAGAAGTACCTGTCCTTGGCAAAGTAGTAAGCGGAGAGGGGAGCCGCGAACAGAGCGACGCTGAAGAAGGCGAGTTTGTAGTATACGCCCCGGGCTGGATCTCTGCCTCTCGGAGCGACGCGAGATGGTGTCACGTCTAGGCTCGACATGGTGTGATGCGCCATCAAGATGTATAGAGCGTAAGAAGGAAGCAGGACGGTGTTGGTCGTTGGTTGAACCGTGGAAAGGGTGCGAATCACGTTTCGGATTTCGGGACTCGAGTTGGGAAAAAAGTGGAGTCGAAAGCCGAAATCTCTGTTTGCTCAAATACGACATCCTTCCTTCTCTTCATCCTTGCACTTCTCCATACAAGAAAGGCGGTTAACGGGATGCCGGAGAAAGTCCTCATTGTGGGACCTGTCAACGGTCGCTTGACGGAATTGATATCAAAGGTATCTGCAATTCAGTCGAAGCATGGACCCTTTGCAGCACTGTTCATCCTCGGCGATCTGTTTCACCCTTCTCCGTCGGAATCAGCTCTTCAGCAACAATCTAACGTCTTCGAGGGCACACTTCGGCTTCCAATACCAACGTACTTCTACCAAGGATCTACTCCACCTCCTCAATCTCTAGCGGAAAAGATCGCGGCAGCATCCAAACAAGCACAGAAGGATGTTCCACAAGGCCTGGTCAAGTTGACAGACAACTTGTTCTTTGCAACGGGAAAGAGTGGAGTATTCGAAACTCCAAGCGGGTTCAAAGTTGCGTTCGTCGGAGGTGTCTGGGACCCAAGCAGATTCGCGCAGGATCTCGAGGCGGACGGTGTGCAATTTGACCCGGAAACATGGTACGAGTCCGACCTTCAACGAGCGCAAGACGGAGCAACCGCGCACATCACTCCGACTACAATTCATCGTCTGCTAGCGCATCCCTCTTTCCGCCTACCTTCCACATCGTCTGCGAGCACCAATGGCACCTCATCCTCAGCATCAAGTGCCAAACCAGGAACACTCGCCGCAGCTCGAGCTCTGGCGTCGGCAGACCAGGCAAGGGCGGCAGCACAGACCGCCGCACTCGACATGTTGACCTCTCGACCACCGATCGATCTTCTGCTCACCAACTGCTGGCCGACGGGAATCACCCTGTTCTCCACACCCTCTACACCGGCGGATCCTTCAGGTGGGCTGCCGGATCCCACCGCGAGGATGTGGGGTTCGCCGGCGATCGCCCGTCTTGCATCCCACGCCTGTCCTCGCTACCATTTCTCCCTCGCCCCTTCTCCTTCGCCAGACGACGAAACCAATGCGAGCGTGCCGATCGGAATTGAGAAAGAGACGCTCGATATGGGTGCGTTCTGGGAACGTGCGCCGTACACCACCAGTCTCTCCTCGTACCTCTCAGCGCAACAGCAGCAGCAGCTCCAATCTACGCCAGCCGGTCGAAAGCGACTGGAAGGGTTGAAAGCGGTAACACGCTTCGTGTCCTTGGCCAAGTTCGCCAATGAAAAGAAGAAGAGGTGGTTCTTGGCGTTGAATCTCACACCGGCCAAAGAGCAGCAGCAATTGACGGTTCCTGCGAACGCTACGCAGACGCCGTATTCTCTGCCCTCCGCGCACCGCGGGGATGGTGGAGGAGCGAACGGGAAACGATCCCAGCAGGACGGTGGACTTGATCAAGGACCGAATTATCGGTTTCAAGAACCCAGAAACAAACGTCAGCGAGCAGAAGGCGGAACGAGCGAAGACGTCCCCCCACCAGGCTACGTCTGCCGCATCTGCAACGTCGAGGGCCACTACATCCGCCTATGCCCTCTCAAGCAATCGTCCGATCCCGCCACCACCTCCTCTACCCCATCTCTGCCCTCTCTTGCTCCCGACAACAGCGATCCACCGAAACAACGATGGACGAAATCAACCATGCCACTTCCACCAGGCTTACCTTCCAAACCCGCCTTCGCACAGCACGCTCCCCGCGCCGGTTCCGCTCGTCAGATGATCCCCGTCGGACCCTCCAACTGCTGGTTCTGCCTCTCCAATCCTGCGATCGCCAAGCAGCTCATCATTACCATCTCGGCGGACTCCTACCTCGTCTTTCCCAAAGGTCCCTTCGTCCATCCTACGATCAACGACGTCCCGCATTCAGCAGCGCACCTTCTCATCGTACCTCTGGCGCACACGAGCAACCTCTTACCCCCGACGCACCCGGTCCTGTCCTCTTTCTCGAGAGAGGAATTGGATGCAGAGGAGAGGGAGAGGACGAGACGCGAGATGGAAGAAACAAAGTCGAGTCTGAGGGGTTTGTGGGGGAGGTCGAGACATGTGATGTTGGAATGGACGTTGGTGAGGGTGAGGACGAGCAGTAGGATGACGCATTTTCAGACGCAGTGTTTGGCACTTTTGAGTCAGGTTGTGGAGGACAGGGGAGTGGTCAAGGCGCTAGATGACGGGTTGGAAGCAGTGGCTGGTGAGAAGGAAATCTTGAGGAATTCGGACGAGGTGAGCTCGTACTTCAGGCTAGCGATCACGGCTGGGGAAGAAGATGCCGAGGAACAGGATGGATACTTTCACATGGTTTTGCATGCCGACAGCAGGAAGGAATGGCTGGTACCGCTGACGACCGCGTCCAGGTTCCCAGTCCAGTTCGTCAGGACGACATTGGCGGATGCGTTGGAAGTGCCGGATCTGGCTGATTGGAAAGCCGCAGAGGCCCAACAGAAACAAACCGATCAGCAGGACGGGCTGGATGAGGGCGAGAGGGAAAAACAACGCTCGGCAGGATTTAGGGCGCTTTTGCTAGGTTCATGATGCGTCGTGATGAGGCAGGATGGATCGATGGCACGTTTCATGTGGGCAATGTGATTAAGATGTCTGCCGCTGTGATGGATGTGATGTGGGTATCGATTGAAGGATTGTTATTTCAATTTGCTAGAAACGTTCTTCTCGTCGTCGACGTTTGCCGCTGCCCCCTGCGCGATCACGTTCTTGCTTCCTCTTCCTCTTCTCCCTCCTTTCATCCACCTCACCACCCACAATCACCTTCTCCCTTTTCCTCTCCCTCTTCACGCTCCCGCTCAACCCTTCATCCACGTTTCCCGGCTCCGCATCCTCAAACAGGATCCGCCTCAACCTAGCCTCCGCCTCCTCCCTCGTCAACTGAATCCCGTCCATCCTCACACCCGCGCTTGCCTCGCTCTGCGTGTCTTCCTCTGCTCCTCCATCGCATTGCCGTGCCGACCTTGGGGTACCATCCGCTCTTCTACGGCGTGGAGTGTCGCGATCCCGTGTAGTAGCGGTGGATTGTGAAGCGTATTGAGAAGACGAGGGTCTGCCGAGTAGGGTGAGAAACTGCTCCGCGAGATGGCAGGCGAGGGGAGGATCTGGTGTGAAGAACGACGAGACTTGCGGCCAGGCTGCGGACCACGCTTTCGGGCCTTTTTGCTGGCCGATAGCTTCGTTCGATGGATCTTGTTCTTCGTCTGAATCAAGTGTGCGTCGGGAGCGCGTTCTACCTCTCTCCTCCTCGTCCTCTTCCCCATCGTCATCGCTGCTCTCCACCGGATGGTCCGAATACAATGATCCAGAAGCACTGCTTTCCGCATCGCTCATCTCATTCTCTTCTACCTCTTCGCCGTCCAACCTCCTCCTGACCCGCTTCAGATCCTCGTGTTCCTCCTTCTCCCAATCCTGCTCTTCCCAATCTCTCCCCCACACCACCCCCCTCTTGCCGCTGACCCACGCCTGATCCCCATCCACATCCCTCCTCCTCATCCCCCATATCCTCTGCCTCCTCCCCTTCTCACCCCTCACCCACCCCTCCTTCGCCTGCAGTGCCGTCTCGAAACAATGTCTCGCTCTTCCCTTCGTCGACCTATCCAACTTTCTCAACTCTACTCCTTCCTCCGATCCTTCCGTGTTGAGCAAACTTGTGATTCCAATGAACAAATACAGCATACCCAGCATAGTATGAAGTTCAGGTTGTGCTTTGTACGGGTGAACATTTACGCGTTGTTCCAGAAGCTCGATTGCGTCGTTCAACCTGTTCGAGGCGATGTACGCGCGGATGAGGTTGGGAGTCGTAGCGGTTGCTTTGAACGGTGCGCTTGATTCGAGGTCCAGCTGCTGAAGATAAGCGATCTTGCCCCTCTCTCCTTCCGCCTCATCATGTGCAGAGTGTGAGAGGATCAACAAGGCGATCCGCCAGAGCGAGTCATCCGTCCACTCGTGTGCTGCCATCAACGCCTTCAGAAACTTCCCCGCAACCGCCCATTCCCCCCGCTGTATGCTCAGATGGAGCAGATCATAACATCTTCGAAGATGTTTTCGTCGGAAGGAGGTGAGGTTCGAACGTGCGAATCCAGGCAGCAGGGAGCGGGATGCTAGCAGTGCAGTCGATGGCGAAGTGTGCGAGCTGGACGGTTGCAGCGATCGATGGGTTGATAGGAAAGGGTAGGAGTTGGATTTCAGCGATCGGATCTGATGGTTTTGTCGAAACGACGTGCCTAGGAAGGGTGGTGGGACAAAGGCAAAGTTGCGTTCCATGGTGGAGCGGGCTTGCGGGCGAGAGCGGATGTGCAAGTGGGACGGTTTTGATGTGCTGTGTCTAGGTCGTAGTTGGTGCAGAGCTCAGTGCAATCAGATCCACCTTCGCTTCCAGGGACGGAGTTCCCAACAGCTGTGCAAGACTGTGACCTTCCTATCCGTATCAGGGTCGCATGTTCCAAGCCGAGAGAGTGACACGAACGAGCCCACCACCGCCGATATGATGGAAGAGAGAAACCTCGTGCAACCGCAAAAAATCCCGCAACTTGGACCCTGACAAACTCCACACCGCTCCCAAAGTTTCGACTCCGAGTTCCGCTCTCCCCAACCACTTCTCCAACGAATCGCTCTCAAACAGCATCCTTACCTTCCTTGTCACACAAGCGAACGCCGCCACAGACACCTTTGAACGGTCATAGAAGTACACTGACGAATCACAACGAATCACTCATCACTAGCGACCGAAATCCTTCTACTGCCCCTCGTGCTCCTCTTCGTGCCCGTCCCCGCCGCATTGCTCGTCTTGCCACCCTTGCCCCTCGCCTTTGTCAGCTTGGCCACCTTGGCCTGCGCCGCACCTTCAAACGCCTCGTCCTGCTCACCCTTGGCCGCAGCCTGTGCCAAGATCTCTTCGAATTCACGCAAGTCACCTGCACCTTCCGCACTGCCTCCCGCCCCACCACCGCTGCCACCTCGTCCACCAGCACCGGAAGCAGTCGTCTTGTTGGCCCTCGCCTTTGCCAAGATCTCCTGGAACCTCTTGTACACCTCTGCGTGGTATAGCTTGTCTTGGTAGAAAGGCAATCCTTCGATGAGCTTCTTGACCGACCTCTCGCTCTTGTACGGAAGCAGCGACAGACAGAACGCGATATCGCGCCATTGTCGTTCCGAGTTGGTCAACCTGAACCTCTGACACAGCTTGTCGACCACATTCTCGGCTTGCTTCTCCTTGTCAATGAAGGTAAAGATGAACTTCATCGTTCGCGCAAACGTCTCTTCGTCCACGGCGTGCTTTCCGATCGAGAGATGCGAGATGATGTCGGGCAAGTTGTTGTACACCGCATTCTCCTTCGTCGCGAGTTCCGAGAAGAAGAGTTTGGCCAGGTCCGAAACGCGCGGTTCTTCGTCCTCGAGACACTTGGCCATCTCGCCGAGTTGCCCCTTGACCTTGATCATTCCGTTGAGGATCAAGTGCGTGAGCACCATCAGCGTGTGCTTTTTGACCGACAGATCCGGATCGCCCAAACCTGCGTACAGACGGTCCGAGTTCTCGTCTACTAGCGAGCCGAAGCAGACGGCAATGTCACCGAGCGCAATCACGACGTTGCTGCGGATCACGGCGTCCTTGGACGTGGTGAGGATGTGCAGCAGCAACGCCAGGTTGGCTTCGCAGAACGTCGACGAGACGCACATGAACTTGCAAAGCGTCAGCACGGCGGCTCGACGCACGAGCTCGTTCGGATACGACTTGGGGCTGCTGCAAATGTGCGTCACGATGGGACCAAACATGGCCAGAACACTTCGACTTCCGTACAGCAGCTCCTTTTCACGGACGCTGGCAATCACTTCGCCGATCTCGTCCTCGGCGTTTCCGGCGACTTGATCGAGTTCCTCCACCGCAGCAGCGGCAGCGGCAGCAGCGGCTTTGCTGGCCTTGCCCTGCGACACGGCTTTAGCGACAGCCTTCTCCTTGTCTGCCTCTGCCTTGCGTCGCTTGTACTCTCGCTCGACCAACTCGAGGTAGACAATGTGCTTGAGCGCCACGTGGCCGACGATGAAAAGCAGCTGGGCGAGCTGGAATGCATCGCCCATGATGGGTGCATCCGAGCTCGACGCGGCGTCCCTTGCATCCGCCATGGAAACATCGCTGGCCGCATCGTCATCGCTGTGGCGGTCCGGTTTGGCAGCTTTGCCACCAAACACGCGCGAGGTCATGCTGCGAACAATGTCTGTGCACATGGCATCGGGCTGCTCTCCCAAGAGGTAGATGGTGTTGATGGTGTTCTCGGCCAAGCTGAACCACTCTGCACGGCTGTTGCCCTTCAGCACATCGCCCGACATCTGAATGGCGGCACGCAGACGACCGAAAAGCGGATGCGTCATGGGATATCGCACACTTTCATCGCTGAGCGCACCTTTGACCTTCTTGACGCTACCACCGAGTCGTTGAAGCGCGACGCAGGTGTACTTGGCGAGCACAACATCGCGTGCTCCCAACGGGCCGAGACCGACGCGCAGAAGCGTATCGACATGCTCCGAGATGATCTCGCGCCTGGCGGTGGCGAGCATTCCCAAGACGATGATGGCGCCTCTTCGCTGCGCGGCAGAGATGGCACGTGGTGCCGAGTAGACGGCCCAGAGCTTGTTGACGACCTCGGGATGGACGAGGTTCTCAATCTGCATGGTCTTGAGCATCTCTTCTAGGGAGGTGAGCTCGGCCAGCGTGGCACCGAAAGTGCGTTCGATCATGTTTTTGGCGATGCGGGCAATATTGTCCTTGGCATTCAGGTCGGCGCGAGCGTCAAAGTAGAGGGCTCGGTAGACTTCGATGAGACGCGATCGAACGCCCTTTAGCTGACTGCCATCCTCCATGACGAGAGCGTTGTCCTTTGTCCAGATGAGGTGAACCATCTTGCGCACGCCTTCAGCAGAGCCCGAGAGCCTGTACTCGTGAGCGACGCGGAAGAACTCCATACTCTCGAGCACTTCGGCTTTGTTGGTCGAGGCGAGCAAGAGGGTGAGGTTGGGCATGGCGGTTTCGATCTGGGTGATGAAAGCGATGGCGTCGGTGTAGTAGCGCTTGGTGAGACGCAGACGCATGACCTTTTCGGCATCGACGGGCTCCATCTCAGCCTGGGCAGCAGCAAGCGCCTGGAGGTCGATCCCGGAACGGCGAGCCTTTTTGGGTTTGTTCTTCTGCTTGGCGTTGAAATTCTTGACAGACTTGCGACCGCGGGCTCGAGGTGCATCTTCGTCTTCGTCGTCTTCATCTTCGTCCTGCATGACTGTGTCGTCTCCATCTTGTTCTGAGTCTGCCTCGTCCTCCTCTTCGTCTTCGTCCATGTCTTGATCCGAGTCTTCGGCAGCTTCGGACTCGTCCTCGTCGTTCTCGCCTGGCAGATTGAGGGATCCCTCAGTTTCTTCGAGCTCTTTGGAGACGAGGTCGAATCGGGCCTGCCATTCCTGGAGGCAGAGCTCTCCACCATGGAGCATGCCAAAGGGATGAGTGAGGATGAGTTTTGTGAGGAGGACGATGGCGTTTTTGCGGACACCGCTGCTCTTGTCCTCGAGATGGCGGATGACCATTTCGGTGATCTCGGTTCGCTGTTTTGGGAACTTGGTGGGTAGATCCAAAAGACGTGCGCAGACGGTGATGAGCTTGGATCGGACGTACGAGTTGAGATCGAGGAAACGCTCGATGAGAAGGTCGAAGAATGTCTCGATCTGTTTCTTGCGAGCCTCTGCGCTGCCACGGTTCTCGTCGGTAGCTGCGTCGCCAGAGGAGCCGGAGTCGCCACCATCGGCGTTGAGAGAATCGTCGGTGAGAGCGAGCTCCTTGATGAGCAAACCAAGGGTCTCGATGAGAGCATTTCGCATCGGGTAGGATTCGGAGTCGAGATGCTTCTGCAAGAGGCTGATCTGCTTGAGCACGCTACGAGGGCTGAGCTCGGCCATGCGAACGAGGAAGCGACCAAAGGAGCGCGGACTCTTTGTGTCCATGGCGCCGAAGTTCTTGGCAGCGACTTCGCGCAGGACGTCTTCGCCGAGACGCTCGTAGTCAAACTCGAGACGCATGACGGCGAGTAGCTCTGCCATTGGCTCTGCAAGGTGCTCGTAGTATTGAAGGCTCTGCATGATGCTGGTCTGCGCGCTGAAAGCCTGACCGTGGGCCTTGACAGCCTGGCAGATGACCTTGAAGATGCCGAGCTTGATGGCCGGTACCTTGAGATACAGCTCGTTCTCTTGCAGAAGGAGGGCAGGACGCAAGAGACAACCCGAAACGAACGAGTCGCGGGCGGCCGAGACGGTCCACATGCGCTCGCTACGTACGCGTGCGGCCTTGGACATGAGGGTGAGTACGGCAGGAATCGAGTTGGACCACGGCCATGCGTCTGCCTTTGCGGAACCGGATTTAGCAGCGGCAGCAGCGGCGGCAGCGGACTTTGCGCCCGCACCACGACGTGCGCCAGCGCCGCCTCTGGCAGCGACGATGGCAGCAGCAGAGCCAGCGCTGTCGGAACGAGCGCCGCTGTGCTTCTCTGCAACCGAGACGAGCCACTGAAGGAGGAAGGCAAATCGCTCGAGCGTGTCTGCATGGGAAGCGTAGGCGTTCGGGTCGTCGCCGTCGAGCTCTCGTTGTGCTTCATCGAGGGCATTAGACATGCCCGATGCGATGACATCGAGAAGCTTGTTGCAAGCGTTGGGGGAGAGGTTGGCAAAGTGCTTGAGGTAGGATCGGATGAGGTCGTAGATTTCGGGATTTGAGACATTGTCGGGACTGGATGTGATGGCGTCGATGGCAGAGTCGAGGGTGGAGATCTGTTCGGATTGATTCATGTCGTCGACGGCGACCTCCTGCGGGATGATGTAGGGTTCATCTTGAAGCAAGAGGAGTTCGTCGGCGAGGTTGAAGCGACCGTTGTTGGAGTCGCCAGCGCCGCCATCCGAGGAAGTCATTGTGAGGCGGTGAATGCGCCTGCCCCTGGAGCAAGAGCGTGCAGCCTGACCAAGGTGTTATTGATGGTGACGGTGGTAGTGGTGGTGGTAATGTGAATCTGACGCGATCCGGCTGCTGTCACTGCAGCCTGTCTCGGTAGGTGTTGCTCTCTCCTCTCGACCGACCAAAAAAGCTGAGTCCGAGTCGCCTGGATGCGCTTCGCTGAAATCACAATCACAACCTTGACTGCAGGGAAGGGAGTGTTGGTCTCGTTTGGCTGAAAGAGAAACGGCAGAGAGACGCGTGCATTTGGCTTGGTCGTGTTTTTGTTGCGGGCGAATTTACGTGTTAGAGTCGAAATTTGCCGCGATGGTTCACGTGATTTGGCGAAATCAAGTTCCAATCAGCGCACATAATCGGCGATTCCGTCAGCCAGCAGAGACACGCTGGAGCCGAAGAATCGGAATGAGACCGACAACGGACGCACATGTCGCACGCTCTTTTGCAGCTCAGAAGGAAGATCCGACGACGCACGATCATCAGGACCAACAAGATTCGTCGCTTCCTCATTTCGACCTTTGCCATCGCACCACCACCATCATCAGCATCTGCCGAACCGCTTGTCGCCTCAAAGGGAACGCCCACCAATCCCACTCGCGCACGCACTCGGTCACACACCACTTTACAAAAGAGATTCGGGCCGCGCTTCATTTAACGTTCTCAGTCAACTCGTTGGCACCGCACAAGGTTCCCACGCCTCTCTATTCGCCTCCCACGGTAAATCGACTGCCCAAGCTCTCAATAGTACAGTATCACATTTCTCACAATGGTAAGTTTAAACCGAATTTCTCATCTGCAGCCGCATTTGCGCCTTGTCCTAAGCCGATCAGAGCGGTCACGTCCCCACCGTCTTGGCCCAGAATGGTGAGAGCCGTCAAGAGCCTCATCATCTTCAGTCTCAGACACTGCCATCTACAACGTTGCCATCGTCGTCGTCATCGTCGTCGTTGTTCGTGCACAGCATGACGAAGACACGTCGTCGCAATCTGCGTTCGACCACCGCTCCTCCCTTTGCCGTTGCGTCTAAGCAGCAAAGGCGCGCTCCCATCGTCGAGCCCAGGCACGACCGTTCTGCTGGACTGGATGCCGACTACGTTGACTTGGCTGCCGATGCGCCCGATCAGCTCGATCTTCAACAATTCATTGACATGACTTCCCGTACCTCCGAATTCTTCCCTCCCCTGCCTCAACCTCGCGCGTCTAAACGCAAATCCGGCTGCTGCCCCGGCTTCGACGACACTATCAACGACGATGCCATAACCCCTTGGCTCTCGCAGGAACAACAGTCCAGCGCGCCCGTTCCAGCGAGGAATGTGGTCAATTTCCTCCGCAACAAGTCGGGCATCAAGACACGCGTAGGTGCGCTCAATGGCAAGCGTGTCGACTACTTCAAAGGCTCTGCCGCCGTCAAGGCTCTCCTCTCGCCTGCCTACGCCAAGCTCAAAGACGTTCCCAAGGTCACCTCGAAGGAAGAGGCCGAAGAAGCTCTGCACAACATCATTCCCTTTGCCTTTTTCCTCCGCGTCGAGCGTGGTCCTAGCACCGGCGGCAAGGACTCGCCCAAGGTCGTCGAGATCAACCCGCAGCAGATGTTCAAGAGCGACTTCTACTACGTCTGGCTCTACGAAGGTTCGCAGCTGGGTCTCAAGTTGGCAGGGTTGGGTATGGTCGCTGTCATGTTGGCGGGTGTCATGTTCCCACTCTGGCCACCTACGATGCGACTGGGTGTCTGGTACCTTTCCATCGGTGCGTTGGGCTTGATCGGTCTGTTCTTCGCCATTGCCATCGTCAGGTTGATCTTCTGGTTGATCACCATCGTAGTGGCTAAGCCGGGTATTTGGATCTTCCCCAACTTGTTCGAGGATGTCGGATTCGTCGACTCGTTCATTCCGTTTTGGGCTTGGGACGTTCCTCCCGCGCCCAAGAAGAAGAGCAGCAAGGCATCTACGGCATCAGCAGCAGCAGCGGGTGAGAAGAAGAAGTCGTCTTCGAGCGGTGCAGGCGCAGCCGCACGACAGCAGGCCTTGTCCAGTATGGGGGGAGCAGCACCTGCCGCCCCCGCTTCGCCACCAAAGCCTCCTCAGCAGGCTGCTCAGTCGACTCCGGCTGCACAGCAGAATGGTGGTGTGCAGAACAACGCTACTGGTAGCGGTGGTCCGGGCGCTTCTGACAGCTTGGACGATATCAACTAAGTCCTTAGGTCGGCAAATGTGTTGGCTACGTCGTTGCATTTCCACTCAACCTCCTTAATGGGGCGTTTCATTTTCAATCAAAACTCGTAATCGTGTCAACGTGTTATCGAGTAGTGCTCTTTGATCGGATAGTGTCTGTGTGTCAAACGAGCAATGTTGTGACGAGCAGCAGTGTGGGTTACCTGTCGGGCTGAATGATGGGAACTTGATAGATTCTTTCGGCCTTCTTTTACTATGGTCTTGTTCTTGTAACGAGATGCAGAAATAACGTTTGCCAATACCATCCACCGCTTGTCGGGATCTTTCGCTGAGGCGAGGCACACGCCCGTTTACAATAGTGTGAACATTGCGCCCGACGGACGCCCAGATGTCTGTGGATGACAGAAGGAGACCCAGTCATCATCTCCAAATGGCAGAAAAGTATGAAGCACCCCTCGAAGCTTCACTGCCTAGCTGGTGTTGCTGCTGACCGTGTTTCGGCTGCGCGCTACCATCCTCGCGGTGCTTCGACGCAATCGCTTTGAGCGCCGCGTCCGCCGAGTTCTGATGAAACACGTTGGTGCTGTCCTTCAAGCCTTTGCCGTCCACCCCTACTCCACGAACCGTTCCATTTCCACTTTCAACCCTCTCCATCGTCGATCCTCCTATGCCTTCCAGCTTTCCTCCCGTCGCCTGGCTGATCAGCATCCCGACACCACCTTTCAATCCGCCAACCGCACCCTGAGCCGCACTCGGCATCAACAGTGGAGCACTAGGCTTCTTCGGCTTTCCCAAATCCGATTGATAGCGGCTGGCCAAGATGTGAAAGTCGCTCTCCCTCTCGTAATACTCTTCGTCGTAATGCAGTCTTGCCGCTTTGAGCTGTTCCAACACTGATTCGTACAGCTCGATCTCCCCGTCCAGGAAGGATCTGCCGAGAGCGTGGTAGTCTTGCACACGTTCATTGTGCAACCGGTCCATTTCCGACAGGGTTACGTTCAGGACGGTTTCGCATCGTGCGGCTACCTTTTCCGCTTCTTGAGGCGAAAGTTCGGTTGGTGGTCCTGAAGGCTGATGCTCGTCGTCTTGGTCGTCATCGTCCCAAGGATCTCGAGTCGCCTCGCGATACCTGGCCAAGGTGGTACGGTGCGTTTCCAGTAGCGACTGTGCCATGGTGTGTGGTTTCGATACCTCTTTGAACCGCTCGTGCTGCCTGAGAAGCGTCTCCCTCGCGTGCGACTCGTAGATATCGGCGACAGTCTGCATGCATTCTGCCGTGTTCTGCAGTGCGCTGGTGAGATTGAGACAATCTTGACAGTCTTCCCTCCAACACCAAGCTCCGTGTTCGTTGGTTGCACCTGTCTCGCTGCGCTTGCCCACACCACCCATGGGTGGCCCCAGGATCCGATGCGCATCCACATCCGCCAGTGCTCCAACCATGGTGGCGGCGGCATGATCATCAGACGGACCAGCACCAGCTCCGGTCAGAGTGCGCAAGAGCGTGTACGACAAGTCTCGGTACGTAGATGAAGTTGACACGTTGCCCTCGCGATGACTCTTGTACGCAGCAAGCACACCATGCTTCCCAGCGTTGTGCCCACCAACACCGTTGATCGCCTTTTCTTGCGCCTTGAGGAATGCATCCAGGCGATCTGCCTCAACGCCTGCTTCGCTAGCATCAAAGTTGAATTCCGGATGCCAGGTGTGCGCAAAGACTCCCCCTTGCATCGCCTTGCCCGCCGCAAGACAGCCATACCGCAACAGGGCTGCTGCATTCGTTCGCCACTCGGCCTCGTCGTCGCAGCTCAGAAAGAATCGAAGCGTCTCTGAGTACCGCAGGACTGGGTGTCGGACCAGTCGTGACATCCACATCTCCAGATCAGCACGTCGCGTCTCAATAAAGTCGGAAGCGAAGCGACCGCTGTACTGCTTCTCCGGGACGGGCGGGATGAACAATGCCGAATAATGCTTGGCGAGAGTCTGGTACAACCACTCGAACTGGGTGAACCGGCGACGCACCGTGACTTGAGCTCCGGGCGGGTATGGACCACCGAGGGGATCGTACGGGATGCAGCTTTGGTTTTCAACGACTGCATCCGGTTCATCGTACAGCGGGTATGTACTGGTGACGTGATAGATCGTGTACTCCTGCATGCCGTTGAGCTTGGTGCGTTTCTCGGGATGATGGACTTGGACGAGGAAAGGACCGGACTTGCTCATCCATTTGGGACCAGCAGATCCAGCAATGACGAAGTGATGGTTCGGGTCGGCGGCACAAAGCTCCACCTCGGACACTTCAGCGCGTTCCTCGTGGGCATTACCGCGAGCTTCTCCATCCGAAGCAGTCTCCTCCTCCTCTTCTCTGACCTCGGTCAGAGCCGGCGCCAGTGTGCTGACTGCCTCGCCTCCGGACACTTTGCGAGCGATGGTACGCGAGCGCTCGTCCGCCTGAGGGTTCGAGTCGGACAGCACATAGTCCTCGGCGCCGCTAGTAACAAAACTAGCGAAGCGGTTGAACGTCTTTTTGCCGAAAACGCTGCCTTTCCAGTCAGATGCGGCAGGCGGAGTTGATGCGGACGCCGGCACAGCATCGTCTGCGACCGATTCGATTGGTTCTTCGGATTTGCCGAGGAGGTGTGCGGTGTCAGCCAACGGCGACGGACTGCTCTGAATCGCGGTCCAGTTGATCGGATTGTCTTCTGTAGATGAAGCTGGCATACCATCGATCACCGTCGTAGAACTGACGGGCACGAGCGCTTGAGGTACATCGATCGACGCAGAGGAAGATTCAATGGGATCTTTCTGGGCCACGGCGTCCAGCTTGCCGACTTGCTCCCATTGCGCAGCTTCGTTGCCAATCTCAAGAAAAGCGCTGACCGAGATCAATTTGTCTGCCTCTGATGTTGAGACGCCGTTTGCGGCTGACCTAGCGTCAGTTGAGTTGTCCGCTCTCACGTTTGAGGTGGCTGACGACGATGAGATGGTGCTCTCCGGGGCTTTAACCAGCTCGTGTTTGCCCTGTGCGCCTTGTTCCTGGGTCTTCGAACGCTCCGAGTCTCCCTTTTGCCTCAGTGACGAGTCCGCTTCTCTGATCTGTGACTTTACTTTGGACTTTCTGCGAGCCGGAGATGGGGTGGCAGGGGAAGGCAAGTTGATCTTGCCAGGACTCGTGTCCCTTTCAACGGTATTGAGCGTGTCCTTTCGCTCCATGTCCTGCCCAAGCTTCGAGGGGGATGCAAACTCTTGAATCAAACAGTAGAATCCCATCGGAATCAAGCCACGGGTCGGCAAACCTTCGTGATCCCAGACGATACCCAGACTCCAGCCGCCGGCAAGCTGTTCATTGAGAATGTCAAAAGGCTGTCCGGCTTTAATGGTCAGCTCGTTGAAAGCGGCCTCACCTTCGAAGTCGTACAATGCACGGGCTGGCTTGCCGATCCCGGCTGGCAGTCGAGAGCTGGCGGGCCGCGAAGGCTGCGAGATTGACTCGATGGCGTCGGAAGCCAGCAGAGGTTCCGCGTGGTGAAGTAGGCCATTGTCGTGATCAAGTGACTTGGCAGCGTCCTCATTCAAGCCAGACGCAGGGTCGACGGAATTGACAGGAGGATCGACGCTCGCTGAAGGCGGACGGTGGAGCTTTGAAGCTGCTTCTTCGCCTCCTTCTCCTGATGCCGTCCGAACACCATCGCCGACGGCGCCGTTGTCCACACTTGCAGCCGTGGCAGCCATGAGCAGGGCGCGTCGAGTGGTGACCGCCTTCGTAGGGCTCGTGTTGGCCGATCTGGAGTCGAGGTCGAAGCAGCTGCCGTCGTTAGCACGCAAATGTCGGCTGGTCCTGGAGAAGCTGGCATCATCGTCATCATCAATGAGCATCGATGGCTCCCTAGACCTCTCAGCTTCAAGCTCCGCCTCGGACGCGGAATGACTTGCAGTGGACCCGGAAGGGGAACCTTGGACGTCGCTACGTTCTGCATTGCTGCTTTGACCAGGCGATTGACTGTCTGCAGTGAAGACGGAGCTCAAGCGTCCTCGATGGCCGCCGCTGACCAGACGGTTCGGGATTCGTCGCGCTGTGCCTGCAGGCGCAATTGGCGAAGTCAGTGTACCGTTGCTAGAACCAGCAGCAGGCGCCGGACACATTTCGTGATCGGAGCGACTCGGTCTGATGGTTGCGGAACTGTCATCGCGTCCATGCTGTGCTGCCATGTTACGGATTATGGAAGACGTCAGGGCGGTCTTGGCCGAAGTCGAACGGGAGATGGTGGCGTCGGTGTCAACAGAAGTGGGTTCAGCTGTGCAGGCATCAGCAGATTTGATCGAGCCAGAAGAGGACGACCTGACAGTACCGATATCGGCGTTAGGAGGGATGACTTCTGCGTCCATCTTAAGAGCATCGCCCAGCAGATCTTGATTGGCCGTGCGATAGATCGACTCGTCCTGGCTCTGATCGGTGGCGTCTCTGCGATGCCTTGAGACTTTCTGTGGCGTTTGATACACGACTGAGGTCCGTGCGTCGGCAACGTGGAAGGCACCAGCCATGCCATTGAAGCGATCACCGGTGATCTGTGCTTGCAGCATACGAACTTGATTACTGATCCTGGGCTTCGTCCTCGTTCCCGTGCGCTGAGAGGCAACACCCGTGTTTTGCCTGGACAAGGCGATGGGCGTAGAAGTCGTGGGAAGGGCAGCCTCAAACATATTCCGCAGATCGCCGACCCTGGACGCTCCTGAGCCGTTGATCGCGATGTTTTCGTTGCGGATGAGGCGCGAGGTACCCGCTACCGAGTCTGCATCGCCCAAGCTCGCATCAAAGACCCTGCTGACCGAGGGAGCTGTATAGGTCCTACCTCGGATGGTCGGTCTCGTCGAGGGCGATCGGAGATGATCCTGATCCTGGTCCTCATCCTCGCTAGCCGAGTCGAAAGCATCGACAAAGTGATTTACTGTGGAGCTGTCATAGCAGTGACCGAGATGGGCACGACTGATCGTGGCGGTAGACGGGGAGTGTGTGGTGAAAGACCCACCTGTGGTGTGCGTGTGTATATAGTGGCGTAAGGCAATCGAGTTGCAGGTCCCCGTGAATGCAGAAGAGAGATGCGTCGGCTTGGGGGGTGGAGCTGGGCGGGAAAGGGTGCCGAAGCGACTTGCTGCAGCAGAGCTTGATGATGGTGATGGCGGAGGAGACTGATGGGTCGATGACATGGTGCCAAGCTCCCCGTCCTGGTTTCCCATGATCCGATCCGTGGTTCCAATATGATTGTTGTGGACGGCTCAGCCGGCTGAATGGTGCTGCGGATGAATGTGACGAGGCAAATTTGCAAGCTGCTCGGGACTTTGTGTCGGCGTCTCTACGACCAGCCCCCCTTCTGACGCTTGTGTGTGTTGGTCTTCGGCTTTGCCGAGCGAGCTCACATTCAGGGTCCAAAATTGCCTCAACGAGGACTGCTCTGCTGCTCTGCTGCCTAAAATCTCAAATACAAACTCGTCTGCAGGCCGCGGTCGGTTGCAGCTCAAAGTTGCAGCTGGAGCCCCTGTCTCGACTTTCGAAGCGAGAGACCAACACTTGACTTCTTCTGCTGCTGAGGTACGCGTGTGGCTTGAACACCCCTCTCAACGCGCCGATGGGAGTGAAGCTGGATTAGAAAACGGCAAAGCAAAGCAGTCGTCATGCTGCTGATGACAATAGCGAACGAACAGCACAAGCGAATCAGCAACACCCAAGCAGCAGAAATCTATGAGATTGAGACGGTCAGAGTGTGGGAAAGTTCTACATGGGGTGTTGGAGAAATCTGAGGTGATTTGTTGATTTTGAACAAGACCTTCTGGTGAGGAAGGCCGGTATCGCATTCTGGAAATGCCAGGTCTAGCCCGGCAAGAGCAGCAATGGTACGGACAGTGTCCTTCAAGCTGCGCTCTGAGCGCTGACGCCAGAAAATCATGGCTTGCCTGGTTCACCAACGTCGGAAGCCGGAAGCGCCGGGCAAGCTTGCAGCCGACGAATCCGTCGCGTAGCCGTTGTTAGATGCAGCCAGGTGAGGGTCGATGGGTGGACCTGAGGAAGCCCGATGAGCTTGAACGTGCAAGGGTGCGTTGACCGCGTATCCGCGACCTTGTCCATTGCCGTAACTGTGAGGCGAAGCGTTGCCAGTCGCTTCGGTCAGCGGCGAGTTGCTGTCAAAGGGTCCCAACACGCTAGACATGGAGGTGAAGCCATGCTTCGCCTCGGTGCCATACGACGGCGAATTGTGGTGGAGGGTATCCTGCGAGACTCGCATCGAGCTCATGCCGATATCGAGGCAGTGATTTGACGAAGCCGTGGAGGAAGACGAAAGCATGGTGCCGTTGGACACCTGAGGCGAGGCAGACGTTTGGTGAAGCGCCGGCACTCTGTCACCTCGGCTGCCGTTGTTCGCCGCAGCATTGTTGAGCGTGGGCGTTCCCATCAGACCCAGCGAGCCGGCCTGCGTCTCGACATGCGACTGTGCCACCAGACCGAGTCCGAGACCGACCGTGGCTGTGCCCCCGTGCGCCTCCATTTTGCCCTGAGCACCGTGACCAGCATACGATTGAGCATCAGAGATAGCCGTGCTGTACCCGTTGGGATGATGCAGACCCGAGAGGAGTCTTCGAACCACCCCTGCAGGGCTGCGGTGCACGCTGCCAAATCCGGCATCGCTGGTACTCCCATTCAACGGAGAGCCTTGCTGGTAGTGGGACTGCAGGCTCAAGTGCTGTTGTTGCACGGGAGGCTGCGGCTGTTGCTGATGTTCGGAATAAGGATGCCACCGCGCGCCAGGATCCATTGAAAGCTGCCTGCTGCTCGTGGACAAGCCCAACGGCGTTCCGTTGGATGCGGATGTCGTACCTTCTCGCCTGAACTGCTCTCCCTTCTGGCTCCAAGCGGGAGAGGCGAATGTGAGTGGGCTGGGCCCGGAAGGGCTCTGCTCGCTCCACTCTGATTCGGCGGGCCCAGCCTGCGTGATGCCTTGCGCAAGTCCGTAGTTTCCGGCGTGCCAACTCGCAGCGCAGTGATGACCGCCGTCTTGACCGTTGTGCTTGGCATCGTGTTCATGACCCGTGGCCATCGTCAGCATCGGCAGCATGGACTGAGCTCGAGGCATTGTTGCACCGCCGAGCTGACCCGCTTCAAAACCCTGAGGACCGAGGTTGGGGGCACCGCCAAAAAAGGCTGGCGGGGGAGACGCGGACGAGAACTTGCGAGCGTGGTAATCGGAGGTCATCTCAAAGCCATCTGAACGAGCATAGCCTGCGCCACCAGCATCGACGCCGGAACTATTGGCATAGACCGGCTGCAAGTTGACGGCATAAGCAGGAAACGTGTACCGAGCATTGCTGCAAGCATTGTACAGCTGTGCTGCCGCTATGTGGTGGTCCTGGTTGTGTTGCGAAGAGGAAGAGTCGGATGCATAGTCGCCCAGACCGACACGCAGGGTGGGGTCTTCCAGCATGTCGTGCTCGTTGCTGATGCCTTGAATACCCAGCTGAGCCTGTTTCTGGGACTGATCGCGTTGGCGATGCGCGGCCAACAACGTGGTTTTGTCTCCGCCACCGCCTTGGTCGAGGCCAGCTGCCTTCGCAGTGACTGCTGCGGGCATTGCCGTCCCCGATTCCGAGGCAGTGTTGCGCAGCTTGCTCGATTGTCGACTGCGAGCTGCGTGCGTCATGGTGTGACGATGCATGACATCCTGTCGTCGAAACGACTTTCCACACATGTGACACTCGTACTTGATGGTGTCGTCATGTGTAGCCCTGTGGCGCAGCATGTGTTCGTGTCGTTTGAAGATCTTGCCGCAAAAGCATTGATAAGGCGGATCAGGCTTTGGTCCGTACCGACGGCGCCTCTTGCGCACCATGCTGCCTCCATTGCCACTGTTGTGAGCCATCGAGCCGACGGAAAACAGGCCAGTGGCGGTCATGGCTTGGCTGGTCACGTTGAAGTTTCGCGGAAGACAGCCAGTAGAAGAGCGTGTAGCGTATCCAGCTCGCATGTCGCCTCGTTCAGCAGCAGGATCTGCCGCTATACCAGCACCCTCTTGGTGGACGAAAGTTGAATGATTGTGTGTGAAGGACGAAGAAGCAGCCGGCGCCATAGGCCACCTTTGGGGCATCGAAATGCGGTCCTGAGGTGGAAGAGTGTGAGGAGAATAAGAGAAGATGGAAGAAGGGGAACAGGAAGGCGCAGAGACGGGGAGAGCCAGGCGCGATGGGTCAAATGAACAAGCGGCTGCGTGCGACTCTGCAGAACGCGCCGAAGTGCGCGAACTCAGCATCGACATGCTGCAATTGTCCACTCTCCCGCACCTCCGGCGTGACTTTGGGCAGAATGGTCGGGGGACGAGCAGGGCGATGCGACCGGCCCTTTCTTTGGTGATGCGTGAAGGCAAGGACCGGTGTGCGCCGTTTAAAGATGCAAAAGATGCGATATAGAGTTGGCAGCTCCCAACTGAGGGCAACGACCGTCCGCCGATGGTCGGAGTGGCGAGCTTGTTGCGTCGTCAAAGGTCGAAAATAAAAGTCGAATGGTGCAAGGATGAAGGTTGCAAAAGAGATCAAGACTCAAGATCCAATCAGGACCGGACCGCTTGTCGGATAGCGCGCTACTCTCGTCTGTGCAGTCGACAGAGCTGTGCGATGCAAACCTAAACTCTGTCGAGCGTGAGAACTAATTGCAGGATGTTTTGGAATGCAGCTGCAAAAGCTAGGGGCGGACAGGTCGAGAAACACTGTGGCTTGACAGTGACGAGAGCTGTTCGTCAGGCTCACAGGCAGGATGTGAGCTCCGTACTTGGTATGGGAGGGGAGAAGACGGAGAAAAGGAGGTAGTCATACACGAAATGGCCGGACACTGGTTTTGTATAAGTAGCTTTGGGCTCTTGACAAGTTGGGCCGCTCAGTGCGAGCTTGCTGACAAGAAAGAGAGGCTGAAATGAAGCTGGACACAGCCATGCGACTGCTCAAGAGCCAACGATTCGCCACCTCGCCTCGTCGTATCTGGGCAGATTCTGTCTCCTTAACACAGCGTAGGCGGCGCCGATGCTGCACAGAGTAACTCAAACATCAGATTCGAGTGCAACACCAAAGCATGCATGCAGCTCTTGGACAAGGAAGATGCATCATCGGAAAAGGGGCCAGGTTTCGGAGTTCACTATGCATCCAGGAAAAACGGACCTTTATCAAAGCTTCAAGGACGCCCCTCTCTGCCTTGTTAGCACAATTTTCATATGCGGTAGCACATGCACATTGTTCGAGTCTAGGTCATGCATTCCTTTCGGGATCGCGCTTTCTGTCGGTGTGATTGCCATCTAGGTTCAAGACCCGGTTGATGGCGGCTCCACCTTTTCCCAGCGGCTCCTTGGTCTGTCGCACGTTGATCAGTGGGCGCATGAATCTTTGCTACGATGATATGAGAGAGAGCTGGCAGCAGGACTTCAGAAAGAACAAAGGCTGGCTAGTTTGGGACCGCGGCACGATAGTGTAGCAGCGGCGACGATTGGTCGGCGGAAATTTGCTTGTAAATGATGCGATAAAGCGTGCTTTGTCAACGCCCAGCGATTCATATGAGGATGAAAGGGTCTGAGTCGGGGGCGAAATGCACCGACAGCTGCTGGCTCCGATGATGAGAAAGCGTAGACAGGCAAGCAGCGGCTGACGTATGATTTCGGGGTTGGGCCTGTGTCAAGTTGAATGACACCGGACTTGTCTAGACGCCCACAACGAGGAGCGTGCACTTTATTGAGTCCTCTCTGAAAGGCTCAATTGTCTCGTTTTCACAACTCGGGATGGCACTGAAGCAAGGAGCTGGTCCCACCACAAATACAATCTCCATATCGTCGGCTCCACGAAGGTCCGCACAAATATTGGAGCCGCTGAAAATGGTGATACAGTATTGATGGGTCGCCGCATCGGTGGTTGGAGCACATGGCTGCCACAAGGCCCAACATAGGCGTGACACGACGACTTGCAGTACCACCAGTGCCACCATTTGAACAGATGAGGTGCTTGACCGAGATTGTAGCGAGAATGATCGAAAACAAGGCACACACTCTACGTCCCTCGAGACGCAGCCATCGCATCGAGCTCAAGTAGCGTCCTGATTGGTCGCTATTGCGGCGCCTTCATTACACATTGGGTGTCGACGTCGAAGTCTGGCAACGAAGCAGCCAGAGAACTTGACCTGGCCTCAGGTAGAATCCAGTTGTCCACAACGAGACGGCGCTGGCTGTGAAGGAATGATATAGATCCTGTACCGATAGAGCAGGCTTACTTCAGCTACTCCTGAGCCAATTTCCCCAAAATCTCGGACCGGCGTCCTTGATGCGATAACGCATGGCCAGTTCGACAGATTGTAACGGTGGCCGATACCTGCCCTACAATTGACACCAAGCATATTCGAAAGCCTGGGGACTCATGTGCAGTTTTCATGCACCACGGATCTGATAGGGTGCCTGTGGGAGCTTCGAAGCCTCTTGAGCTCGTGCTGTTCTGATACATCCGTTCATGCGGAACACGACGACCATGCATAAGAGATGCAGAGTGAACAATGATCGCGCAGGCCCAAGCTCGGATCGAGCTCGGATGTGACACGACAAAATTCTGGATGGAGCTGCTCCTGAAAATGCTAGATTCAGACACCGTGAAGAAGAACAATTGTGGTGTGATATCAGCAGAGCCTCTTGCCGGTGCGAAGATTTAGGCGTCAGCTCCTTGAATGACAAGGGTGGCAGGTGGGCTGACAGCTGTTCGAATGCAATGAAACGTCTTTCGTTAGCATTCTCGACTGTCTCCTCAATGCTGCCTTTTATACGGATTGCCTGCTTCAAGCCAGAAGCGGAACACATAGCCGGGAAATCGGTAGCCTGTCTCCGTGAGATCGTAGAGACCTGCTTGATTGTGTCACAATACGGAAAGAGCAGACCGGACCTGACGGTCACGTTGCGAGTCCGAGAAAGGAAATTCGGGGCTCGAAATTGCAGAATGCAACGTCGTGAGACTGCGCTTGCGACGACACGCGCGGGGCACGGCACATCGTCCCGCCGTCACTGCGCGTCGCAGCAGATCACATTTCGACATATCGTGGCTCTCAAAGGCAAGCTGAAGCGATGTACTGGTTCCGTAGCGCGGGGCTTGTGCGCCTTTCTAGAAGGTATGATTTGCCTTTCACTCTCAGATATCACACCGCGAAAGTCGAGCGGCAGAGTCTACTTCGTCGTTTGGTCTCAGTACGAGTGTTGTTTGAGCGCAAGATGAAGTGATCCGTGCTCGATGACCAGAAGTTCTGTACGTCTTGCCCAGTTCATGACAGCCAGGCTGAGTCTGTACTGTACTTCGAGCACGAGGTGAGCGCCCACATCGTGATAGAATGACAGATCGCTTGGCCGATACAGCCCCACCTTTCATGCTGTGCTCTCGAGCTCCAGCATCAACGTGCCGTTAGACGCGGACCGCCTGTTCGCTCAATCCTTGTGCGAGGATGCTGGCGTCGTCGCGTGGCTTTCGATCGATGCGATTGGTAGCTTGACGACCTCGCAATGGAGATGCACTCGGCGCTTGGCGTTGGCCCGCTAGTATAGATTCAGCCCCTTCCATCACGGGTCTTCCTAAGAAGAGGCATCTCTTGGCAACAATGGTACCGACGCACTGGAACCGAAGTAGGAGTGGCCGTTGCAGCGCGTGCCGCCAGCTCTGGTACAATGGACAATTGGGTCGGTCACTACGTCTGTTTGCTTTGAAGGCAAGTTCGTTTAATGCGACTGTGGGAAAAGGGGAGCCGAGAGATGGAGCTTTATGGCCCGAATGCATGGCTGGAAAATGCAGAGTCGCTTCTGATAGGCGAGGCTGCATGTACACGGTAGACCCCATTGTTCTTTGCCGTCGGCTGCGTTGGCCCGAAATTTCCAGCTTCAGTACCATTCAAGACGGACAAAGGATAGTGCGAGTCGACCAAGAACGCTCCGTTTATCGAACCCAAGCCTGGGAGACGACAGCAGCTCCTCCGGGACGCAGGTCTCCGAGAGCCAGGTTCTTGAACTAAAGAAATCAAGCTATGCAAACTGAAAGCAGAAGCGGACCAGTTCCCTGCGCTCGATGCGTTTCAAGCAGAAGGCAGGTTGGGTGCATTCCCGAGCTGCCCGAGGCTAAAGAATCGGCGACTATCTTTCCCGGCTTCATGAGAGATTTTGAGATGCCACTGCTTGTGTCCATAGACTCTAGAGGAGCGAGCTGCTATGGAGCCTGACTGTTTTTCACGTGTAACTCGACATCGAGCACGGAGGTGTCAGCTGAAGTGAGCAAGGAGAGCAAGGTGCTCTGCATAGCATTCGTCTGAACCGAGCTTCTCCATCTTGTTGAGTATCATCTGATTCTGAGAGGGAAGGAGAGAAACGGGTTGAGAGTGCATGCTCACACTACGACTTTGTGGCGGGATGAAGTCGGACATGCGGGAAGGCAGCTCTAGAATGTTATGTCGGTGCCTTGTCTTGAAAATTCCAAAATGCGGTGTATATGAGTGCGCGGTGTGGAGCGGCGAAATAGTCGGCTCGCACAGGCTGAAATTCAGCTGTCAAAAATGTTGGCGAGGTTGCTCTGCTTCACATGTCATCTCTTCCTGTCCAACTCCCGTTGTTCGAGCATCACCTCTCAAAGCCTTGTTCATCTAGCTCAGCTCAGGGACACCCAGCGCGACCGTCTGGAAGCAAAGTGGGAGGAAAGCACGAGAGCGGCTGAGCTTGCCGCACAAAGCTTTCTCAGAGCGAAGTCCTTGCCCCACTCGCTCGGTGGATCGCTGCATCATGGATCATGGTCAAGGCGGGACCGACCGACAGGTCGTGGCAGGATCTTTATCGAGCCCTTCTGCGCTCTTCCGCTGCATCTGTACGATTCTCGCGACCAGCTGCTCGGAACACTCGGCGCTACCTGCGTGACGACTTCGCTGACGCTCTCGTGGTTGGTGATAAACGGGCTGCGGGACCGAGCTTGGACCGCCCTGTTGACGCACACAGTGACGCTAGCCCGTTCGTCGCCGGTCCAGGCAGCGGTCAAGAGCGACTATCCATCGTCAGATATCCGATCGAGCCGTCGATGGTGCCGTCAAGGCATCAAACCCGACAGCAACCACCTCTACAGCAAGTGATGCATCGGCAGACGCACAACACGCTCGCATTTCACCTCTCTGCATCGTTGCTTCCGACCAGCGAGAATCGCACACCTAGGGCCGCCGATGGCTCGGCGAATTATGTTCCCGAGGACTCTTCGAACGATCGCATCCGGGGCAGGCTCGGTCCTACGCTCTCTCATTCGCACCAGACCGAACATGTCGAGCTTCGCCCACTTTCGGGCGATCTCACGGTCAGCAGGAGCCAAACAGCAGCTAAGAAGCAAAACCCACCCACCAAGGCCGCGCGACTCGCTCATCGCGTGGTCTCGAACCTTGCTTCTTTGACGTATCACCACCTCTCACCGCACACCCAGATGCAATCGCGCACCCACCTCAAGCACAATCGGGCTCGTAAACCGCAGAAGCTTTCATCGCTCGCGCGCGTGCTGGGCAAGGTGGAGGCCGATGTGTCGCTAGACCCTTCGCAGGCTTCCAGCGAGACCGGACTGTCGGACGTTTTCAGCGGCAACAGTCAGAATTACGGCGGCGGTCTCAGCGATGGCTCAGGAGACACGATGCTGAACGCATTGCACATGAGGCTGGGCTTTCTATTGCCGAGTGTCAAGCCCGTGCGTGGACCGGTTTCTTCGAGATTGAAGGAGTGGGATGGACAGAACGCCGACAGGATCGCATCTGAGGGAGGCTTGCGTCAGATGGAATCGGATCTCAAGACGATCGAGCGATTGTTGGCAGACCACGACCATGTTCAGAGGGACAAAGGGGCAAGAGTGCCGCGATCGGCTTTGTTGAAGCAAGTTCAGCAACTGAAGTTGGAAGCGGAAGAGCTGAGGAGGAAGATCAAGGCGGCAACGAGGGCTTTGGCACAGGTTGAGGCCCAGAAGCAGATGGAGAGCATTCCGATCGAGCATCTGAGTGATTTGGTTGCCGCTGCGCAAGATTCGCAACAGATCCTGCTGGGTAAGACTCGTTGGTTGAGGCGTAAGAATGGCGGATTTCTGCGTCCATGACATGGTCGAGCTACAAAACAAGATATCATCATATACCACTTTCATCTAGCATTGATTCCCACAATCCGTATCTGTCTGCATTCCCTTCATGTGACCCTCACAAGCGACCCAGCCAGTGCAAAATGGTGACGGCAATAATCGCTGTGAAGCTTGCTACAAAGGATGGGCGGTGGACTCACGGCAAATTTGCCTTCTTAATTTACTGTTAACCCGCGTTTTCTAGCTACGACGCGCTTTTTGGAGTGTTGTTCTGTCGAAGCTGCACGAGAGCTGCAAAGGCAGAAGACATGCATTTCCGCACATCAAACACTTTCCTTTCCTGCTATTCACTCTTTCCTTCCTTCCATCATCATTACACAAAGTCCGAGCATGTCGCGCTACAGGCAGCTGTTTGCAGCGCCTCTCGGCAATCTCTCAGAGGGCGACGGCTCTGGCGATGGTACCAACAGCGGGATCGAGGACAGCCTTCGCGGACCCAGCGCTTTCGATCGCAACGCTCCCATCGCAAGCCACCAATTCAGCCGTTCAGCGCAGCAACCGATCGAGACCGGCACATACGCATTCGCAGCGACTCCGGACTCAGCGCTCCCATCTACACAGCGTCCACCGTATCAAGGAGAATGGCATTCCCCGCGAGCGCCCACGGTCCAGCAGACGCCCGAGGCTGGGCCAAGCACATATCAACATCTGTCTCCACCGCGCATCGAAAGGCAGGCGCCCGCAGCACGACTGCAAGCGCACACTTTGGCTCCGACTTTTCCCGCATCATTTGCTCCTCCGGAGGGCGGCCGTCTCAACTTGTTCACGACACCTGCAGCTGCACCGACCTTGACCACAGGCGTGAACGCTTTCGGCAGCCCGACCGAAAGATCGATGTCAAGCTCTTTCAGCTTTGCGCCTAGAGGTAATGCAGTTGGTGCGGGTGGCGCTATATTTGCCGTCCCTGCCGCGCGAGGAATTACTTCTGCATCTGGACCACCTCCTTCGTTCGCAGCACCACATACGCCAGTGCGACCGGCCAACCCCACAACAGCCACCACCACGACGGCAAACATGTTCTTTAACGCCATTCCCACACGTCCGTCCACATCGGCTTCTGGCACGAACCTCGACGCAGCAGCCCTGCAAGCCGAGCGTCGAATCAGAGAAGTTAGAGCTGCGAGTCGGAACGAAGAACCGCCAAGACGGAGCGTGTCTTTCTCTCCCACCGTCACCACTCCTCAGAACGCCGGACAGGGTGCGATGTACCACGCACTAGCTCCGCCAGCACCCATCAATCGGGCGGCAGTAGCTCAAAATCAAGCAAGACAGGGGCAGGTAGCATCGCATGCTGATTCTAGCATTTCGCATCTGGGGAGAGATACACGGGCACTTCCCCACATGGGTAGAGATCCTAGCTATTCCATGTCAACAGATGCTTCTTTTGCTCGACCCACTGCGACACGGTTGTTCACTGCGCCTACCGCTAGCACCGGTATCGCTCCGATGCAACAGCAGCAGATGGTGCTGCCGTCTCCGGTCGCAAGGTCGACTCTTCCCGTGGCTATGGGCGGAGCATCCGAACCGGACCCCGAGCAAGTTTCGTGGATCGAAGACCCTTCGACGTCGATCTCGCATTCTCACTCCTTGGCTCCTCCGAATGCACCACCGCCGCCCGTCCGACTCCGCAGGTGGGACGGATCCACCACCCTCGTCCCCTCCTACCTCGTATCCGATTCACCCGAGACGGTCATCGAAGAACACCTCTTCGACCACGACACGATCAACCGATTCGACGTCTCCTCCTTACTCCACAAGCACAGTTCTCGTGTACTCGGCGAGCAAGCACCAACAACACTGGACGTCGATGACACGCAATCAGATGTCGTACTGGCGATTTTGGAAACGCAACTTGGATTGAAAGGTCTGCACGGATGGTACGGTTTCACCCATCGAAATCCCCGTCATCGCCTTGGGGAAAAGAGTCGAAAACGACGGCGTAGTGGGAGTGCCGATGAATCCACCTCCTTCTCTTCTCACGGCAGCGACGGTGAGGAAGACTCTCCTATCGTGGTGTACGACACGTTCGGTAGGGTGCGTGGATCGATCCTTCTTCCGAACTACGCTTCCCGCGGTGGACCTTCTTTCCCCCTCCCCTCTCCACAAGAGACCTTCTCAATCCGTCGATCAAACACTTCCTCCGTCGTCCTCAAGACAACTTCCGCTCTAGCGGAAAAAGAATTCGCCCTCTCCCACCAACGATCTTCCCTTCTCAAACAGTGGTCCTCTCTACAAGCATCCTCGTCGTCGTCAACGACAATTCGTTCACCTCAGTTCTACCAGGAACTGAAGAAGAGACGGGATAAAGCGATAGGCTTTCAAACTTCCAACAGAAAACGTCTCTTGAAGGCGTTGCAGAACACATATCTGGATTCAGCCACTGGACGTGGTTAGAACGTCCTCACACTGTCAGAATCGGACAAAGACAGGCTTGGTCTGCAAGAAAGACGAATCCAGAATCGATTACCCGAGTCACAACTGCAATGCTAAAAAAGTGTATACCATGATTCATGTCTATAACGATCTCCGAAGAAAACAAAACGCTTTTCCTTCTGCTATCCCCTCATCGACTTCCAGCTGCATCCTCGGTGTCCAACGCTGATCCGTTCCTCGCTGCTTCCATCGCCGAAGTCGATACGTTCATCCCAAACACTTCTTTCGACGGTTCGACCTGAGAACTTGCGAGTGGGCTAGACGTGTGTATGGTGCCAGTTGAAGTCACTCTGCCCGACAAACCGAGTCGTGGAGGTTGAGGATTTTCGCCGAATGGGGCTCCCAGCCCGACGGTCGCTTCTTCTCCATCAGCGGCATCCTGAGCCGGAGGCGTGGGAGTGCCCGTCTTCTGCTGCAGTTTTGCCATGGCCGATGCTGCAGCACTGCGTTCCGCCGTCATGCTGAGACTTCGTCGCGTGTTCGACTCGCGAGCCAGGGCGGTGCCTTTGACGCTGAGCCTGGCGATCGTATTGGCGAGCTCTTCGGCGCTGGTGCCAGCCAGTACCTCACCCGCTGCTGCAGGAACGGGCGCCGAGTCCGGCTTGCTGTTGCTGCTGCGCGACCCCGTTGGTCCCGATGCAAGCGGAGTCTGTGCTGGAGAGTCCATCGACGCACGGCGTGTGAGGTGCTGCATGTTGCCAGCAGTCACCACCGGGAACGGATATCCGTCATCCAGCGAGGGCTCGACAGCCCCTGGCGTAGCAACAGAGGCTCGTCGTGAGGGCGGCTTATGGCCGCCGACGTCTGCATGCGAAGGACGACGAGGTCCAGCACCAGGCGTCTTTGCGATCCCCATCCTGGTCGCAGCATCCACCACCTCATCCGCTTCTGGATCGTGCGCGCCCATCGAGTGACGCACGGCTGCACCGTTGCCGCCAACAGCTCTGCGTGGTCCGGGCGTCTGAGACCAGTGCGGCGTCGCCGGTTGCTGCTGTTGATGGTCACCACCGTAAGCACCTGCCGGGGGGAGCCTAGGGTTGTATCCGAGAGGCGCACCCGGCGTCAAAGGGACCGGAACGTTGTAAGCAACACCGGGAGCTGCATTCGAGTATTCGGCGCCGCCCGTATGTGCGCCTGTGGTGTGGGATGCTGCATCGGCACCGCCAACCGTGGGGCTGAAAGGGTCCAAACCCGGACTGAGAAACTGCGGATAGAGCGGTGGCGTCTCTGGTACCTGCTGAAAGGTGAAGCCTGGCATACTCGGGGTCATGGGCACCTGCATACGTGCGGCCATGTCACTCGTCTGACCTGCTGGCTGACGGCCCATTGCAGCGCCAAAGCTGTTGGCGAAAGTCGTCGATGGCAGCTGGATACGGCCAGGGTGCGACGCATTCTGCTGGCTGTGCTGTGTCGGTGCAGGCGGCGAGACGAGACCAGGAGACATGAGGTCGGAAGGCAGGTACGACGAAGCTGCGCCAAAGTCGTTGGCAGGCATCGTGATCGACATGCCGTAATCGGCGTCTCGCGCAGATGCTGCACTCGTCCTCGCATGAGAGCCATCGATCTCGGAATACGTGCCGAGGGGTTGGGCGCTCGTTTCGTCCCCTTCCGCTCCACTGCTTGTCTGATCGTTCTTGCGAAGATCTGCCAGACTGCTGAACGTTGAGAATGTCTGCTGAGAGGAGGCGCCGACGTTGCCAAAAGCGGAAAAGGCGGACGTCGAATGGTGCGGTTGCTGCACATGCCTCTGTTGCTGCTGGCGTTGCTGATGCTGGAGCTGCTGCGAAGATTGAAAGGGCGGATTGAATTGAGCATTTGGGTTTGGTGTATTCTGCGGCTGAAACGCTGCCTGGCCGTAACCGAAGGAACCCTGCCCCTGTTGAGCCACCCCGAAGGGCATCGACGCGCCGGTTCTTTGCTGGTATTGAGGCAAGCCGTGCTGCGAATATTGCGCCTGGCCGAATGCGCCTTGCATGGCTTGTTGCTGAGCTTGCGGAACAACAGGAGGAGCTCGCACGTTGTTGGTCATGTGGGATGGCAGAGCAGCCGCAGCAAAGGCGCCAGTGTACTGGGCTGGGTTGCCAGGTGTGCCGACCGCCGGCCCATTCTGCGTGGCGAAGCGGTCAAAGTGCACCTTGAGCGTTCGTCCGCTGTACTCGTATCCATGGTAGAGGCGCACTGCGTTCTGTGCATCCTCTTGCGATGAAAACAGGACGGTACCGAATCCACGACTTCGTCCATCGGGACCGATGGCGACATCTGCACGCTGGATACTGCCGGCGGCGCGGAAGAGATCCTTGAGATCTTGCCACTGGCAATGGAAAGGGAGGTTTCCGACGAAAAGTACTCTGCCAGCGTACGAGGTGGTTGGCATCTGCGAGCCAAAAGGTTGAGACTGCATGGATGCCATGGCCTGGCCTCCGAATGAGCCTGGACCTGCTGGCCACGGCGCCATGGCGGGGGCGCCTGGAAAACCTGTGGGGACAGAGGAACCACCGGCACTTTGCGCGTACATGCTAGCAGCTGCGTCGTTGACGGAGGAGCTCCACGGACCAGGAGAGGACGAGTTGCTGCCAACGGCGCTTCCGGCTTCCGAGCCTCGGCGCGAGCTCATCGGGTGCGAAGCGAGTGACTGAACGGCAGATACCGCGCGATGCTGCGGCTGGCCGCCATAGCTAGCATCAAAGTTGGTACCGGGCCGATGACGGTTGGGTGTTGCGTTGCCGGAAGAAGCGGACGGACCCTGGCCATGCAGCATTGCTCGTTCAAACTCCGAAGGCTGATATTCGCCTCCGGCGAAATTTGCGTCCGGGTGAGCCGAAAAGGAAGCGCGCGTCGGCATGCGGTGCGAGTGATCAGCTGGTCGATTCCCCGAGGAGGGGAGAGCAGGGGAAGCTGCGCCCGAGAATGAGGTTGGCGAAGAAGCGTTGCCACTATTGAAGCTGCCAGCTGGAATGCCGAGGAATTGCTGCGCGCCTGGACTCGGCTCCAAAGAGAATGCGCCGGGACTTGTCGCTGGCGGGGCGCTTGCGAAGAGGTTGGGCGACGAAGCGGGATTTGGAGTGATGGTGGGCATAACAGCGCTACCGGCAACGCCGAGCAGCGCCCCGCTACGATCGACACGAACGTCAAGCGTTCTGCCTTGCCACGTGAAGCCGCCGAGGAGGTCGGCAGCTTTGATGGCATCCTGCTCAGTGGCCATGAGCACGGTGCCGTAACCTCGACTACGGTTGTCGGCGCTCAGGGAGACATCAGCACGGAGCACTGTGCCGGCCTTGCGAAAGAGATCCTTGAGGTCTTGCCATCTTACCCGGTAGGGCAAGTTTGAGACGAGCAGCTGTGTGCGTGGATCCGAGGCGGAGAGAGGGCCGGTGCTGGGAGCTGGTGGTGTATTGATGCCCGACGGTGGATCAGACAGGCCAGCACCTGGAGCAGCTGTGTGCTGCGGCAGCGGGCTGCTGGAATCTACGGGTGGAAAGCTGCCAGAGAAGGAGCCGGAACGCGCGTTGACAGAAGAGGAGGTAGCGTCGGCGGAGAGCAGGAAAGCAGCCGAGGGGGAGGGACCGTCAGAAAACGACTGACGACTGAATGTCGGTCTGGTACCACTGTCAGCGCCGTCGGGAAGGACTAGCGAGGGAGCATCGTTGTGAGATGCAAACGACGATGACAGATGGCGCTGCTGCTGCTCAGTAGTTTTGGGTGTAGCAAGGGACGTTGAAGATGGTGCGTTGAGGAGAGAGGATTGGGAGGGAATAGAGGGATCTGTTGCGGTGGATGCAAAAGCAGATGGTGCTCGGTGAGCGGCGATCGCTGCGCCTGTGGAAGATGTTGCGCTGAAATCAGAGATGGCGTCACTGTTGCTCTGCGACAAGCGGTCGCTGCTGTAGTGCATGCGATCAGTGAAGCTGTGCAGCCCGGCGGATGAAGGTGCCGAGTCCGTACCTGCCGATTGGATTGGTGAGCTCTCGTCAGTGGCAACCTTGTTGAAGCCTGCAGCGGACGAATCTGAGGGTTTGGTGCTTTTGGGGCCGAAGGCGATGGCATGGGGCGAGAAGGGTGAGGTTACAGGCCTTGAACCGGCACCTGAAGCGCCATCGAATGGTCTGTTCGAGGAATTGGCCGACATTGTGAGGCTCAGTGACCAAAGGGAAGTGGAGCAGAGGGTAGATGTGGTGCTCCTTGGTCACTGCCTGATACAGGGAGGGAGACGGACAGAGAATCTGGGGCTTCAGCTGGGTGAGGGTCATGCGCCGTACTCGACGACACGGCGAAGCTTGCGATGATGCGAGATATGGAAGTCCAACGGGGAGCCTAGTGTTCAATGTCGTCGATGAGCCGAGCGCTTACTGAGCGCAATCGTGTAGCAGAGCAACCCAAGGTCGGCGGTGTACTGTAGCTCGGACACGAGTGGTGAGCTGCAGGTCTTTGAGGCAAGGCTGACGAGAACAGGGGGAAGCAGGTGAGTTGGTGTAGATAAAGGGAGACAGAGGGAGACCTCGCGAGATGACCGATTGAAGTTTTTGGTGCAGAGAGTGCGAGTCCGAACAAGCGCAGATGCCGAGTGACGTATGGTATACCGTTTGCGAAGAGAAGGACCAACCCGCGATGATGGAAGCAACCGTGACGATGATGAGCCCGAGGAGAAGAAGCAGAGGAGGGGGAGCGAGACCGATGCTGAAACGACAAGGGGGGGATGAATGGTGGGACGAAGTGAGAAGGCAGAAGGAGAAGGAGGACGACAGCGACCTTGTGTCGTTAGGCCAGCGACGCCAAAATTGACGTAGCGCGCTCTCGTCGTGTGGAGTGTGCGAATCCGATCCAATACTCCAGAGAGAGAGCACAGCCAGAAAGTCAGACCTCACACCTAAAATCGCTTTCCCGCCCTGATTGGACTGAGCAGCCAGGTTCAACTCAAGCCGCAAAATTGCCGAAAAGTTGCTCGCTCTCGGGCGCGGCGCTGCCTGGTGTGGAGTGGGGGAAAAAATCGCCGTTGCATTCGCAGTCTAGCTGGCTGCTCATCAAATTCGACATCTGCGCTGACGCACCCTTCAACCGTTGCTATGGTCGCCTCTTTGACGCTTCTTTGACGCTTTCTATTGTCGTGCTCTAGTATCAAGAGAGCTGAACGGCAAGCGAGGCCATGAGGTGCTTGATAGCGCTGCTTCAAAGTTTTCGCTGCCTTTCTTCCGGAGCGTTTGAATGTTTCCGAATCAGAAACGAGAGCCTATTCGAAAGCAGCTTTCCACACCGGCCCGTCAAGGCCAGCGTGGCTTGCAGCGTCACGTTGCGCAAGCTTTCCGCTCTCGGGATCCGAGATGAAGTATGTGGGCTGAACAGCAAACACACAAGAAGCCCTGAGCACCACTGCGTCTGAGCTAGAAGCAAGACCTAACAAATTCCATCCGACTTTGGACGGTGGCCCGGCATCAATCATGCTTACCTAATTTCAGAAAGGGCAGCTCACGAGACTTGGACTTTTCCTTCGTGCTTGCGGGCGATTTTTCCGCAAGGCAGCAAGGACTCGCTGCAATTCTTCTTCTCGACCTTACGAGCGAGCAACCTCACGCCGATCAGACCTATCATCCTGCTTGATCTCCGTCGCTAGGCTCCGTTCTGCGGCACAGTTCCTTTCCACCATCTCGACGTTCAACAATCATCCCAACTTTTGGTTCTTCGCCTCTATCGCACGATCGACAATACCATCGACAGACACGCAATCCTCGGTAGCAGTTTCGTAGCTCGCAGCTCATTCACCCACGCTTCTCATCCAGTATGGCGTCGTCCAGCACTTGCCGCAAGGCGGTCACGGGCCTGCTCCGGAACCTCTCCCGAGCCTCATCCTCTACGTCATCATCAACATCGCCAGCACCGTCTCTCGCAAATGTACGGTGCTTCTCGGCTTCGTCGTCGTCGTCGAAACAATCCGTGCAGCCCGCTCCGTCCTCGGCATCCTCGTCTCGTGCCCCTTCCACCTCGAAAGCATCGTCCAAGAAGGTGATCAAGACGATTCCGGCCTCCTCTCCCTTCCTCGATAAGCCTATGCCCATGGACTTCCCCTCGAGCACGCTTCGCGCTTTTCCGTCGCTGCTTCACTTTGCCGACCCTGTGCTGGATCCTCACCCGGACAACGTGATCCGCTCGACGCCCACCACCTCCACGCCATACCCTTCCAGCGTCACCTTCCTCAACGAGCCACGCATGTTCGAGCCTACGCCACCCTCTGCCGACTCGCTCGTGCTCTCCTCGGGCTCCGACGCCGACGAGGTCAACTCGGAGCAGTACCTCTCCACCGTGACGCCGCTGTCGGTCAAAGAGGTGCGTGACCTCCATCGACACGCCATCGTGCTCAAGCGTGTCGTCCACATGACCACCAAGGGCAAAGACGCCAGCATGTACGCACTCGTCATCGCTGGCAACGGCAACGGCCTCGTGGGCTACGGCGAGGGCAAGGACACCAACGCATCCAAAGCGGGTCGCAAGGCCTTCCACGAGGCGGTCAAGAACCTCGACAGCGTCGGCATCCACAAGGGCAGCGATGGGTCGCGCACCATCGAGACGCAGGTGGAAGCAAAGTGGGGCGCCAGCCGCGTCGTGATGCGCCCGCGACCCGCCGGCTTCGGCCTTCGCGTGCCACCCGTCATCCACGCCGTCTGCCGTTCCGTCGGCATCACCGACCTCAGCGCATCGATCTACGGCTCCACCAACCCGGTCAACGTCGTCAAAGCCGCGCTCCAGATCCTGTGGGGCGGGGCAGCACCGCTCGGCATGGGTGATGGTGTCGGTGGACAGATGCGTCGCAAGGACAAGGGCAGAGGCATGCGCGGTCGCATCGACATCGAACGCAGCCGTGGCCGTCGCATCGCCGAGGTCAACATGTCCAAGTGAATACGAACAGAGGCCTAGAAGCGCGCCACCAACTGTGCCTGTAGAGAGCGCAATTTCATGGCATTGTATCACTATCATCTATTAAAAACCACTCTATGCTGGCCACCACCAACGAAAATTTTGCGTCTGATCTCGATCGTTTCCGTTGTTGCTCGACGTGCAGTAGCTTATGAGACGCTTTGCACCTCGGTCTGGCTTCAACATGACCACAGCGCAATTTTTCTCTCTCGGCTGCCGTGTTGCAAAGGGCGGCTGCATCGACTTGACATGTCAGCTTGAGGTAAAAGACGCTCTTCGGAGCAACCGACAGTCCTCGGAACAGAGCCGACGTGCTCACAGCAAAAGCAGTCGGGCGCTCTAGCCATGCCGTCACTACCATGACACCGTCGTTTTTGCTCAGCAGTCGCGTCGCCTGGACCGTGACCGTCGCTGGCCTGTTTCGCTTGAAAGCATGGCCAAGGATACGTGCTGAGTTGCCTTTCGAGTCTGCTTGAGGTGAAGAATTGCGCACCTCATGACGACTTTCCAGCCACATCGGGCTGATTCATTCTCTGCACGGACGCCAACAAAACTCAGTTCAATGGGCACAGTCTCGGTGTGTTTCTCAGAGGTCACAAAGCTTCCCGATCGTGCAGAGCCAGGCAGCACAATACGATAAGCACGCTAGCCTCCTTCCGCAGTCCTTTCTGTACCAAGGATGTGCAACCAGCTATGAGCAGCTCTTATTCACGACTCAGCCAAATGGCCCTGACCACATTCGCACACTCGTCTTCTTCCAGACATCCCTGTCCATCTCTCTTTCTTCGTTGCTCTGTGAGAGACTTTAGTCGTCGTTTGCCTCTTTTCCCCTTCGTCTTTGCTGAGCTCTTCTCTAGGACGTTGAGCTCCGAGTTGCGGAAAGGCGCGGGCGCGAAGGCGTCTGCCTGCGTCGTTGCCAGCGCATAAATACTCTCTTGAATAGCACACGAATCTCGTCTTGATGCCTTAGCTCTTCTCTTCGACCATCCACACCTCTCGCAGATAGTGTCATCATCCGCAACGACTTTTGTCTAACCGTTATCAGCTCGGCTCGCGACAACAACGCATTCGAACTTCCATCAACCATGAAGAACTACAAGAGTGAGTGTAGCAACGTTGAACTTCGCCATCGTCGAATCGCGGGCGGATGTCATCCCTGAATTGCTACTGAGCTTCCGATCCGGTTCTATTCTGCGATAATCGCTTCTGCCCTAATCCAGACGGTGACCAAGGTCTGTATTCCCTACATTTCCAGAGATTCGCGAACCATAGTTCAATGTGTGTCCTCACCTTTCTTCTGCGCCGCTCGTCACTTCCAGTCAAGTTCAACATCGGCAACTCGGAGGAGGAAGGAGTCATCGAGTCTCTCGATCGTGAGTGCCTTTGCTCGCCTGACGTCGATTTTTGCTTCGTGCAGTGGGAGTCTTCTGACCGTGGTCCTCTCATACTATTGCTTCTGCAACAGATCGCGCCGACAACACCGGTGAGCGTCCCCTGTCCACCTGAGCTTCTTCTTGCCGTCATTTTCTGATTCTCGCTGACTCTGCGACGTTGCATTGACGGTGACTGACCAAAGTCATGGCTACCATCCGCTACATCACGAAGGTCAAGTGCGTCTTGAGGCATGGCCCGGTCCTGTACACCAACTTCGCCGCGACGCGTGCTGATGTTCTCTCCTTCCAACTGAATGGCAACCCATCTCACAGGGGCGAGGAACGAACGATCCACCGCAACGTGGTACGTGTTATTTCTTCTTCTCTTGGCGCACATTGTACCAGACGATCTCTGACACTTTGTTTTCTTCGGGCGACATTGACGCTGGGACGCACAGGACAACATCCAGCATGCCGTGAGTGTCTGATACCCTTGATCGACGTCCCTCTCTTTGCCACCTTTCCGCTAGCTGACGGCAGCATCTAGTTTACTGGTGTTCCTCGCGGTGCCTGGTTATATCCTTTTCTGTCGCGACTTGAACAGGGCTGACAGCCACGTGCGCAGGCAGGTGCGCGCGTGACGCTAACGGTGGTCGTCTCTGCAACGGCCACCTCTGACTCTCGTGTTTCGGTCTCTGTCGACGTCACCGCCAACGCGGCGGTGTCGCCTTGACGCTTTCCCGCATCCCCGTCTTCACTCTGTTGAAATTGATTCGCTTTCTATGATGCTATGCTTACGACGTGTGGCATTGACAAAGATGAGCATTGAAAGTACAGAGAGCTACGTTAGTCGTCATCCGAATCGTGGTCCCCGGCGACCTCGTGCAACTCGATGAGATACTCGTTCAGCTTTTGACGCGACACACCGTCAGTCAGGCCCAGCGTGCCTGCATTTGGCTGCACTAAGGCGAGCTTGTCCCCGCTCACCGCGCTGGACGGTTTGGATCCGGAGGAAGGAGGCTCGATACCCAGTGCGAGTTGAAGGATGGCTTGAAGTTCGGCGAAGCCTACGGCTTTGACCCCTTGTTTGCGGAAAGCATCCTGGAACCTCTTCATGCTTGCCAGCAGTTCGTTGGGGGTTTTGGCGTACAGCAGCTCGTAGAACCTCCTGCACCTATCCAACGTTACCTCTGTTGCGCCCAAGATATTCTTCAGATTCTGCTGGACCGCCAACACACCCCTCACCATCTTCCCAACGCCCTCCCTGTTGATCCCCTTGACCTTGTGCACCTGCGCCACGAAGCACGTGTCGACAAACGCCGAGAGCCCGGACCAGATCCACGTCCTGTTGGTCGCCGAAAGCGTCTCCGTCAAAATGTCGTCCAGGTTGGCCAGTTCCGAGTTGAGATCGACAATGTGCGGCGAAGGTTCTGTGGCGGTATCGTTGATGATGTACGACGATTCTGTGATGGAGAGCGATAGGTAGGTGATGATGCGCAGACGGAGTTCGAGTCGGAGCGTGAAGAGGATGGAGGAGGAGAGGGCGGTGTAGACGCCGGAGATTGTCGAGTAGCGGGCGACTAGATCAGGTGTGAGCGGGAGTGGCAATTCTTCCTCCTCGGTGTTGGACGTTATGGTGGAAAGTTCTTCGAATCGGTTCGTGAGCGATAGCGGATCGACGACGCTCAACCTCGCCCTAGCCCGCTTCTCCCTGACATCCTTTCCATGATCGTTACTGACCGCCTTCAACCTCCCCACGTTGGTCGCAAACCACTCCACACTGTGCTGCAGACACCCCAACGCCAGCAACTTTTTTCTGCTCGTCGTCAACTCGTACACACCGATCGGCTCCCCCCCCTTCGCATATCCCAATTCGAACTTCGCCTCCTGCGCCATCAACTCCCTCCTCCTCACCTCGCTCGTCCCCGCCTCCCTCATCTCCGCCAGACACGCCACCATCTCCATCCTCTGCGCCCAACTCGCCGACACCGCATACTTCTTCTCCCCCTCCCCTCCCCCTACCCCTTCCCCTTCACCCGTCATCAGATCCCTGAACCTCTCCCCGCACCTCTGGTAGAACTGAACGATCACCGTGACGATCAACCTCGAGTAACTCTCCCTGTGGAACGGCGTCGTTCTGAGCATCGAATACAGACTGTCGATCAGCACGATCACGTTCGATGCCGACTTGACCACGGGCCGATCGTCGAGGTGTCTCGACGCTGGATCGGCCGCAAAGCTATCCGAGTGCGAGGTGGCGCCGTTGAACAGCGTCTGCACCTTGTCTTCAAGCTGCGGGAGGAAGATGTCCTGGACAAATTCGTCGAGGAACGTCGAAAAGCCGCGCGAGGTTTCTCCTGCCGCTTCGCGTGGCATGACGGCTGCGACTCGCTCGACAAACGCCAGCGCAGGCTGGAAGAGCACCGAGACGTTGAACGCATCCGGTTTGACCAGAAGTCGATGCCCGGCGCCCGTGTAAGGTTCGACACCGCGTCCCGTGCGACCTGCACCGGCCGCAACACTCGAGCCCGACGTCAACGACATCGACCCCAGAGCAGCAGCAGACGAAACGATAATCTGATTCCCGGCCCTCGCACCTCCCATCCCGCCCGCATCGATCGAACTGACCAACCCCGGAACCGACGCCTTCAGCGCCTGCGTTACCGCCAGCTGATGCCTCTGCAACGGCCCAACCTCCCTCCTCCCCACCACCCTCTTCACCCCCGCATCCGCCAGCTTGAACAGCTGCTTGCTCCGGTCCCTCCCAAACCTATGGTCCCTCAACACATCGTTCACCGAAACCACGGCGTTCCTCTGCGAATTCGCCCCCTCATCATCCATCAGATAATCATGCAGCAGCGTCCTCACCTCCTGCTGGACCGGCTTCCACACCTGCAACAACGCCCCCACCCCCGATAATTTTTTCGATGCAACCTCATCCTTGAATCCTGCGCGACTTGCAATCATCCCCGCCACCTCGTACACCACCCTATGCCCCTGCAGCACCGCATCCAGCTTCGAAAACAACGTCCAGAACAGATCGCGCATCGTCTCGCCCTCCCTCTGCAACGCCGACGTCTCACCCGCCGAGATGCGCAGCATCGTCGACAACGGACGCTTGGAAAGGTTGAACGACGAGCGAGACGTCCGCATCGATTCGCTGAACGATCGCGCTAGCGCAGTTGACGAGGAGAGCAGCACCGACTCGGGACGGAGCGCAACCGAGAAGCGTCGCAGCGGCTCGTTGCGCGCATCCACCTCGTCGATGGTGGTATCGACGAGCTGATGGATTTCCATGGCAAGTCGTTGCGAGATGATGTCGAGAGCTGCACCGAGCTTGCCGAGCCGCGAAAGCGATTCGAGGAGCATCTCGATGTAGAGGAAAGAATCGGCTTCGGGATTCTGCTCGAAGTCGGCGCCGTACCTGCCTCCGGAGCGGACGCCGTCGAGACCCGTTGACATGCTCCCATCCAATCCACCGGTGGCATCGCCGCTGCCGTACCGCACTTCGCCGGTCAGCGCCGAGACAGACTTGGTCGAAGTCATGAGCGCCGAGTCCGGAATGTCAGAAGCCAAATTCGGGTCAAAGGCAGGCCTCGATCTGAGAAGCTGCAGGTACTGCGTCAGCTGCAGAGGCTCGCTCGAGCCTTTCAAACCGGTCACCGAATCGATGTTCGCATCAGAACCCGTTGCGCCGCCGAAATCTCGATAGTCAAGCCCAAACTTGACGACCGGCAGCTCGTCCTGCCCCACGCTGTACGTCTTCCATCTGGCATCGCAAAAGTAGCTCTTGAGATAGAGGTGGTTGTGCAGCTCCTCGATCAGGATCTCGAGCATGGCTCCTTCCTGACCCTTGAGGTAGGCGCGAAGGTCGTTGGTCGCGCCGACCTCGACCACTTCCGGCTTGTCGATCGTCTTGAGCGAGCGCACGAGCAGGTTGACCGACTCCAAAAACCGCTTCTCGGCCATCAGCCCCTCCAACTTGTCCGGAACAGACTTGAGGTGCTCGACCAGATCCAGCAGCCTGAGCGCTTCCTTGACCGCCTGGCTGCGCTGCCACATCTGCACGAGGTCGGCACGCTTGGCACCCAGAGCCTCCCTCGAGTCTCTGAGGCGTCGTCTGGCGCCGCTGACACTGGTCTGAGCTGCTGTGAGCGACTGCAGCACGCTGTTATGGGTCGTGATGGCGCCGGCAAAGGACTCGTAGTGGTCGTCTACTGTGCCCTGCAGCGCCGTTTCGATCATCTGCTTGACCTGGTCGAACTCGAACCGGCTGGCGCCAAGGCTGCTCTCGTCGAGCATGGAGAGAGCTAAAGCCACCGAGTTGAACTGATCGTTGGCGACAAACGGCCATTCGGCCTCGACCTTGCGCAGCACGGCATTGATGGACTGGAAGGCGCGAGGATCGGAGCGGTCAACGTAGCTGGCAAGGGACTTGCGCTGCTGTTGCGAGGTCTCCGAGATCTTTTTCTCGTTGCGACGTCGACGCGATTCTTCTTCGGCGGTCGTTCCGCGCATGATTCGAGCGGCTTGGCGCTTTCTTCCGGCCGACGTGAGTGCAGACAGGACCGAATCGAGAGCGGCAGGTTGACTATCCTCGGTGAGCGAACCCAAGGGCGCGCCCGACTGTCGACGCGGGTCACGCTGCGGACGCTGACCGGGTACAGAGAGGACGTTGGAGCCGGGATGATTGCTGTACAGCGCGGCACCATGGCCTTCGGATGGAGCGTCGACGGGCGAGAGACCGCCGTAGAGGTCGTCGTGATCTTCCGAGTCCGCTTGGCTGGAAGGAGTGCCTGTGCGGGTCACCTGTGCCATGAGCTGCGCGGTGCGAGTGTGACGATCGAACGGCGGCGAAGCGTGAGAGCCAAGAGAGCCACCGGCACTGCCTGTGCTCTGAGCAGATTGATTGCGCGAGTGACTCGTGCCTTGCGAGCGCGAAGCGGCGAGCAGATCTCTGCCCGGACCGTTCCTTGCAGGCGAGGCTGGGCCGGCAGCTGGACGCGAAGTGGAGCCGACAGGAGGGATCTGAAGCTGCGGTCTTTGTGGAGGTATACGGGCACGATCCTGTGCTGTGCTCGAGCTCGACATAGTGGCGAGGTTTCTGTGCACCTCGGGTGCCTGTGTGGGTCTGCGCATCGAGCGAGCCGGACGGAGCGGCGAGTGTGGCTGCGGCGGATCGGATGCATCCTGTCGTGATGGGTTACGACTGTGGGACGCTGAAGCTGGATTGTTTGTGGAGGCGGCATAGGCTGGATCTAGAGCGAAGCTGGCGGTGCTTTGGTGGCTGGGACTGGCAGGTCGGGCGTATATGCCTGCTTGCTGCTGCTGCTGCTGCTGCTGCTGGCGGCCCGCACTTGTATCGTTATAGTTGGAAGTATACGCTTGCGATGTGGAGAGCGAATGACCATGACCTGGCCTTCCCTCATAATTTGATATGGAGTCAGAGGGCGCGAGACTGACAAAGGAGGGGCCAGCACCGAAACCGGCTGGGTTCGAGGGTGCTGTCGGATTGTACGCTGCGGCTCCAGCTAGAGAGACCGAGCCAGGATGTTGGCCGAACGCTTCGCCAACGTGTGGTATCTGATGTCGGGCCGAGCTGAAGGAGGAAGCCGCGGTGCCAGATCCCAGGTTTGCGTTTTCGTGCTTGATCTTGGACCGAATGTCCTTGATCGTGTTGGAGCGACCCGACATGGTAGCGACGAGTTGCCTGCACCGAACTAGATGGATGTTACCAGCATCGAGGGTCGTTACGAAAGCGCGGTCGATGGCAGTGGTGATGGGGAAGCGACGAGTTCGGAAAGCGCCTCTTTTGTCCGCGAAGGTGATTGAGTAGGTGAAAGAGTGTGCAGCACACTTCGATGGCCCAAACGCAGCTCTAACCAGTCCAAGCTCGACACGCCGGCTAAGCGACAACATGCGGCCAGCACGAGTTGTCAAGAATCGGGCCCGATTGCACTGTCCTTTGCTGTCAATTTTTGGACCCTGAATTTGTGATTTCACTTTCTTCTCGGTTTTTTCTTTCTTCTAGGACAATATCAACACCAACACCACATTCTTCCCGAGCGACCTTCTCGCGATCTGCTCTGGCCAGGCACACAGATCATGCCTGCTGACCGGAGCGGCGATCCCAATTTTCCAATTGGCTTGCGTATCCAGCCTAGCAGCTCGCAAAGACATCCCGCTGCGCGTTCCCACGTTGCCTCGACAAGTCACGATGAAAGGCACGAGTCTCACAGTGACGCGCCGGCAGCGATCGACGAGGCACAGATCGCTTCGTGGGAAGAGGACACCGCCGAAGACATCGAGTCGTTCGGCATAGCAGGAAGGATCTGGGAAGCGGCGTATCTGCTTGCGCGCTATCTACGTCCCGACGGTCATCGCTCGGATCAGATCCAATTCGACCCTCCTTGCTCCTTGTTCGACACATCCAGCTCAAATCCTTTGACCATCGTCGAGCTCGGCTCAGGCGCCGGCTATGGATCCCTGCACCTCGCACGCCAGCTGCTCCAATTCGCTCAGGGCGTCGACGGACCGAAGCCTCCGCAGGCCAAGCTGGTTTTGACCGACCTCGAGAACGTTGTGCCCCTGATGCAACGCAACGTAGCTCGTGCCGGGTATCAGCAAGCCACAGATTTCTTGGATGTGCGCGTACGCAGCTTGGCCTGGGGAGACGAGTCCCATGCTACCGACCTTGTGGCATCGTTCGGCAGCGCAAAAGCGAGTCAAAATCCGATCTCACACATCCTCTGTTCAGACCTCGTCTACTTTCCAGAGCTGCTTCCCCCGCTACTCAGGTCTATCATCATGCTCAGCAGTTGCGGCTCTCAGGTGGACTGCAACAGCGCTTCTCCTGCGTTTGGACCCGAGCTCATCATCTCGTACAAGATTCGTTCATTGACCAAAGAACAGCCTTTCTGGTCTGCCCTCGACTCTTGGTTCGATTTCCGAGCAGTCGACTGTCGTTCAACACGCGGCCCGGATCATAAAATGCAGAGCGAAGAACAGATTGCACCGGACAACGAGGCGTCACATTGGCATCGTTTTGGGTCTCAGGGCGAGGATTATGGCGCTTCTGCTGACTCGGATCAAGAGCTGTTCGTCTTTGTCGGACATCGACGCAAGGACACCATCGGCTGTCTGGCACCGGAGAGCGACACGGATCTGATGCAGGGGAAACGATGCAGGCCTTGTCTGGGACCCGAGGGGGAGACAACCTTGGAGCTCGAGCCATCGGGTGGTCAAGACTACTTCGAATGGCTGTTGCTGGCCAACATGGGTGTAGGTCTAGGCTGAGCTTGACCGGCTTCATCCCTACGTCTTTTGGGATGCTTCACAGAAGCAAAGGAGGCAGGTGCTGCTCCCACCCAATTCGGCTTGGCGAGCAGCCAACGACGACGCTCTTCAAAAGATTTGTGTGGCAGGTCGAGCTGTTCCAATCGTCGAGCCGTTCGATCCAGCTCCGGTGAAGTGCGTCTCGTCATCACCCGAGTCGGAGAGCGCTGAACGGCTTTCGCTTCTTCCAGGTCCTGTCGAGGCGCAAGGCTTCCTGCCGGTGCAGGCGACCAAGCATACTCCGAGGGAACGACATGCTCGTCTCGATTGTTCCGAAGCCATCCGTCCTCCGCATCGTTGTAGACATGTTGATCGACGGGAGTGCGATACCGCGGTCGAGGTGTTTGTTGCTTGCGACGTTGCCGGCTTAGAAGAAAGCTGCCGCTTCCGGTCCAATTGACCGCCATACTATGCAGGCACGATCGGCGAAGTATGAATGCTGAATGCTGCGCTCAAAATGACAGATGGACGCTGCCGATGGGCTGGAAGCGTCTCCCACCCTTTTATCTGTTCGTAGCCCACAACATTAAGGGTCAGGCTAGTCGGTTGGTGAAGCCTCACAGAAGCCACACTTTAGTCAACTGCGCACGGCTATCTTCCACGCCGAAACGTGACAGCGCACGCAATAAGGTGTGCACAGTATAGCAATTGTGGCTGCGAAGAGTCCGGCCACCGTAGCCAAACGGCGCTCGTAGTCTAGTCGGTATTCCGGATCATGGCGATGCATAGCGAAAGCGAAACAAGACACAGCTGTTTTTGCTGTGATCCTCCTTCGATGAGGTCTAACACTCGCCAATGACAAAAAAAATCGACGACTTGAACCTGGCGTGTCCTCTGGCTCGACGTCACTTCGCAGCGATCGCGGATTGCTGTTTTGCTTGCTCGGGTTGTGGGCTTGCTTGAGCTTGAATTTCGCTGCGTGCTGGAGACACGCGGGCTGCCGCCTGCAAGCCTCTTGTGTTTGAGGTGGGTGGAGGCTTTGAAATTTAATTATTCATGGAAACTAGAAAAAGAGAAAAAGAAAGGGGGCTCACAGTGTGGCCGAGCGATGTTGAGGATGCAATTTCGGCTCAGATCAGTCAAGAGGCTGCCTGTCGGTCTCTGCCCCGCTCGGCTCGTTGACGGCGAATACGACGCACGATCCAACCAAGCTGAGTCGTATCTGAGGGTCGCTTTCGCTTCGAGGGTCCTCATCCTTTCTCCACCATTACGGTGTACGTTGTACAGGTGTCGCTTCATCACGGTCTCGTCCTTCTCCGACTCAGCAACCTCTTCCTTCGCAGGTCAATCTGGACGCCTTTCTTACATCACGGCACTCCATCAATCTGGTATTCTAGATCTAGCGTGGCACTCTACTCATGCACATCGTACCACGCATCGCCTGCTGAATGGCACACCACCTGCCGTCCTAGGTCCTACGTATCGCGTCAGTAGCATCGCCCTTTCATAATCCTACTGCGAGCAGCTTGACGCTTGACGTGTTCGAGCATCCGGCACCATGTTGGAAGGCGTCCTTGCCTCGCTTCTCAACAGGCTCCTCGCCGCCTACGTCGACGGCCTCAACACCAGCCAGCTCAATGTAGGCATCTGGTCCGGAGATGTTAAGCTCCGCAACCTCCGTCTCAAGACTTCTGCCCTTGACAAATTTCGACTGCCAATAGACGTCAAGGAAGGCTACCTCGGCGACCTGACACTCTCCATCCCATGGTCCAACCTCAAGGGCAAGCCCGTCCGCATCCTCGTTGAAAATGTCTACCTGCTCGCGGCGCCCAAGAACAGCAGCGTCGAAGTCGACGAACAGGAGGAAGCGCAGCGCGCACAAGCCGCAAAGCAGGAGAAGCTCGCAAATGCAGAGCTGCTTGGTGGCAGTAGCCAAGTAGGCGTGTCGAGCGAAGACGAGCAGAAGAACCAGTCCTTCACTAGCTCGCTCATCGCCAAGATCGTCGACAACTTGCAGTTTACCGTCCGCAACATCCACATCCGCTACGAGGACAGCCTCTCCAACCCAGAACATCCCTTCTCCGCCGGTATCACGCTCGCCGAATTCTCCGCCGTTTCCACCGACGCCAATTGGAACCCCACCTTCATCCAGAACAGCGGCGACGGCATCCACAAGCTCGCCCGCCTCGAGTCGCTCTCCGTCTACTGGGACACAGATTCCGAGTCGCTCGCCGGCCATGAGATCTCGGAAGCACAGAAAAAGTTCAACGCGCTCATTGCGCGCGAAGGAGCTACACCGAGCCACCAGTATATCCTCAAACCCGTTTCGGGCGCAGGTAGGCTCGTGATGCGAAAAAAGATGACCTCCGAAGTACCCAAGATGGACGCGCAGCTGCTCTTCGAGGAGCTCGGTTTCGCCCTCGATGACGAGCAGTACCGCGACGTCATCTCGGTCGCCGACCTCTTCCACTTTTACACACGCCAGGCACAGTATCGCAAATTCAGACCGGACGCCGAAGAGCTCGAAAAGAATCGACCGCGGGCGTTGCTCCGCTTCGCAGGCAAGGCCATCCTGAACGAAGTGCACGAGCGTCACCGCGTCTGGACCTGGGATTACTTCCGCGAACGTCGCGACGACCGCAAAGAGTACGTCGAGCTCTTCAAGCAGAAGGAGAAGAGCGTGCAAAAGACAAATCAGCAGCAGGCCGGCGTCGCCATCGCACAGAGCGACAGCGGTTCACGGCTCGAAGAGCTCGAGAGGAAGCTCGGCTACAAGGACATCCGCTTCTACCGTTCGATAGCGCGGCACGAGCTACGCAAGGAGAAGCTCGCAGCCAAGAAGGACGACCTCGCCAATGGCGGCAGCGGCACAGACGCTCACAGCCAGAACGCAGGCGGCGGAGGCGGAGGATGGCTCGGTTGGATCTGGGGCGGAGGCGGCAAAGGCCATGAGCAACACGGTCAAGAGGACGGCGTGCTCAACGAGGAGCAGCGCAAGGAGCTCTACGACGCCATCGAGTGGGACGAAGAGGCCAGCGCCGCAGCGCTCACACAGTCCGTCGACGCACCCAGAGATGCCATGCAGCTTCGCCTCATCACCAAGCTCAAGACCGGTTCGGTCGCGCTCAAGGACCACGCGCGCGGCACCGACATCCTCTCGCTCGTCTTTGACTCGCTCCAAGCCAACGTCATCCAACGGCACGACAATCTCGAGGCTGCCGTAGCTCTCGGAGGTCTACGCGTTTACGACGGCACCACGCCCAACTCGCTCTACCCGCAGGTGGTACGTGTCAAGGACGAGGAGATCGACAATCCCAGCCGGCAGAACTCGAATGACGGCGACATCAAGCGCATCGAGCAGGAGGTGGAGGAGGAGAGCGATCCAGACAATCCATTCTTCTATGCAAAGTACGAGCTGAAACCGCTCGACGATCGTGCCGACAATGCCCTGACGCTCAAGATGCGATCCATGGAGATCATCTATCATCGTGGGTTCGTCGAATCCATCGTGCGCTTCTTCAAGCCGCCCGAAAGCGAGCTGGAGCTCATCGGCGCGCTCATCGACGTCGCCAGCGAGACCATCGAGGGCATCCGCAAGGAGACTCGCGCCGGCCTCGAGAACGCGCTGCAGAATCACAAGACCATCGACATGGTTGTCGACGTCAAGGCGCCCATCATCATCGTGCCCGAGGACGTCACCACCAAGAAATGCCAGCACATGGTGCTCGATGCCGGTCGCATCGCCGTCCGCTCGGTGCTCGCCGACCAAAGTGCCCTCGACACGGTGCGCTCCAAGCAGAATCGCGCCTATACGGACGAGGACTACCGCCAGCTCGAGGACCTCATGTACGACCGCTTCTTCGTCAAGCTCGAGTCGGCGCAGCTGGTCATGGGCAACGATATCGACTCGTGCATCAGGGGTCTGCACTCGGATTCGACCGACCATGGCCTCCACTTGCTCGAACGCATCAACCTCGATTTCACTCTGCACAATTCGATCCTCTCGTCGGCGCCCAATCTCACCAAGTTCAAGATGACCGGTCACCTTCCCACATTGCGCGTAAACTTCTCCGACCGCAAGTACAAGACGATGATGCGCATCATTGATGTCGCCATCCCCAACTTTGACGATATGGGCGATGCAGATTCGCCTACCAAAGGCTTGGGCACCATCGAGGAGGAGCTCGAGCCCGTCGCCATCGGCAAAGCGCGACAGAGCGGCGATCAAGACGATGACGATGCGGATCAGGACGACGAAAAGGAAGCCACCAAGTCGCGGCGCGCTCGGGGTCGACCGTCCGAGACGCTCGACCTCAACAAGGCCCGCCGCCAGCGACTCGCAGGACAGCTGCGTGGCGAGGATGAGTACATTGTCGACGCTGGCTTCGACGACGACGATGGCAAGGACGAGTTCCAAGACGCTGAAGATGCCACCGTCGACAAGGTCAACGCGCATCAAAAGACGTTTGAGCTTGAATTCGTCGTCGACTCCCTCCAGGGATCCATCTTCAGGTCCGCCACCGACCCATCGCAGCCGGATCGTCTGCTGGTAGATGCGCGCTTCGAGGGGTTCCTGCTGCATCTGGCCGTCTATCCGTACCACATGGACGTCGACGTGGGACTTCGCAGTCTCGAGCTCGAGGACAAGATCGTCGACCAAGGCGCACAGTTCCGACACCTCATCACTTCCAAGCACGTCCGCGACAGCACCTCGCGCTCCGCCACAGGCGATTCGAGCGCTTCATCGGGGTCGGCGTCGCCCGCTGAACACCGCGACTTGGTGCGTGTGCGCTACACCCGCGTCAGTCCCGAGTCGCCCGAGTTCATGACAAAGTACGAGGGCATCGACCAGACGGTCAACGTGGAGCTCTCCACCATCAACATCATGCTCACGCGTGTCAGCGTCCTTGCCGTCTACGACTGGATCATGACCACCTTTGTGTCGGTGGATGAGCCCGCCGAGACGCAGCAGGAGCAGCAGCGCCGTCCGAGTCGTTCGTCGGATCGACGGCCTAGCGATGCGACATCGAAGAGACCATCGTTACGCCCCTCCGTCGACACGCAGGCCTTGGTAAAGAGCGACGATTCTGGTCGCAAAGAAAAATTGCGTGTCCGTGTCAAGCTCAACTCGATCGTCTTGCGACTCAACAACGACGGCAGTCTTCTGGCGACGCTCACGCTCTCGACGGCAGATGTCGCTGTCATGCTGCGCGGCAATACGATCCGCGTCGCAGCGCGTCTAGGTTCGCTGCTCCTTTACGACAACGCCAAGCGCAGCGTCGCCGATCCGCACTTCAAGAAGCTGCTCAGCATTCAGGGCGACGAGCTGGCCGACTTTACCTACGAGACGTTCGACGAAGCCGACGCCGCCTCGTACCCTGGCTACGACTCTGCAATCTGGTTGCGATCCGGCTCGCTCAAGTTCACTTTTGTCGAAGAGCCCATCCGCGACCTGTTGCAGTTCTTCAGCAAATTTGCGCAAATGAAAGCCGTCTACGATGCGGCCACGCTCGCCGCTTCCAACCAAGCATCGCAGCTGCAGGAGCGCGTCGACAAGATGCACTACGATGTCATCATCAAGACGCCGATCGTCGTGCTGCCTCGCTCGTCCGACTCGCCTGATGTCATGACTGCCAACTTGGGTGAGATCTACGCCAAGAACACCTTCGCTGTTCGCGACAACAAGGAGGCCATCACCAAGATCGAGGCAGGCCTGCGACACATCCGCCTCGCATCTCGTATACGCTACGGTACTCAGGAGTATCACGTCCAGATGATCGACGACGTCAACATCTCGCTCGACATGATCCAATCGGACCGCGCCAGTGCTGCCGCGGGTTCAGCCAACGATAGCCCCGAGACGCAGATGGTCGCCAAGATGTCCGACGTGCACATCAAGTTAACCGAGGCGCAGTACTGCTTCGTCATGGAGCTGACGCAGTCGATCCCTCGCGCCTTTACGGGTCTCGCCGAAGAAGCGAGCGCGTTGGACGATGCCAGCACAGCCGTGTCGGTGCCAGCAGCTCCATCGAAACCGGCGACGGGAACGAAATCGCGGTCCGTCTCCGGGCAACAGCCGTCGACTCCGCGCAAAGGCAGCAAAAGCGGGGATGCGACGCCTAAGGCGCCCACCCCATCCAAGAAGGGACCCGGCGTCGACATGCTTCCCGAGCTGGGCACCGTCGTTCACAACGAGAATGGTGACGTCCCCGTCTACACCAGCCTAGACATGTTCTTCGACGTCAACTCGATCCAGCTCGAGCTCTTCACCGCCGCTGCGACAAGTCAGGAGACGCTGTACAATGCGCAGCTCGCGCGCTTCTCGATCAACGGGTCCGAGGTCAAACTCAAAATGCTTTCCGACAGCTCGCTTGAGGCCGAGGTGGCGCTCAAGACGTTCACCGTAACAGACCAGAGGCCGGACAAGGACACCAAGTTCCGCGAGATCGTACCCGCCGTCAAACACGAAGGACACCAGTTCATGATGAGCTACAGCATGTCGGGCGGCGATGATGGCTCGGCTTTGGCGCTCATCACCATCGACAGTCCCAAGGTCATCTTCTCTCTCGACCCGGTATTTGCGCTGCTCAACTTCTTCATGAGCGCCTTCGCCGACACGCCTCCCGAGCACGAAAAGCCGGATGGCAATACGACGGTCGTAGACACCGGCGCGCCCGCTGGTCCCCAAAGAGATCCCACCACGGAGCAGGCAGCTCCTGCAGCCGGTACCTTGGCGTTCCGCGTCAATGTTGTCGATCCCACGATCATCTTGCTTGCCGCTCCCGAGCGCCACGACACCGAGGCCATCGTGCTGTCGATCAAGCAGGTGCTCATGTCGCAACAAGGCATCTTGGCGCTCAAGGTGGACCAGTTCGGAATGTTCATGTGCAGGATGCACCGTCCCAAAGACACTTTGCGCTTGCTCGACAACTTCGACCTGGCCCTCTCGATGGACAGCCGCGTCAACGAGACGAGCTCCCTCACCAGCATCGAGGTCGACGTCGAACCGCTGGTGCTGCGCGTGTCGGTTCGCGACATCATGATGATCCAGTCGGTCGTCAACAAGGCCATCGAACTTTCCTCGCAACAGTCCTCTGCTGCCACGAGCAAGAATGACGCCAAGAGCGTCGCCTCGTCGCAACGCAGGCAGAGCTCCATGGCGAGCAGCAGCAACACGATTGACTCGCTAACTCGCGCCAAGACGATGGCGAAGGACGACGACAGCAGCACGATCGATACCAAGACGCAGCAGCGTATCGAAGATGCCGAGCTCGTGGTGGCCAAAGAGTCGTTGCGGGCCGACTTTGCCGGTCTGCAGATTATCCTCATCGGCGATGCCCACTCGCTTCCCATGCTGGACCTCAATGTGTCCAAATTCGCCGTCGACGTCCGGGACTGGTCGGGCGACATGCACGGCAGCACCTTCCTCGACCTCTACATCAACTACTACAACCTGTCGAGGTCGCACTGGGAGCCACTCATCGATCCATGGGGCGTCCAGTTCCACGTGGAATCGAGCACGTCGCCTTCGCGCTTCAACGCGACCGTCTCGAGCAAGAAACGTCTCGAGCTCAACGTGACCACGACGCTCATCGAAACGGGACTGTCGGCCATGTCTCTGATCAACGAGGCCGACCTGCAGGATCTGCAGCAGCGCAACCGGGCTCCTTTCGTCATCCAGAACAGGACCGGGTACCGCATCTCTCTGTGGCCCGAGCACGACGATCGAGAACGCAAGAGCAAGACGTCCTCCCAGCACCTCGACGACGGCAAGGACATGCCGTGGAGGTTCGACGACTGGAAGTCGATGCGTGAACACATCCACGAGAGCGGCAGCAATCGCCTCTCGCTCCAGATCGACGGCATGCCGTGGGAACGCCTCCGTCACATCTCGGTCGATCGGGAGGGTGAGTACATGCTGACACTGCGACCCAAGCTCGACAAGGTGGCGCATCGTGTCCAGTACGAGGTCAAGCTGCACGACAATGTCAAGTACATCACCTTCCGTTCGTCGTTCAAAATCGAGAACAAAACGCTCATCCCCATCGAGATGGTCATCCTCGACCACGAGGGCAACGTCACTGATCAGGTCCGTCGCATCGGTCCTGGAGAGGATTGTCCCGTCCCCATCGAGGCAGCCTACCACTGCCGTGTCAAGATCCGCCCCGATCCAGGATTCGAGTACGATTGGTGCCAAGAGAGCCTCAACTGGCAGGACTTGCTCAAGAAGTCGACCCGCACATTGACATGCCGCGCTCACGACGATGGCGAGGCACCCTTCCGGTTCCAGAGCTTTGCCATCTATGACCGCCAAGATCCTAACAGTCGAACGTATCCGCGTCTGACGCTGCGATTGCGCGCGCCCGTCGAGGTGGAGAACCTGCTGCCGTACGACATCCAGTACCGCATCTTTGACAAGAACCTCAACCACAACTGGTCGAGCTACCTTCGCAAAGGTGGCATCAGCCCGATCCACGTCGTCGAGCTCTCGCACTTGCTGCTTCTGAGCGTTGACATTCAGTCGTCGTGCTTTTCGCCGAGCGAGTTTGCCATCATCGCCACCGACAATCCGGACGACTTCCCCGTGGAAAAGATGCTGACGCTCGCCGACGCCGAGAATCTGAAGCTCAACCTGCGCCTTCACTACTCGAAGCATCCAGATTCGGGTGGAGCGTTCAAGGTACAAATCTACTCGCCTTATATCTTCATCAATCAGAGCGGCCTGCCGTTTGCGCTCAAGACCAAGTCGTGGCTGGGCAGCGCCAAGCTCGTCGCCGGTCAGGACCAGGGAGGTGTGTCGGCCGAGGTGCGCAAGACGCCGGAACCTTTCCTGTTTTCGCACAACTCTAACGACCGCCGCAACCGCGTCCTGATGCGTGTCGGCGACTCGCAGTGGTCCAAGCCGCTCTCGTTCGAAGCGATAGGTTCCGAGACCGAGGTGGTGATTCCGTCTGCGTCCAAGAATGAGGAGATTCACGTCGGCCTCACCGTTGAGGATGGTCTGGGCAAGTTCAAGCTGTCCAAGGTGGTCAAGTTGACGCCACGCTACCTGGTGCGCAACAACCTCAACGAGCCGCTCAATCTGAGGGAAGCGGGCGCCGCCGATTTTGTCACGATCGAGGCGGGTCAGCGAGTGCCGCTGCGCTTCCTGCGCGTCGGCGCCACGAAGCAGATGACGCTCGCCTATCCTGGCATCAACAACAAGTGGAGTGCGCCTTTCAACATCGAAGACATCGGCAGCGTCCATCTGCGATTGGCCAAGGCGGGTCACCATCAGCACCTCGTCAAGGCCGAGGTGCTGTTAGAGGGTCCGACGATCTTCATCTCGCTGAGCCAGGAGAACGGGCCGTGGCCGTACATGCTGCGCAACGAAAGCGACTACACGGTGCAGTTCATGCAGGCGACCGAGCGCGTCGACGAGGGCGGAAGCGGCAAGCGCATTGACGAGGCGGTGGGCAAGCGATACGAGCTCAAGCCGCGGTCCAAGATGAAGTACGCCTGGGACTACCCAGCGGCGACGGACAAGATGATCAAGCTGGTCGTCAATGGTCGCGAGCGCAACGTCAACATCCTCGAGATCGGTAGCTTGCTCCCGTTCAAGTTCCCTGGTCCCGACGGTAGAGGCAGCCGCGTGATCTCGCTCGATGTGCGCGCTGACGGTCCGACGCAGACGCTGGTGTTGAGCAACTACTCGGAGGAGTTCAGCAACTTTAAGCTGAAACGTCAGAACTCGACCTTCTCGCGCAGCGACACGGTGTCGAGCGTCAACAGCAAGGATGCTGGATTTGTGGCCGTGGATGTCGACACGAACATCTTGACTGCCTTCAACCTCGAGTTTGAGGGCGTGGGAATCTCGCTCATCAACCAAAACATCCAGGAGCTGGCTTACGTCTCGTTCAGGGGACTGGAGATGCACTACACTGAATCCGAAGTGACGACGGCGGTCAACGTGATCTGCAAGTGGATCCAGATCGACAATCAGCTGTTTGGTGGGCTGTTCCCGATCGTGCTGTATCCGACGGTGCTGCCCAAGGACGGCAAGGATCTGGAAGTGCACCCGACGTTGCAGGCGTCGGTGATCATGCTCAAGGACGAATCACACGGTGTGACGCACATCAAGTACGCTTCGGTGCTGCTGCAAGAGATCACCGCCGAGCTGGACGAAGACTTTCTGTTTGCGCTGTACGAGTTCTCCAAGTTTGAAGGCGCCGCCTGGCAGCTCGAAGCGGAGAAGGAGACGGACTTTATCGAGCATCCTCACTCTGTTCCGGAGCCATCTGGAGCGCAGGGTCAGTCGGACGACATCTACTTTGAGATCCTGCATCTGCAGCCCATCTCGCTGAACCTGTCGTTCATGCGTACGGAGCGCGTCAACGGCGACGACAAAGTGAGCTCGCGCAACCCGCTCATCTTCCTGTTCAATGCGCTGACGATGGCGCTGGGCAACGTCAACGAGGCGCCGGTGCGACTGAATGCGCTGGTGATCGAAAACGTGCGTCTGAGCAACGCGGTGTTGCAGCAACGCATCATCTACCACTACACGCAAGGGTTCCTGCTGCAGCTGTACAGGGTTTTGGGATCGGCCGACTTTTTGGGCAATCCGGTGGGTCTGTTCAACAATGTGTCGTCTGGTGTAGCGGATATCTTTTACGAGCCGTACCAGGGGCTGGTCATGCATGGCAACAGGGAGCTCGGATTGGGAATTGCACGAGGTGCGAGTTCGTTTGTCAAGAAGACGGTGTTTGGGTTGACGGATTCGGTGTCCAAGGTGACGGGATCGATCGGAAAGGGGTTGGCGGCGGCGACGATGGATAAAGAGTTCCAGTCGCGTCGACGCATGACGAGGTTTAGGAACAAACCGCGCCATGCGTTGTACGGGATTACGGCGGGAGCGAATTCGTTCTTCACGTCGGTGGCGAGTGGATTTGAGGGGTTGGCGCTGAGGCCGTTGGAGGGTGCAGAGCAGGGAGGTGCGGGTGGTTTCCTCAAAGGAGTGGGTAAGGGGTTGGTGGGAGCGATTACGAAGCCGGCGGTGGGAGTGTTTGATCTAGCGTCGAACGTGACGGAGGGCATGAGGAACACGACGATGGTCTTTGATCAGAACGATATCGATCGTGTCCGATTGCCGCGCTACATTGCAGCGGATGGAATCGTTCGACCGTACTCGGACAGGGAAGCTCTGGGACAGACGTGGTTGAAGAACGTCGATAACGGAAGGCTCATGAAGGACAGCTATGTGGCACACGTGGATGTAGGCAGTCAGGAGGGGGATGCGGTGATCATGCTGACGGTGTCGAGGATACTGTACATCCGAACGATGCGGTTGAAGGTCGTGTGGGAGGTCCCGCTGTCGGATCTGAGTAGCATCAGTTTGGAGAGCGAGGGCATTGCGTTGGTGTTGCGGGGTGGGGTGAATGGGCCGTTTTTGGCGTTGGGGGATGTGGGCACGAGGAACTGGTTGTTCAAGCAGGTGAGCAAGGTTGTTCAGGGGTACAATGCGAGCAGGCAATAGGCAGTAGGAGCTGAATGGATTTAGTGTTTCGAAATCGAACGTGTGTGTGGATTGTTTGTGGAATGAGGGAGGAGGGTTCCTGCAGCGGGAGGAGGAGCGGCGACTTGATGTCAGGGGAGGGCGACGGACGGCGATCTGCGACGGGCGCTGATGCAAGGGTCTGGGCGAAAACCTTGAGCTTTTCAGTCGTCCAAAGTAGAGCGGTTGATGTCGCTGGCTCGCGCTGAGGGTGCACGCGGTTTGAGATGCTGACAGCGCGGCGTTGAAGCGGGCGGCGCTGGGCCATGTGCGTCTCAACGCCCTCACAGCTTGTTCTGGCCAGCGGGAAGTGGACACGTTGTGCGCTTGCCATGCGGTTCGTCCTGTGTGGGCAAGACCACGTCGTGGGGCGGGCGTAGGGTGGCTGCCAGCGTGCGAAACGTCGAAATCGCCGCGTGGGGGTTTTCTGTTCCCCCAATAAGGCTCGGCGAAGGTGGGAATTTCAACGAGAGCGTGTCGAGACTCAAGAGGCCACAAATTCTAGGGTGCTGGTTCTCGGCTGAAGCGAGCTGCTAAAAGCAAAAAAAGGGGGGGGAGGATCGACAGATGGTCTGGAGGGGCATCGTCGAGGACCGAACAAATGTGTGTGTGTGTGTCTGTTGCGCGAGCGGGAGCGGCAACAGCCAGCTCTGCTCGAAGAACTATACAATCCTCCCGCATTCTGTGTGTAGCTGGAAGAGCCCCAGCCAACTCTGCTAAAGAAGAATGTTCATCAATGTGTAGGGTGTGCAGTGAGCAAACGGGGTGAGGGATCGAAGCTAACAAGAACGGCAGTACAGTACAGGCGGTGGTGCATTTCATCTTTGGCAAGTGCAGCCAACCGATTGATTGGACCGCCGAGTCGGTTCACACCGACGCCATTTTCGCATGACGTTGGTGAAGCACGCACCTCCAAAGCTCATCTCACCTCACCTTGTATCTCGAGCATGTCGTCATTGCCAAAACGAGCAGTGGTGCTAGAAGTTTGGTACGAGCATTTTCTGGTGTATCAGGACAGAATGATATGGGTCATGCTGAGGATTGGGAGTTACATGCGCTGAATCGCAAAAGGCAGGTAGGTGTAGGAAGGTCGCTGTTTTCTATTCAGTCTCAGAAAGACAGGAGTCGAGGAGGCAAAGTGTGTGAAATGTCTCAGCTGTCGCTCAACCCCTTAGACTCGGGGGGTGTTAACTTTTTGGTCGGTGGCAGGGCGTGGCTGGCTGACTCGCTCGCTCGCTGTACGGTAGATCTTGAACCTTTGTGACTTGGATTCGCCCTTCCCTTCCCGTCCTTTACGGAGCGGAGACTTTCTCAACTCGGACGCGACTCACGCGGCGAAAAGCAGCATTCGGCCAGTGTTGGGTCGCGAACGGGAAAAAAAAGTGTTGGTTGCAGGACCATGCATGCACGCGTGCAGATTTTCTCGCTGTCCGAATCCACACTTTGCTGGAATTTCATCTCTCTGCAGCAGGAAAGTCGTCCAGTGCCCGGCGGTATACCGAGTCGATTGACATGTCACATTTTTAATTTTTTGCTCGCTTCTACCATGCAGTGTCGAGCATACGCTGATCCCTTGCGTGTGGATCTTGGCCGTTCCCGAGCCGTGTTAGCTGGCTGGCAGACTCACAGGCTGGCCATGAGGCTACAGTAATTGACCCATGCCCGAGCCTCTACACCCCCGTCTTTTGGCTCAACAATGAGGGCAGGCGATCTGGATTGACATGACCGACCGCACGATCCAATCCAGCTTTCGTTGCACGAGTGTGTGCTGGGAAGATGACGTTGACGATGGATGACCTGCCCTTCTCGGTGGTCTGGTTGACAGCTGGATGATTGATTGACGAGTTGGCACCCATGCAAATCGCCCATGCAACCGCGCTGTCGCTCGTGGGAGGCAGTGTCGCCGATTGGACACTTGACAGCTCACCAAAAAGATAATAATAATAAAAAATGAGGAAATCGGCATTGTAGAAGGTGTTCGCACCTGTCACTTTGCTCGTCCAACTTGACTCTCCGCTTGCCTCCTTGTCCTACTCCTCCTCCTCCTCATCTGTCTCGCTCTCGATTGACCCATCTGCTCACTTTCCTATTCCCTTATATCTACCCCGCGCCTGCCAACTGTATCCCTAACCACCACTCCACCTCGCATCTCCTTCCTTGCTCCGCATCCTCCTTGTCGTCTGGATACGAATACCGAGGTGGTTCCTTTGCTTGCTCTCTCCCCTCTTGCTCTCACTCTCCTTATCTCCCTCTTGCTTTCTCACTCCTATCCTACTCACACGCTCCCAGAACTCTGCTCAACCACTTTTCAACATCGTCGTTCTCGCCATACACTCTCCTTCTTGCTGCTCAGCTCAATCATACCCACTCGTACGCACCCATTCGGCGCCCATTGACTACCACACGCATCCTCAGCATCAGATTCTGCACCGCAGCGGTAGTCACATTCGAGCCTCGCCCTCGCCACTTGCCCCACCATGATCTACGAAGTACAAGCTGCTGTACAGCACATCGTATCCCTCGTCCAGCAAGTCGACCGTCAACAGCCTGTTGCTCCCGAAGCACTCGCCGCCTTTGAGTCCACCCTCAAAGATGCGCTAGAGTCTCGTTGCCAAAAGTGCTGGAAACCTGCACAACCTGAAGCCGGCTCAGCTCACCGTTCAGTAGCATGGCAGCTCCACTCAGGCGGTGAAGGCGCCGACCTGGCTATCCTTCGTGCCTTTGCCTCGGTCATCCAGGCAAGCGCCGAGGAGGGTGAGATTGTGCGTCCATATCAATCCAGTGTCGTAGCGCTCGCTTTACAGTGGCTTCCAGTCGCCTTCACCCTCTGGATCGACCCCGGCTGCGTCGCCATCCGCATCGGCACCGGTCCAGGTGCGAACCGCTCTTCCTACGACTTTGACCACCTCAAGTCTGGCTCGTCTACTTCTTCCATCAATGTCATCTGGGGCCACATGGTCGCTCAACCAGCCGAACGCAACGCTCCTCAGCTCACCGTCAGCAGCGCTGTTGCTCCTTCTGCCCGTCCGATCGCCATCGTCAAACCCAACCCCACCACTGCATACCCACGCTACCCCGCCACACTCTCGAGCAACGCTCCCGTCACTCACCGTCACTCGCGCACCAGCTCCAACGCTTCCTCCACCTCCAGCTCATACCAAGGCCTCGTTCGAAGCACTAGTCTATCAAGCACTCACACTATTTCCACCGATGCTACCAGCCTCAGTGGCCTCGAGGCGGATGAAGCCGACGCAGATTCCGAGGCGTGTCCCAGCCTCTTCGGCTCACCTTCTTCCTCGCTTGCTTCGAGTCAGTGCACTCCCAGCTCTGAACTCGACCGCGAGTCGATTCACGACACCACCATCGGTGGTGGTGACACCACGCAGCGCTTCACTGGTTGCCGTCTCTTCGACGACGACGCGCACGACGAAGACGCTGGCGATGCTACCATCGACGCTAACCCCGCCATGCTCGGTCTCAACGTCTCCAAGGACGCCGCAGCCGTCGCTGCCAAACTCGGTGCTGGTTTCACCCCTGCCAAGCTCCTCGTCTCGTCCACCCCCGTCAAGTGCAACTACACTACCCACGACAACGGCAACGTCGGTGTCTTGGGCGGCGGAGTCCGTCTTGGTGGTGCCGCCTCGGCCAAAGGAAACACCAACTCTCAGCCACCACGCTACCGTCAGCATTCCAACTCTAAAAGCATCAGCCACATTCAACACGGTTTCCACAATCAGATTCCGCCGTCCCACATGGCCCCACCCCACCACATGCCTAGACAGGTGCACCATTTCAACGCTGCCAACTACAGCGCTCCCATGCCCACCGTTCCGCTGCCGGGCGTTCCCCACCAGCAACACAACTTTCTGCCCCGCCAGCAGCCCGCAGCGTACCTGCAGCAGCAGGCGCCTTACCAGCGTTATCCGTCTCAGGGAGGGGCCGTGTCCTTCCCGCATGCTTCGCAACTTCCCACTCCCTATGCGTTTTGCAACGTTCCACCTCAACACGCGACTTACCAGACGTACACGCCGCAGACGCTTCACGTGGATGGTGAGTCCGACGAGATGGTCGAACACTCGGTGGGTCGAAGACGACTTCGATCTCGAGGTCGACGTTCGCGTGGCCGCGGTGCCGGTCGAGCAGCACGTCGTCAAGCGGCTGCGCTTCGAGCTTTGGAGTTGGGAAGCACGGACGAGCTTCCCGAGTCCGACGATGAAGACGACGACGAGATGATCTCGCGATGCTCTACGCCCGCAGGGTCAGAGTACACGACCAGCGCATCGTCCGTCTACTCGAGCGTTGCTAGTTCTCCGGAAAAACCAACAAAGAGCGTGCAGCACAGGTCTTCGAGGAACGGATTGAGAGGGTTTGGACAGCAGCTGCATGACCAGCTGAGTTGTCTGCAAGCTTGCTAGAGTATCTTTTTTTTCGTCTTCGACAATACACACACACACACACATACTTTTGGCCAACACAGGTAGTGTCTTTCGAGTTCCGTAGCATCGTCGTTTCAAATGCATTCCAACACACACCCACACACATACACAAGGTCTTGTAACAGAGCATCACTTCATGTAGCATCTCATTCAATCAGCATTGTCGAATTTTCAGCAAAAGAACAAAGTGTAGACATCCAGAGCGATGAGAGCGATGGCGGTGATCAAGGTGTGAGTGGGTGTAAGTCTTGGATTGAGCTGTGTGTGACATTTCCGATGGCTGCGGTGGTTTCGAGGTGTTCGGGACGCCAGCATCGGTTTTCTTCCGCCTTTCGTCCCTTGTTGTGCAGGTGGTCTCGTCACACCGCAGCAATCACCTTCCCGATCACGCTTCTCACCTACACACACGCACCACATCACGCATCGCAAGGGGGGGAGAAAGTCTACATCACCGAGAATACCACTAAATAGCAATAACATCCACCCTCGCCCTGTCCCACAACCTAGCATTGATGCTCTCCATCTCGTCCCTCCCTTCCAGCTCGTCCCTCGGCAAGGCTGCGACCTGAATGCAGACCACACTGCCCGTCTCGGCCACGCTGCCCGGCTGGACAACGGTAGCGCTGTTGACCACTCTGATGAACGGCTTGGTTTTCCGGCTAGGCAACACCAGCAGATCGGGCGTCACGGCGGGGAACTGGAGCAGGTGCGAGTGAGAGGTATCGTAGCTCAAACCGGAAGTTGTCGGTGGGGGAAAGACGGGGTAGAAGGTGCGCTGGGAGAGGATGGATCGACTCCAGCGGGTGTTGGTCTCCTTGTTCTTGCTCGCTACGCTCTCGCCCACCGTGCCGGTTTGTGCGGCAGCGGCTTCGATTCGAGTAACCATCTCTTCGCTCTTGACGTCTCCGAGACTGTCGACCGTCGTAACGCCGACGACGAGCTCGTTGATGTAGAACACGCTCGGGTTGGGCAAACACCTAACCCCCTTCCGCTTCAACCCCATCCCCTCGACTTCTTCCTTGCCAAACCCGGGCTGCGGATAACTCGCATGCACGTTCAACACATCCTCCGTACTGCTCACCACCACCACCCCCATCCCTGGGTACTTCTCCCCGAGCCTCTCCAACCTCGTCCCAAAGTGTCTCTTGAACATCTCCGCCGGCATCTCGTCGCTGAACGCCAACTTCGCATGCTTCACCGAGATGAAGGGTCCCATCAGGATCAGCGTATCCGGAACACCCCTCCTCGTTGCATCCAACTCTGAAAACGGCAATCCGCCCGATTCCAGCGAATCCATAAACCTGTGCCACGGCTTGAACTCCAAATCCCCTTCGTCCGTGAACGGCCCGCACGCAGCAACGATGTTCATCGGCCTGCCGTCCAGCTTGTGCTTGGCGTAGCTGTGGTCCATCGCCTCCTCCACGGTGTGCACCGCCAGGGGCAGCGGGGGCGGGAAGCAGATCTCGTCGATGCTGAACTTGTCCGCTCCCGCGTTGATGCCTTTGCAGAGCACGATCTGGCCGGGGAAGAGGCTCAACGTGGTGGCCGCACCACCGGTGCCCGGATCCTGCGGTGTGTGTCGTACGATGCAGCCTTTGTTGAAGTGGATGGGTGTGCGGTTGCCCGAGCCCATCATGCGCGATGATTCGAGTACGAGACCTGTCTCGGACAACTTGGGTAGACCGAACGCGACCGCGTCGTCGGTGTTGTCCGTAGTTTTAGATCGGGAAGCAAACTTGGCACGCAGCGTCTGACCCGCCGAGCTCTCAGGTGCAGGTAGAGCAGGGCAAACCCGACCGACAACCCAGATCGGTTCTTGGGAGGGCAAGCTCGGATCGCCCAACTCTTCCGACTCGTCGATCGAGTAGGCGCTGCGAAGGATACCCGCATAGTCGTCGATCCGATCGTCGAGCACCTGGGAGCGCTCGCCTTTCTTCTCGAACATGTAGCGGTAGTTCCAGGCTTTCGGGTCGGTGGCCATGGCGAGGGAGACGCGGGATGTCTTTTTGCCGCTGGAGGCGGCGAGTTGGCTGCCGGATCCGGTGAGCGGGATGTGTTCGTTGAGCGATTCGAGGATCGAAAATTGGGCGTGTTTGGAGGTGGAAGCTGAAGTGTTGTTGTTGGCAGGTCGAAGAGGGGAATCGATGTCGGACATGTGTACGTCAGCGTCTCGAACACCGGCTGATGTCGGCTTGTACGCCGAAGCGCTGGCCGGAGTAGCACCGGGGCCTCCAAAGGGAGAGTTGATGCTGGCGCTGGCCGACCTCACGGGAGTCTGAAACACACTGCCAACGTTCGAAGCAGGAGCGGTCTTGTTGGGAGTCGACTTGATCCCCAGCATGGCAGTGAAGTCGCCTGCGATCCTACCCCTGTTGAGCGCGCTCGACGGCTTGAGCGGTGTCTGTGCATGTTCACCACCGCCACCCGCAACGCTCGCCGCCGCATTGGCGTTGACGGCAGCAGCGATGATCTTCCGCAGCTCTCTCGCATGATCGATGGTCAGAGGTTCCGACTTGGGCAGATGGTTGTTGATGGCGAAGGCCTCCCATTTGTAGAAGAGGTCTTCGGGGGTGACACCGTAGTGCTTGCAGATCGAGGTGGCTTCGGTGAGCAGCGCAGGGTCGCACGCGATGTAGGCACCAAAGTGCTCGGAGAGGCGGACGGTGAGCTCGGAGGCTACCATGGTCGGCAGGATTGAGGTAGATGGAGGTGTAGGTTGTGGAGAAGAACGTAGCAGCTGCTCAGCTGGGTCTCAGAGCCGACAAAAGCACAAACGCGCCTGGAATTGGAGAGTGTTGATCTTTGGCTGAGGGCGGCACACCAACACGAGCGGACAAATTTCGCAGAACCGCGTCGCGTTGATTGCCAATCCTTCCGCAAGCCCGCTTCGGGTCTCGGGTTTGGGGTTGGCTCCACTTCACTATGCTGATCAAGGGTCCAACTTTGCAACGGGGAACGCTTTGATCCTCCTTCACCACCACATCAGACATGCATTCCCTTCCGACAGCATAGCATACCTCTTGCCGCCCTTCTCGCACAATGTCGTCGTTCGATAAGGGCAAGGCCAGAGCTGCCTCCCCGCACATCAACACCACCGATCACCCTGCGGTCCAAACCGTCCAGCCTCACCCCATCCCATCCACCACCCTCCTCAACATCGAATACCCCGGCATCCTCTCCCCTGACGCAGGTCCATCCAATCCTTCCTCCTACCGCAGCCTCGAACGCGCGCTTTCCACACTGCATCCGTCCACCCTACCTCCGTTCACGAGCACCCCACACGAAGCGCTCACCTTCCTCTCGCGCATCCCCAACGAGGGGCTCAAGACCGTCGAGTGCCGCTTGGGCGGATTTGGCTCCACGGCTACGTCGGTGTACGACGACGGTATCGACGAGATGTTCAGGACGCCGCTGATGGGGGAAGTTGTCCCGACGCACAATGTTGTCGTTCGTGTGGTGAAGCGGGTTTGGCGGCAGAAGAGGCGGAGACGGTCGGAATCACCGGCTCGGCAAGATGGTGGGGTGGCGCAGGATAGGGAGGATATGGCGCTTGATCCTGCGCTTTTCGGTGATGGCGATGCAGCAGCTCTCGATGGGCAGGCTCAGCGGGTTGATGCCCAGGATCAGCCAAACGGCAAACGCAGTCGGTACACCGGTCGAGTGAAAAAGGAGTACTGCGTCGAAGTGCTAGGCATGGCCACAAAGACAGTCCGGTTCCGCGCCATGGCAGACTTTGCCTTCCAACCAACCCTCACTGCAACCTCGCCATCGAACCTCGATGCATCGTCGCAACTCGATCCAGTCACGTCGCTCCACAAAGCCCTCGCGACGATGGACTTTGCCGCGCTTCAAAACTTCCGCGTCCCCGAACAGCTCGAGGACTACCACTCTAGCACCACTCCACCTCGATCCAACCTGCACATGCTACCGCCCTTCTTCTTCAGCCGCGCCGAGATCCCGCACAACTACCACTTCTCCCAAACACCCTACAGCGAGCTCCGTACCGTCGCTACACCTCCGCACCTCGCCAAACTCTCTACGAAGAGCTTCGCGCACATCCTCGCGCATCCGTCGGCGGATGGCTCGATGCAGCGCTTCGTCAACCGCGTTCGTCTGCCCAACATCACCCCGCAGCAGTACCGCGTCGGCAGCAACAGCCTCATCCCGACCGGTCCGCTGACGGATGTGCTGAGAATTGAACATCGGTGCGATCGAACGATCCTTGCTAAGCTGGAGGGATTGTTGGAGGAAAGACCGATTTGGTCGCGGGTAGCACTGAAGAATCAGTTTGTGGGGAAGGAGAGGGTGGAGTTGGATGGGAATAGTGAGAAAGTGTACTATGCGCTGTGTGGGTATGCGATGGTGGGGGGGCCGTGGAGGGATACGATTGTGAGGTGGGGGTATGACGTGAGGGAAGATGTGGGGTGTAGGGTGTTTCAGCGGGTGTTTTTGAGAGGGGGAGCGAGGGGGGAGGGGGGTAGGGAGACGAGGTTGGGGAAGGAGAGCAGGGCGGTGGAGGAGGACGAGCAGGAAGCAGCTGTCGTTCCGAACGGTGATGCGAGATCGAGCCCTCTCGAAACGAAGAAGTCGACGCATCTGTTCGACGGCACAACCCTTCACCGTCACGTAGGCAACTTCCAGCTGTGCGACATCCACGATCCACTCATCCAACCGTACATCCACCAAACCGACGATGCACAGATCCAATGGTTGCGCCGGGAAATGGATCCCGAAACGGGCTGGTACACGCGAAGGGCGCTGGATCTCATCCGTGCGTTGGTAGCAGCGCGGTTCAAGGCGTTGGCGGATACGCGGAGGCCACTGGAGAAGAGTGCGCTGGACGAGATCGTGCAGAGGATGAGGGGCAAGTGGCGCGAGGAGGATGAGGTGGCGAGGGAGGTGGAGACTTGCACACAGCAAGACGCGCAGCAAGGTCGGATGGACGTCGATCCGGATCTCGTCTAGGCTCAAATCGCGGGTCGAGCAAGAAGCAAGGTTGGTTGCAAAATCAGTTTGTACACCACAGTCGTGCTGCAGAGAGATAGCGTGTTTTGTGCTTGTTTCAGATATGAGGTTTCGCTGTGATGATGCAAACAAGTGCGGACGGGACACGCGTGGATTCGAGGACAAGAACTGCAAGGGGGATATCAACCCAAAGGGCGTCGTTCGAGTGGCGAGGGATGAGTATGTGTGTGTGTGTGTTGCAGTTCGACCTGGCCACGTCGTCTCGGATGTGGAATGACCCACGCCTGACCGTGATCGCAGTAACAACAGCGAAGCTAGGCTGAGACGACGTGCTGCGGTGTCGATACTGAGACTACCCTCCCCTGGTGCATACGAACTGTGCGATGTGGATTACAGGCTTGTAGCCGAACTCCTCATTCATCCAAACATGCCGCATCTGAACTTGTTCCTTCGGAAACCTCTTACTCCTTCTTGGCATCCTCCTCCTTCTTGTCCTCTGCGGCGGCAGCAGCGGGCTTGTCGTCCTCCTTCTTCTCGTCGACCACCGGTGCTGGTGCCTCTGACTTGCTTCCACCTGCGTTCTTCTTCTGTGCCTGCTCAAAGGCCTCCTTGAAGCCATTTGCGTTCTCCGAGTTGGCGAAACGGATGGCCAGGGTCTCAGCGGTGGCCTCTCCGTCGGCGACATCGGCGGCGACGTTGTACACCCACGAGCGGTCGGATCCGACGTTGGGGCTGAGCTTCATGTCGCTGGTGACGTAGTGGTTGGCGCACACCTTGAGCGTCTTGTCTCGACGCATGACGAGTCGTACCTTGTGCGTCTGCTTGTGTTCGAGCAGTCGCACGTCGCCGGTTCCGCGCTCCTTCCACTCCTTGGCGTCCTTGTCGAATCGGAAGAGTTTGGCTCGCATCTTGAACGTCACCTCTTCATCTTCTTCGTGCGTCTTGACTTCGACTTGGTTTTCGAGCTTGATGACGGGCTCAAAGTGAGGGTCGTTCTCGGCCTCTTCGGTTGCAGCGGCGGAGCCAGCCTGCTCGGTCTGTAGGAGAAGGAGTTGGAGGACGGCAGAGTCATTCTAGTCGGGTCAGCGAGATGCCTACTTGCACAGATGCGAGCCCTCAACGTCGAAAGCTGACGAGCAGCGTAAGAACTTACAGCGTCAACAGTGGGCTTGGTTGCTTCGGTATCGGCCATCTTGTATGATGTATATCGGTGTGTATGTAGGAAAGAGATGGTAGTGGAGGGAGAAATAGCGGCAACATAGCACACAACGACCAAACCAACACCGCGGGTGTGTGTGTAGAACACCTTCACAAGGCTTCGGAAAAATTCCAAACCACACAACCAACCAACAATCACGAGCCTTGTTGGCTTGTCCACTGCACCGAACCCGCACCGCACGCCTCTCTGAATACTCAACCACCAACCAGCCTTCAGACGCGCAATGCTTCTGTGCAGCCAGCCTCCTTGCCTGCTGAACCGCCTGAGTTCGAACAAGACAGGTGTTTTGTATTGCACGCAATTCAAACGTTTTGAAGTGATCGAATTCAGAAAGCGGCCGCCATTCAAAATTCGGACCAAAAGTGTTGGTTACGCCTTCGTTTTTTGAGTGACAAGAGCAAGTTCGAAGATGTAACATCACCTATTTCGGAAAATTAACCGATGAGCTAGAAGCATGTCAGAGATCGCAGGTCTGCGCAAGCCGCTCAAGCGCCGGACCGAAAGGGTGTGTCCTGCCAATGCTCTCGACCGTGCCTTTTCAGCAATGAGAAGTCAAAGCAGAGATAACACGACAGTGTCTCATGACAAAGATGAAGCGTCACGAGCGACAGAGCAGAGATGTGCGGCGACGCAGAAGCGCAGCATTGTGTTCGGCTCCACCACAAGGCTTTGTGATCGCCCTTGCCGAACTTTGCGGTTTCACCAGGCTCATAGTTCTGCGCCAGATACTCGTCTTCTTGGCTGTCATATGAGACGTAATTGGCGCTTTACTGTATTGAGGCTGAATTGAAGCCGCGTGCTGCAGAGAGGAGCGCAGTGTGACCTCCGTCAAGACGCGGCGTCTGCATGGCGACAAGCGCGTCGATCAAATGAAGTACTGATAATCTCCTGCGATTCCATTTAGAGTGGTAGCAAGGCTATGTGGCTCGCTTTCAGGTTCTGTGTTGCTGCGCAGCATCTTGCCCTAGCTTCTGAACTGCAGAAACCCACCGGTCCGATCCGCTGGAGGCAGGCTGGTCTATGTCTGGGGAACTGACATACTGAGCTTCTGCATGTTCAGTTGAACGCGATGCTTCACATGGCGTCTGAGCGAAGGTGAAGCGCAGCGACACTTCTCGGTCCGGAAAGCGCAGAGCTTTCGCTGAATAGGATAGTCACCCGGCGTCATGCATAGAAATGCTTGACCAGCCACACGTTCGAAAGATATAAGGAGGATGGGAGGCTCCTTTGCTTCCGAGCATCTCTTTTGCATCTGCCTCTCTCCAGCCAGTCTCGGCGTTTCATTCTTCAATACACCCCACTCCCATCAAACACCGTCACCATGACCGAGACGCCCTACGTCCTCTGGAAAGCCTCCTTCACCATGTCGCTGGACGGCGCCAGCAACCCGCTCTACCCAATCTGTCGCATGCCCAACCTCATCGGCTCCCCCTCTGAATCCTGCATCTACACGCTCACCGTCGACCTCGACACCTCTGCCGAAACCATCACCTTCCATCCTTACCTCAAAGTCGATCCGGACAACATCCACATCGTCCACGCCGAGCTGCAACGCATCCCTGGATACGAAGCTTTCGTCGCCATCCAGAACTACTCGGGCGACGAGTTCTTTCCTCCGCTCCACCCAACGATCATCTCGTTCGAGAACATGGACTTCGCGTGGTTCAGACCGTTCGACGTGCTCGGGAAGGTGGTGGATATTACGGGGCTGAAGCACGCTATCACGGGCTGGTTTTGGAACTTTGACCTGATGGATTACCAGGGAAACAGGATCAAGTGCTGGTACAGGATTTTCAATGAAGGGGAGCTGGAGGAGGGGGCAAAGCTGAAGGATGTGGAGGAAGAGGATCTGGCTTTGTGTGTCAATGTCTCGCCGCAGCTGGTGGAGGATGGCATTTGCATACACAACGAGAGCGAGCTGTTGATCTTCAAGGAGTAAAGTTGACGAATGTAAGTAGAATTCCTCAGTGCTGCTTCACGAGGCCTCTAACAGGTCCATCCGAATTTTCAAAGACAGTTCACAAATTGCTTTTCAATCATCGAACCAATATCAATGCGGATGTTGCTGTTGACGTCTTGTGTGATGAGCTGTCAACAAGCATCTGTATGATCTCTGACCTTGTTCTCTCATGAAGCTGAGCAATTTCTTTTCGACAGAGTTTTGAGATGAAATCTTAACAACCGTAGGATTTTTTGTGGCCGAGACGTGTGTGCCAACGCACGGCTCGTGACGAGTTTGTCGTGTTCTTCTTCTGAAACCAACGCACAGCTCACCATCTTTCGCTCCATCGACGCCGAGCATCTCCTTCTGCCCCCCCCCTACCATACTGCCGAAGAGGTATCCACCGGCTGGCTTGGTGACGACACCAACTCTGTTACGACCTTCTGCGGCTTGTTGGAACAAGACCTTCGACCCTCTTACTTGCTCTGCACGAACCTTGGACATTGACGCACTCACCGCAACATCGCATCGCTGGCAATCGACCATCATCCGACCCAATCCCTGACTCATCGCATCACCATCGCCGCATACCCTCAACCATGGCATCCAGACTTCCCATCCTATCCCGCATCCTCACAACACGGACCTCGCTCTTCCTCCTGCTCCTCCTCTTCCTCACCTCGCACCCCACCCCCACATCCGCACACATGATCGAGCTCGGCCCGCATTCGTCCGAATGCTTCTTCGAAGATCTGCACCACGGGGACCAAATGACGCTCACCTACCAGGTCGGCGGCGGTGGCCACCTCGACATCGACGTAACGCTCTACGATCCTTCCTCGCACGCACTGTTCAAGCAGGAACGTAAGGACACTGGAACGTACTCCTTCACCGCTTCCTCCGACGGTCGTTACACGTACTGTCTCAGCAACGAGTTCAGCGCAGTGTCGGATAAAACTGTTTCGTTCAACGTTCACGGTATCATCTATGTTCCAGATGAAGGGGATATGTTGCCGATCGAAAGGGAGATTAGGGATCTAGCGGCGGGATTGCAAGCGGTGAAAGATGAACAGGAATACCTCGTCATCAGAGAAAGAGTTCATAGAAATAGTAAGTCCACACACACCCCCCTAAACCCACCCACAACATGAAGAATAGTTCAAAGTTATCGCTCACACAATCCATCCCTTCTCCGTCTTGAATACTCCGGGGAATCTACAGCCGCTGAAAGCACAAACACCAGAGTCAAATGGTGGTCCATCATCCAAGGTTTCATCCTGATCGCCGTATGCTCTTGTCAAGTCTACTTTGTCAAACGTCACTTTGAAGTTCGTCGTGTAGTCTAGCCTTCTCCTCCCCACCACCCTCTGACACATCAACAGCCATCAAATTCTATCATCCGCATCTCTTTTCTCACTTCCTCTCCCCCCCCCCCCC